ATTGCTTCAGGAATATACTGATGATCACATTGGTATTTTATTGAAGATCAAATACAACAATAGAAGTTCACTCATCGCCACATACATAACAAAACATAATTTTAATATTTACATTTTAAGTCTTTGTGTGTCAGATGCATATTAAGACTAATTAGGCCTACTACAATTTTACTTTACCCATTGCCACATATAAATTATATAACATCATATTTCGTCCGGTTGTGGAGGTTAGAAATTTCCTCACATGCTGATTTGGACACAAGAATTAGGTTTAAGAATTTGGAGCAGGAGTAGAGAACTCTAACTATAACACAGGATTCTGGATGGATGAATATTCAGTTTAGAAATGAATTCACCAACCGGCCTGATCTCCCTGAAAATAGGCACCTCAACATGCTCCATTTAACTCTTACTAAATGCACAACAACTTGATGGACTTGTCTACTAATGATGCAAGAAGGGAGATAATTAAAAGTAAATTAATTTTAGTATCCTATAAAATATATAATGCCATTTAATTTCACTGCACTTTTTACTGATTAAATAAACAATCATATAATAAAAGATAATGAAACAACAAAAATATATTATCTCCCTTTGATTTTCCATGCAAGGTAATGTGAATAGACAAAACCAAAGCTATAGTTTTAAATACATTTTAGATATCTTGCTTGCCTTTTTCTTTTGCCATTTGCTTTTTTGGCAATAAATTTTTAAAAAATTGAATACAGAATGGATTTTGGCCATTTTACATAAAATAAAACCATTTCAAAGTGACACAAATTGGAATTTGGCCATTTTAAAGATACCTTCCCGCGTACAAGCTGGGTGATTTGATGATATATTTGGACTAAAATCATATTCAAACTAATTAATCTATCCAAAATTTGCTTAAAATCCTGCTAAAAAATTGTATTCATGAGGAAATACCCCAAGTGGCCAAGTTATAAAAAAATCTATCAAAAGAAGTCATGTTTGTGTCATGTGACTTGGATGCTGTGGTACCTAGCAATGGGTGCGAATCCGGAGGAGAATTTATTGCATATAAAAGACGATGTTGTCTTTAATTGCTGTTCATTTATCATAATATATGGAAGCCTGAGTAAATTATCGGGTTATCCCTTGCCTACGTCTTTTTCTGTTGAACATTTAAGTCTCTCACTTTTTCCACCATCAAGATTATCAACATATACATCAAGCGCACCCTAACACCAAGAGCTCAGACAACCTTTGATGTTACTCGAGCCGACATCCCTTAATCGTCAGGCAGCCAATAAGTGATACCCTCTCATGTGTGTGCTCCATGGGTGTTTTTCAAGAAATCCAGATTGGGTGTCTCTACTTTCCATATATACCAAAATTGCCATTCTTTTTTGGAAATAACCAAGAGAAATACGTTTGTGGGAAAGTATCTTTAAGGTAAAAAACATTGAAAACTGATAAAGTTAACTTTGGCATAACTGTTATAAAATATAATCCCCCAAAAATATTCTAAATGTTAATTTGAGGGAATATTTTATAAGAATTTCATGAATGTAAATTTAAGGGAATAATAATAAAAAAATATAATGTTAATTTGACAGAATATTTCATAAGAATTTCATAAATGTAAATTTAAGGGAATAAATGCACATAAACAAAATATATTAAAAAATACATACAGATATTATATACATGTAGATGTCCTTCTCAGAACATTTTAAAATTTATCTTTGGTATTTCAGCAGTTATTAAATACACCATGGAATTATCTTTGATACACCATAGAATTATTTTGGATAACCCATGGAAATATCTCTAATACAGCATGGAATTATCTCTAATACATCATCGAGTTATCTTGGATACACCATGAAATTATCTTGGATACACCATGGAGTTATCTCTAATTCACCATGGAATTATCTCTAATACACCATGGAATGATCTCTAATACACCATGGAGTTATCTCTAATACACCATGGAATGATCTCAGATACACCATGGCATTATCTCTCATACACCATGGAATGATCTCAGATACACCATGGCATTATCTCTAATACACCATGGAATGATCTCTAGTGCACCATAGAATATCATATCTCTGATACACCATGGAATTATCTCTAATACACCATGGAATATCATGGATACACCATGGAGTTATCTCTGGTGCACCGTGGAGTTATCTCTGATACACCGTGGAGTTATCTCTGATACACCGTGGAGTTATCTCTGATACACCATGGAGTTATCTCTAATACACCATGGAATTATCTTGGATACACCATGGGGTTATCTCTAATACACAACGGAATTATCTCTGATACGCCATGGAATTATCTCTAGTATGTCATTGAATTATCTCTAATATAAAACTTTTCAGCTATTTCAAATTGTTCAATTTTAACACTTCAAGATTGTCAAGACTTTCGTTGTTTACATTTACAGAACAGTACAGCCTGGATAAACAAGATTACAACACTGTCGCTGTTTGTATGTACAGAACAGTATAGCCTGGATAAACAAGATTTACAACACTTTCGTTGTTTGTATGTACAGTACAGTACAGCCTGGATAAAAAAGATTACAACACTATTGTTGCTGTTTGCATGTACAGTACAGTACAGTACAGTCTGGATAAACAAGATTGCATCACTGTAGTTGAATTATTAATATATATTGCTAAAGCTTTTAGAGAATTCCAGGAATCTATATTTATATTGGAATGAATGAAATTGAATTAAAAAATGTGGAAATGATCAAATCAACAGATATAAAATAGGTTGCCATGAAACAAAACGTACACCAACAGCAACTAAGTCAACAAAGTTTTCACATAAGGAATCTTTGAGTAAATACAAAGCAAAATCTTTATCCTGTATAATATCAATGATGCATAGACAAGATTCTATGACATATCAGGGGCAATAACTCGATAAATAATTCTTATAACTCAATAGGATTCAGCATTTCACTAGTCTAAACAATAATAGTTCAAGTAGATCAGATTATAACTGTAGTTCAAGTAGGCTAGATCAGATACAATGCTCACAAGATTCTACAGAGTAATCAAGGGAAATAACCCTGGAAGTTAATATCATAAATTGTTGAAATTCAATAGACATGTTCATCTCACTAATATATACAACATATATAAATTTTTAAAAGGGTCGGATGATAAATGTAGTTATTATATTGAGCACACACATATTTAATACTAAAAATACAAATGTTAAGATAAACTTCGAACACCATAATAACAACCACTTACATGTACAGTCACTACAGTATTTAACTGTACAGCAGGTATTTTAAATTAAGTTTTAAATCTATCACACACTTGTTCAAACTCAAAACTGATGATGTCCATTTTGAAAAAGAGAGAGAGAGAGATGGGGTTTAACGTCCACTCGACACAAACTAGGTCATTTCAGGAATAACATATGGTTCAATTTTATTTCCATAATTCGCTTGCACGTAGGGGTCTTTAGCAGTTGGAGGAAACCGGAGGACCCGGAGAAAACCCACGAGGTTGGACAGACGACCCTACTCCTTGTCATGTACATTTTGAAAAAAACCTCAATAACAACCTAGTAGTGAAAAACTAGTTGAATACAGTAGGTCTTTAATTCTATCAAAACCTTGTCAAACACATCTATTTAATGCTGATAATGTATTTCTTGAGTCAATTTATTCATTGATCAATTTAGTCATTCTCTTCTCACTCACACTTCACAGTATATACAAACAGCAGTGAATTTAAAGTTTAAAGTTACAATTTCATATTTTCTAAGAAAATCAAAACATAGATTATTATTTGTATGTCTTTTGCTAAATAGGTTGTCAACTCACTATTATACGATCATAGGTTATCTTTCTCACACTTACAAATTTTTAACACCGGAAATAATAACACAATTACCTCCCTTGTTTTCCTATTCCCCACCATGGAATAGTTATATTCAAATGACAATAGTGAATTATAGGATTAATAGGATTATTCTTTAACAAGGTAGAACTGTTTATAGATACCCTCTATTTTAGTTCTTTATTTTAATAAATTTTAAAAATATAACTTAAAAATATGAAATTGTAGCTTTATTAAACACCTCTTGATGAGAATAACTTGATTTCATTTCACTAGAGTATGTATCTTTAAACTAAGATTCACAATTTCTACAAATATTAACTTATACGCCAAAACAATCAAAAAATTTTCAATGTAATTAAATCGAATAATGTCTATATATATATATATATCTGAATATTTAAATCATGATTTGAGGTGACCACAATGTGATATTAATATATTAATAAACTTGTTAACAAATTACAATAGCACTATTAGTTGGCGAGGAGTTTTCACATAGCATAAGCCATAAACTCATGTTGCAATCAATTGTCTTCCACAATAATTTTGTTGTTTTCAAGCCGCCCGCTTCCACCTAGGGGGATATCACAGAATGTCTTTCCACAGTAATATTGTTAATACACTTTATAATGCATCAGCAGTGTTTATTTCACGATTAAACTCAATTCTTGATGCTAGCATAAATATATATCTACAATATCAAACGTTGACGACTTATTCACCATTTCAATGGGGATGCTCGATTCACAGTCCAGAACTGACAGAATTGCAATTGAGTAACGCTGAATTCAGTTCTGTCACAGTTCTGTCAGTCCCGACAACGGAGGTGGTGTGAGTAGAATCGTGCCGTAATTAAACACAACGAATATGTTTCGGCTGCATGGTTGGTTGAGATGTTTACTTATTCAGTAGACGCATGCGTTGTAGCCCTAAATCCACTTTTTCACTCGGTTGTCACTATTTTGGGGATTGAGAGAATTCAATTCCGGAATGTTTAATCGAGTACCCCAAAGTTAACCAATAGGAAGACAAGGGAGATAACTACAATGACATTTCCATATCAGCAGGCAGATCACCAAATATTCTCCAATTGAAGGAATGTTAACTCTCCAACTTGACTCCAAAGGAAGAAATAAGCCATTATTGAGAAAATATACAGACGATTTTCCGTTCACTGACAACTCTTCTGCAAATGAGACTGCGAGAGGATGTCAGATCAAAACCGACCATTCACAGGAAGAACTGCGTTAACTATGAATATCTGGGACATAAGACATAGTGTACGACACAGTATCGATAAGCCTTACCGGATACTGCTCCGTAACATCTGCAATTATACTGCACGGAGTTGGGCGCATGAACTAAAACTTCAAGTTCATATCTTGTTCCTCCAGTCACTGTGCAGAACGCTGACATGACAACATAGTCCTGAAAAAATATTAACGAATATATCAACCATTTCAAAAATAAATAATGCTGGTGCCTGCCATTATTTCTGGCACACGTTGTTTTTTTACTCTGTATTTTAATTGATATTATTAATACATGTTCAGCACAAAGTTAAAAATGTCAAGATATTAGTTTTTGGTTTGGTCTAAATATTAAGGCCAACTGCAGATTTCGTCAAGGTTGGCAGATGTAAATTAAGATAGGGCACCTGATTGTTGACGAGATTGTGGGTTAGGGTTAGGGCTAGTTCTGTTTACATCTGGCGACCTGTGACCAAATCTGCAGGTAGCCTTAATATTTAGACCTAACCCTGGTTTTGTACAGGCTTAACTTTTATCATCTAAAACTAAACCTGTTATCTCCAAAAAGGTAGGTCATAGTGCAGATGTCAGGGCACAAACTAGGTCATTTCGTGACTAATATATGGTTCAATTTTATTTCAATAATTTTGCATATGCGTAGGGGTCTTTAGCAGTGGGAGGATCTGGAGAAAACCCACAAGGTCGGACATGTGACTCTACTCCTTGTCACATACAACCTGGAAATCGAAGCCACACCAGTCGACTCAAACGGATGGTTTTAGATCTATAAATTAAAAACAACTTACAGTTAATTTTGCGAGTTCTGGTTTCCATGACGTTTCTGAGGCTATTGCATCTGATCCAGTACTTGTTGCTGTTGAGTTGCTATAGAAACAAGCTGATAGATTACCAACTCCTGGTGGTCCCTGAAATCAGTTAAACAGCATATTTACATTATAATGTATTAAAGATACATTATAATGTATTAAAGATACATTATGTAAGATTTAGACGAAGAACTAGCCATTCTTGCTATAATAGTTCGAAAGTAGATGATGTAAAATGAATAATTTAAAAATTTCATTCAAATTACTCTATTGCAAGCGAAGATATTAGCCTTTGAAGGTTTGACAGATGTATGCAATAATTTCAAACACTGTACTGGTTGATCGAAGCTAAGTCTCGGTCCTCCATATTTGATTACATCAAAGTATCGCTGAATCATTCTAATCTATTTAATATCGGAGAAATCTGATGCCATCGAGAGTTGATTAAGGCCTGGATCAGTTAATTAATGTCTAATTAATACTTTAGAAAACATTTCAGGCCTAAAGAAAGACCTGCAATAGGCAGATTTAGCTCTTGCATAATGTATATTTAATAAACGACACGTGTAAATTTAAACCAAATTAATTTAACATACAAACAACATATTCATTTCTGCTGATTTCATTAATAGTGGGATAATAACTTTTAATTATCAAGAAGGAGAGAGAAATGGGTTTTAATTTGTACATTCGACACAAACAAGGTCATTTCGAGACTAATATATGATAAAATTTAATTTCAATAATTTGCATGTGTCTGGGGGGGGGGGGGGGGATCTTAAGCAATGGGAGGAAACTGAAGGACCTGGAGAAAAAACCACGAAGTTGGACAGGTGACCCTACTTCTTGTCACGTACAAGTGGGGAATCGAAACCAAACCACTTGACTCAATGACAGACTTTCTTATCTAAATGGTATACATTAGAGCACTCGACAACCCAGTCCCTGAAATTCAAACCCTATATATTCCAGTTGTGAATCCAGTATCCAGTGGCCCCTGTAAAATATGACTGTGTTGTCATGGTAACTTACAGGCATCTTTGATACGTTGTATATTTGTTGCTGTAAATCATTGTTAATACTGGTTATTTGAGACGTGAGATTTTTATACGTGAATTCTAACTGCTGTTGATTAACATTGATCTGATTCAAATTAGATTCGAAAACAGAATTATTCGTCTTCAGCTGAAAAATATAAATAAATCAAACTATATAAAAACAGAATTATTCAAGTATACATAACAGCCAGGCAAAATGTGATGGATTTTGAATCAAAATGAAATGAAATGGGGTTTAACGTTCTACTGTTCTGCTCCAAACTGGGCTAATGGAGATGGGCATACGCCATACAGTGTGCTATGAGGGAAATTTTGCCAGGACAGCAGCACTACGGCCTACTCTTATATCAAATTTCAACAGTCAAGGAATCTTTTACGTGCATGTCAGTGTATACACAGGACCTTGGTTTTTCGTCCATCTGAACGACTAGACAGTTGTCCTTGTCACTGTCAGACCCTCCTTCCTACACCACTAACAAGGGGAAACCGTGTCGGAAAATCCTGATGAACTTTCTCGGCCAATGAAGCGATCAAACACACAACCTTCAGGCTAGCGGGCGAGTGTCTTACCCACTTAGCAACCGTGGCTCCTGATTTATTTTCTTAATTACATGTTAAATAATCAATTTGAGAAGATTTAAGCATAGTTTAAGCCGTGAAAATTTGATATTGTTCGAAAAATGCAGATGACGATCAACAATTTTAAATAATACGCAGAATTTTATTTTAACACTTTATCAGCTAGACCAGACAAGAGAGAGAAATGGGGTTTCAGATCCACTCGACACAAACTAGGTAGGGGTATTTAGCAGTGGGAGGAAACTGGAGGACCCGGAGAAAACCCACGAGGTTGGACAGGCGACCCTACTCCTTGTCACGTACAACACGACAAGACCATAAATTGAAAGTAAAGAACTTACAGCAGAACTCTGATATAATTTCATATTGGCTTCTTCTAATTTCTGTATTCTGACCAGCAGTTCATTGTTACTGATAAAAGCTGAAATATAAATAACATTTTCACATTATTCATTGAAAAAAAAAAAAAAATCTTCATATTGTGTTTCTATACAGGCTCTATCCTTCAATGAAGGCCCTCCATCTTCATTAGCCCAGTTGGTGCAGAAAAGTATCTTTAAAATGGACGTAATAAAATAAGAACATAATACATCTACTGACACTAGACTATGCAGTTCTTTACTTTATCATACCACAATAAGGACTGTACCCTTCTGTGCAGTGATGGTATTTACTGTCCAAATCTTGTCCAAATTATGTTGTTTGTTGAATTTGACAGAAAAATAAGGCCATGCTACATTGCTATGGATAATAGTCTATTTTCACTGGCTTGTATCGGAATGTCAATTCAATGAGTGATATGTTTTGGACATGTTTTGCAATGTCAATAGTTATGGAAAATTCTGCTGGAAATCTTATTTATGCTTCCTCAGAGAGACATAAACCTAGCAAAAGACAGAACCATGAGATACCATCTGGAACAAAGTAGACAATTCTATAGAAAACAATTACTGCTTGTTACTGAGTCACATTTCTACTAGGTTTCTCTATAATAAGATCAATCTGATTAAAACACAGATCCTATTTCGTTTTGTTTTTTATAGTTCAAAATTTCATTTTACTACACTACACTAGGATCTGGAAGATTTGTTATCATTGACGTGTACTGAATAGTGTTAGGTATTAGCCAATGAAACGGTCTGTTACAGCGAGTTTTAGGCGTGTTTTGCACAGAACTGAGGGTAATCAATAAAAAACATCAATGCTGATTGGTTAATCAAATGTCTGATGTCATAGGGTCAAAAGCCGCTCGTATGACCTCTGAAGCGACCTATTGCTACAACTTGTCAGATCTTCATGTAGTGTAGGCCATCGAAAGTATGAAAAAACGAAACGAAATATAGATCTGTATTTTAATCAGATTGTAATAGGACACAGATATGTTGTTGATTGAACTGAAAATACACACTACATAATTCTCTAACCTATAAACAATAATTGTATTTTATAGAATTAAATGTCATCGAAACAATTTATCATGAGATAACTAGTATTTCATTGGGCAGAGAGAGAGAGATGGGGTTTAATATCCACTTGACAAAAACTAGTTGATTTTGAGACTAACATATGGTTCAATTTTATTTCAATAATTTGTTTGTATATTGGGGTCTTTAGCAGTGGGAGGAAACCGGAGAACCCGGAGAAAACCCACGAGGATGGAGAGGAGAGGCGACCCTAATCCTTTTCACATACAACTGGGGAATCGAAACCACACCAGTTGACTCAATGACAGACCTTATGATAGAACGTGCACGCTTTAACCATTCAGCCACCCAACCCCCCTATTTAAATAGATTAGTTACCAGTTTATAGTACAGTGTACTTACAATCAGAGTGAGCTATCATCAGATATATACATAGAGCCGTCGCTCCTAGTGTCACTATAAATAGTATCAATATAACTAAACACTGACAAGACACTTGATGTTCTAGACTATCTATCTTCTTCGTTGATTCGTTGTGTTTTTGATCAGCAAAAATATTTGATGCGGCACTGATCATACGAGAATATAATGGATTTGAGATCTTCTTTCTGAAATCAAATAATCAAATCTCTGAAATGCGATAAATTCACAAAATGTAATTTTGGCAGATAAATACTCTAGTTTCTGATAATAAAATTGAAATAAAATAATGTAATTGAAAAAAGATTGAAAAGTCAGATATAAATTGATTTTGTTTTGAACTTCTGTACATGTGGAGGTTTCAAGGTAGTTTATTCCACTTTGTAGAGGCAGTGATTTTTTCTCCCATCTAAACAACTAGACCTTGTAACACTGAAAAGGGGAAAGAAGGTTGGAAAATTCAGAGGAAGTCATTTCGGGACTAAAATATGGTGTAATATCTCACTAGGAAGACCTGGAGAAAACCCAAGAGGATAGACATGCGGCTCTACTCCTTGTCACATTCAAGCAGGGAATCGAAACCAAGCCACTTGACTCAATGACAGACCTTATGATTTCACACGTTCGTGTTAACCCACTAGCTTCCCCCCCCTCTCAACGCCACCACCAGACAGGGATCAAACCTGGGACCTTTCATAGTAAGTAAGCATTATACACATGGAACGACAGCAACATAGGGTATCTTACCTTTTAGAGTTTGTAGATCGCGACCTGAATACCGTCGCTCGATCGTCGGTGTCTGACGTAACTTCTGTTTGAGCTGAAGTGATGGTAGTTTGAGAATCTGGTGACCTTTGACTTAATGGTTCTGGTACTGCAGGTGGCACCACAGGAGTTGGTAATCTGGTAAAATATCAAACATAAATTATCATTATTATTATCATAACTTTAAAAAAATATGACAAAAATAAAATAGATTATTAAAGATACTCTGCCTATTGTATGTTTTTATTTTGGCTTCAAATGTTATACAAATCATTATTTAAACATTTATTCACATGATAAGCCTAAAATCAATTCTCTAGACAAGCAGATTGCCAAGATTTAAATGGATGAAATAAGATAAATAATCAAGACTTAGTCTCAATTGACAAGTACTGTTGCTATGATAATGAAAATCTATGACCCTGTATCTTGTCAAACCTTCATACACCCATAACTTTGCTCAAAACATAAAGTCACACAACCGTAATGTTGAAAATCTCCTTCAATATCAAGCTGTGACTAAGTCAGCAAGATCATAAAATAACTGGTCTGAATCCAATTCAGGGGCAAATAACTCATCTTAAAACGATTCTCTATCAGTACTTTTAATACTAGAGGTTGGAATAAAAGCTACAGACAAAAGGTGGGGTCAAAGTTCACTACCCTACATTCTGTCTAGTTAGACAATTGAGTCTTCGATGACAGTTAAAAACGTCAACATGACCCTCCTTCAAACAACGATGGATATCATTGACTGTTACCCCCTCATAATGCACACTATTTTACAATGTTGTTAGACAATCAAGTCTACCACACGGCTGAGATTTTGTACACTCTTTTAAACCCACCTGTTGTCTAGAGTTGGAACTTCTTCATAATGATTCACGTTATCAACATATTCGTAACTCATCGACGATCTGGTAGGACTTAAACCAGATACACGATGCATTTCTAAATCACCAACACCTAAAACAGAAATCATCATATCAATATATATCTAGAGTTCTAGACCCGGGGCATTATAGGGAAAGAGAGAAATGGGGTTTAACGTCCACTCAACATAAACTAGGTCATTTCGGGACTAATATATGGTTCAATTTTATTTCAATATTTTGCTTGCGCTTAGGGGTCTTTAGCAGTGGGAGGAAACTGGAGGCCCAGGAGAAAACTCACGACGTTGGACAGGCGACCATACTCCTTGTCACGTGCACACCAGTTGATTCAATGACAGACATTACGGCCATCCAACCTCCCCGGGCATTATAGGCCCCCCTGAAACTTATCAGTGCACTTGGGTGCCTATCTACACAACCACTCACAGGAATAAAATTACAAATGGTCGATAAAATTGAACATATATTTATTGTATTGGTACATCCAACAAATAGGGAAGTCACAATAAATTATAAATATGTAGATGAGTATTGGGTCCCTTTTGCCCCCCCCCCCCACAAGGAGAACTGCCCAGCTTGCTTAGACATTAAGACGGCACTGTCTATACCAGTATTTCTAACCAATGCACATCTTCTCCTCACAGAAATAGATGAATATTCACATTCAAATAGTTATTAATGGTTGATCTAAAAAGTTCTAAAACTCATTTTTTGTATCCGTTAAACGATGTCAGTTAAACCTAATGGAATCCAATCAGCGTTAGTCTCTATTAGGAATATTCAATAATATTCATTCAATAAAATCCAAAATAAGTAAACCGATAACAAAAATATGTTGACTTTAAAAGATTCATAATTTCGAGAAAACTGAAAAAAATGCACCAAAAAGATTTTAAAGATTGATCAACATGACAAACTAGAACATTGTTAGAAAAATGCAACGAATATTTGCCCATGTCAAAATTTAAATTCTCAATTTCCTTTGAATTTGTATGTGCATTTATTTTGGTGTTTTGAAAATTTTACTTCCACAGATAAAGTCAATACTGAGATACATTTGGTCTACCCTATTCAACGCTTTTCAGATATATCTAAACCTACATGTAAATAAAATAGGTTCAGCTCAAGACTTTCACTTTAAATGTTTTTGACAAATTTTGTTTGTTTACCTCTGATTAGCAAGAATATGACAACTTCTACATATTTTTAAGTGTTTGTCATTATTAATATTATAACTGTATTTATTGTGATTTGAAATTCTAATGTTATGGTATGTAAATTGACTGACAGATATTAGGTATAATTTCCTGACAGTCAGCCAAGACCGACAAATAGGAGTGAAACAAGAGTCCCGGTTTAAAACCTTTAAACAGAGCAAGCAATGTAAATAATGAGAGAGAGAGAGAGAGAGAGAGAGAGAGAGAGAGAGAGAGATTACTCTATTCAACACCAACTAGGCGATTTCGGGACTAACATATGGTTCAATTTGATTTCAAATGGCAGTGGAAGGAAACTGGAGGACTCAGAGAAAACCCATGAGGTTGGACAGGTGACCCTACACCTTGTCACGTACAACTGGGGAATTGAAACCATGTCACTAGACTCAATGACAGACCTTAACTATTCGGCCACCCAACCCCTCCACCATGTAAATAATAAGACATTTGACTGAGTGAGTAACTAAATAAATGTGCACTGGCTCAAGTACCATTCAAACTTGTTCAAATAAAAGTTAACCTGACATTAAACAAATTTCAATGATAAAATGTAATGTAAATACATGAACTCGTTATCCACAGTGGTCTCATTCCATTCTACTTCACTGGGGATACCGAGGATGTCTGTATCAGTCACTGATGAAATAATCACAGTTCTTATCTACATGTAGATCATACGAACAATGTAGATAAAAACAACAACATGCTATACACCTCAATAATATTGATTAAATACCTAATAATTAGGTCAACACATATATACAAGTATATAATATGTCAAGCAAGGGCAGGTGAGCTAGGGTCACAGTATATCAAGTATATCATGGTATAGATAAGCTTGGAAATAAGGTACTCTACCTGTCACAGTTCTTATCAACATCTACATGTAGATAAAAATATAACAACATGCTACACACTGGAATAATATTTATAAAATACCTAATAATGGCTTGACCCATAGATTAATTAGGTCAACATGTATACATGTGTCAAGCAGGGCAGAACCTCGAGTCACATTATTTCACTGTATCGACAAGTCGGGAAATAAGGTACCTGTCACAAACATTTGTCATACATAAATTCTCTTTAAAACTCTATGCAATATTTTTAAAGTTAAATCAAATCGGAAAACTTGTATTTTCAGAAGACATTTTTAATACTGGATGTTATATGTACAGACTGTTGAGACAAATGTGTAAAAGTCTTAAAACAATAATTATTATAAAATTATTATTTCCAGACTTTTGAGAGAGAGAGAGAAATGGGGTTTAACGTCCACTCGACACAAACTAGGTCATTTCAGGACTAACACACAGTTCAATTTTATTTGAATAATTCGCTTGCGCATAGGGGTCTTTAGCAGTGGGAGGAAACTGGAGGACCCGGAGAAAATCCACGAGGTTGGACAGGCGACCCTACTCCTTGTGACATACAACCGGGGAATCGAAAACCCCGCCAGTTGACTCAATGACAGACCGTATGATACAGAGTGTGCGTGCTAACCATTTGGCCATCCAACCCCCTCAAGACTTTTGTGTCTAGAGAGGACGAAGTATGATACTTGACAAAGACATTTTATTATGAATTATTCACGGATTTCACGGATTTCTGGTATAAAAAGACTCAAACTGTACAGCAAAAAATCTCTCACAAGTTTGAACAATAACCAATATTTCACAGGTAAATCTCTGTTAAAATGTATTCAAATTGATTATTCTACATTCAATATAGAAAACAAAATCAAATGTGTGTATCTGAATCTAGATCTAGGTTAGTGAATCAATCCACCCTAACACCAGTCATTACAAAATATTAGGCAAAATATCTGATTTGAGGTCCGGACATTTTCATGTCAAATATTATTTGACAATCCATGGCTTGTACTATTTATACTATCTACACGTAGACTAGAAAATTATTAAAATGCATTATGTAAAATTGAGATAAAGAGCTGGCTGTTCTTGCTACAATTTTAAAAAAAAGATAATAAAAAAGGAATATATTGAAAACTTTAGTCAAATTACTTTATTCTGAGCGAAGTAATCAGTTTTTGAAGTTTGTAGCATACATGTAGATTATCATAGCGATGGTACGGGACAATCGGGATAAAGTCTTGATTTACCATTTTTAAATTAAATGGTGATTGTGATTCAATCCATTTAAATCTCGGCCATCCATTGGTCTAAAGAGTTGATTATAGGCTTGTTATGGGCACAATTCTCTAATTAATAGTTTATATAACATTTGAAGCCAAACTAATAAACCTGTAACAGGCAGATTTAGTTCTTACATAATGCATCTTTAATACAACATTACACTAGTCTACTTGAATTTTATCTTCATGTCTAGTAGAGTGACAGGATTATACCATAAACAATGAGACAATTATCAAACAGAGAGAGAGAGAAATGGGGTTTAATGTCCACTTGACACAAATTAGGTCATTTCAGGACTAACATATGGTTTAATTTTATTTCATTAATTCGCTTGCGCGTAGGGGTCTTTAGCAGTGGGAGGAAACCGGAGGACCTGGAGAAAACCCACGAGGTTGGACAGGCGACCCTACTCCTTGTCACGTACAACCAGGGATTCGAAACCACGCCAGTCGACTCAATGACAGACTTTATGATACAGCGCGCGCACACTAACCATTCAGCCATCCAATCCCCCTAATTATCAAACAACTTTCTATAGACAACTATAGTCAACTACTTGAAATAACCCGTAACAAAGATGGACACATCACTTTACATGTAGTGTCAAGTTTATCCTAGACTAGTTAACTAGAATAAACAGGTCACAATTCTATGGAATACAATTACTGCTTATTGTATAGCATAGAATTGTGACCTGTTTATTCTAGTTCAATTACTAAATGACATTGAAACAATTTAGAAACTAGAATTATACTTATAATAACTTTTAACAAAGGTGGACACATCATCACTTTACATGAGAGCGAAAGATGTCAACTTTATGAATACAAATTATTCTGCACATGTATGGAAAATTGTCACAACAATTTCCTCAGAAATACCAGTAGTTGATTTTGTGTGAAAAAACCAAGACAATAAAGAAGAATATAAAAATAAAGAGTTTTAACCACTGTTTACTATACTGTCATAGTGTAACGATATCTTTACTTGAGTATAAGTCTCAATCAATTCTCAATAGCCATTATCCTCGAGTATAAGACTATAAGTCTCAATCAATTCTCAATATGGATACATGTAAGTTTAAAGATATTTATGAAGTGAAGATTTTTTAATAAAGGGTATCTCTACCCATAACGTTATATTATCAAAAAATCTTCACATCTACCAAGCCTGTTGTGCTACTGTTGAGCAGGGATTTTTTAATTAATTATATTTACACCTACGCCTCATCGGTCTCTCTTTCTTGATCCAGTATTCACGCAGATGTATCAGCCTGTCCAGATTTAGTTACCTTACGAAGGGAGTGTTGCCGTTCCTCTTCTTGTAGCCATATTTATGAAGTATATAAGGCTTGAAGAGTACCTAATTTAACCTTATGGATAAATCTACTCTTCGGGGCATTCTTATGCTCTTTTCGGCAGGTATTTACATGTACACCAATATAAAGCCAACTGTCATACATGTACATACCTGCTGATTACATAATTACCATTTAACTTAGGTAAGATAAAAGATTTATAGACGACTAACACACAAATACTTTACCTTTCACAGATAATTATAGTAAAATACTATCAAGTAATTTAAACTCCTACATGACTACACAAAAAAATCCTTATAAAAGTGTATATACTTAAATACACTACAACCTTTTAAATTCTTTATGACCAGTGACCCCCTTTTTTATATCCGGCTTGTTCTGAATAGACTCATACAGGCATAAAGAAGAGAAAATATATCAAAAAGAAATATGATATTGACAAAACATATGAACATGTTTTAAATAGAAATGACATGTCATTAGGCTATAACTGACCTCAATATATATTATTGACAACGACTGGCAACGACAGCTGTCTTGTCATTTGGATGGGACGGAAAACCGAGGTCCCGTGTACACATTGGCATGCACATAAAAGATCTCTTGGCAGTTGGAATTCGATATAAGAGTAGGCCATAGTGCCTTATAGCACACTGTCTGGCGTATGAGCGTCTTCATTAGCCCAGTCGGCACAGAACAGTAGGACATTAAAACCCCTATTATTTCATTTCTTTTGTGATAACGTCTCTTTAAATTTTCTATGATAATAAATGTGTGTATATGTAATTAGATAAAATACAGGTAATTATCATGAATCATGATACAATATAAATATAGGTAGGGTGACCCACCATAAATAAATATCTCCAAATATCTCGACAATTACGCCACAATATTTATATATTTTAGTCACTAAATAAACGATCATGTTGTACTTAATAAGCTATGACCATTAATCATCTATAAATAATAGACTGAAAACTGGTTCCAAGTGTCGTCCATAACATCCAGACACTTTTGAGGAAAAGATAGGTTACGTGCCCTTGTTTTGAAATTAGTCTCGCTTAACCAGTCTATCGACCATTCTATGTCTGATTGACAGGTCGGGATAATCAAGACTACTTTTTTACGAAACATAACAGAAAGCTAGAACAAGAAATTGAATTTAGAAATAAGCACTTTAGACAACTCAACAATTGTTTTAAGAAACTTGTAAAAGTAAAATGAAACTACTGCTAGTATCATGTTCCTGCTAAAGAAAGTGATTCAGAGATAGTATTTGTACTAAACCAAAAGAAGCCGCTCTTAACGGTACAGTTAATGATAAAGCAATTTAAAAAATAAAACAAACGTAATTTCTAAAGCTGCTGTAATAACCAAGAAGCTAAATTTTACTGCTATTCAAAATCGTCAACAATAGATTTTTTACGGCTGTAATAGTTGATATATTTGTAGAGAATTGCACGTGCCATGGCTATTTATCGACTCAAAGAGAGTGCGGGGTAGTCAGAAATCAGTTTGAGACACGCAACTGAAGCGTGCACATTTAGCCGTGTCGAGACCAACTTTCTGTAGAATGCACGGGTCACCCTAATATAGGTTACATGTATATACCCACCAGTAAATTACCTTGATATATCGGGTGGCCGATGAATGCATTGTTAAAGTTTCGCCCACTTTTTTCTTGGCCATTCGATATATAATATTATATAAATATGTTATATGTATACCTGTAAATTACCTGTAATTTACCTTGAGTTAGATTGCCAATAATGATATTAAACTAATCCTTACCTGAGATGTTTGTATATAAATAGAGACTACGTATGTAATCAAATTTGTGTTGGTGCGATGTGGTATTGTGAAATTTGGGTAACTATTAATTGTTGCCAATTGGAATATTCATGTTTCAGTCATTTAGTAGAATAAATTGACATTTTACACTATCTGGTTACTGGTTGAGTTCTTTTTGTATTGGCCCCAAAATCACAAATGATTTTTTGTAGGAGCATTTAAAGTAGCTAAATTGCTATTCTTTGGTTCCTAGACATTGACACAAATGGGACGCAACGCAATGTATTATGAATGTATATAAACTGATTTACATTCAATTGTTATTTTTTTTTTGTAATTTCTAATCAGTTATGATCGGCAAAAAATGTGATGAGTCCAAATTGAATGGCAGTCTTTGGTGTCTGGATTTTCCAGTCTATACCGGTAGTATTCTCCTGTGGGATATGTTTAGCCTCGTTCATCAAGTTGCTTCATTACAAATGACACTCAAAAGCATTATGGCAGGCGATTCATGTGCCGATTTTAAAATGTTCATAGTCTTAAATACTGGATATCAGAAGCCCATCATTTTGCGGTAAGATAACAACATCAATGTTGATTTAAATTGACCAATAAATTTGTTTGCAATGTCAAAGACTTTGGGTATTATATTGTCCTTTAAAGGCTCAATACCACTCTTGTTGTAACTGAATAATATGTCCCAATCTTTATTCTGGTCAACAAATTGTACTATTTTACAATATTCCAATTAATTGATGATACAAATTTCATCTTAACACACCTTATTTAAAAATTTTGAAAAATTCAACATAATGGTTTGAAACGTCTAACGTAAACCTTTCCAAATGAAACTTCAATTTAAAAATATTTTCGAACCCTCTGGACAAGTAAAATTGGATGTAATGGATAATTTACACAACAGGTAGGACACTTAAACATCTAGTACTTAGATAGAGATATTATTTATTTTCTGGAGCTTTCAAGCCAGCAAGAGTGTTATTGTCCCTTTAATTGAAAGCTATAAAAAAAAAAATCAAATTTTCTCACCTGAATCAAATCTCATTTTAGTTCTAGTACGTGGTTGGGGTTGAGGTTTATGGTTATCAACAGCGTAATTTGTTGCTTTAGCGTGTAGATAACCGCCATTTGCAGGCATGGCACTCTCATTTCTCCTGGCATCGTCATTTGCGTAATTATGTTGTTGTCGTGCAGTATCTGGAGTGTGATTGGTTGAATTTTGCCGTGGCAGCTCTGACGCTTCATAGTTAATAACCTGGGGGTTCAAATATCCGTCCATCTTAATTGGTGCCTCTGGGTTCAAACGACCATCCATCTTCGTTGGTGCAGGACTCTTTGATTTCAGTTTTTGACCAATTCAAGGAACACTGGTACTGTTGTTTTCTCTCTCTGGCAAATAATCATTTCATGTTGGCTTCTACTGATGAAATAACCATATTGATATGATATAGGGTGGTAGGAGACATGGGGTGATTGTGGCAGTGGCAATCTGTCTGTTAGTTATTTCTCTGTAAACTTTATGCCAGGTATGTCGTAGTACATGTATATGATTCTAATAACACATTTCATTATTATTACCAATCAATCTGAAATTTATAATTTACTGATAAAGACTTAAAATTAAAACAAACACTAGCAATTAATATACAAAAATTGACAACAATAAATGTTTTTCAAAGCCATAAATGGGTTATTTTGTTAGCACATCCGTTTTCACTTTGTTTAACCCAAGCAACTTTTCATTATTTCAACATTAATTGGACCCCCAACTTTGTTTTACCTCTATGAAATAAAAGAAAATGAGTTTTGGGACTAACATATGGAGGAAACCGGAGGACCTGGAGAAAACCCACGAGGTTGGACAGACGACCTTACTCCTTGTCACGTACAATTAGGGAATCGAAACCACGCCAGTTGACTCAATGACAGACCTTATTATACAATGCGCACGTGCTAACCATTCGGCCCCCCACCCTCACGTATGAGGGAAATATAAACCATGACAGTGCCGCTACAGCCTACTCTTAATTTGATTTCCAACTGTCAGAAGGTGTGCTACCAATGGTAAATAGGGGGACTTTGTTTTTTGTCCATTTGCCCAATTGACAAGGGAAAGTTAGGCCCCGAGTTCACAAAGTATTCTCTGACTTAAGTTAAGAATTTACTCAAAATTGTTTGCCTTATCTTAACTAAAAATAGTCCTTTATAAAACTTTTGTTGTTTTAATGTATCAAATACATCAATAAGAAACCATGGCAATGTTTTGTGCTTCTTGATCAAAGGTATTTCTCATAAACAGTGAATGAAAGTTAAGTAGGCTTAATTTCTTAACTCTTAAGTCTGAGATAGCCAGACTCTGAGGAACTCTTTAATGTCAACATCTAAAAACTTTACAGGCTATCTTTGAAATTTGATTTGAGAACATTAAATGGAGATCAAAAAAAGTAAAGAATGGGGTAATACCTATTACAATTTTGCTTCCTATTATTTTTTACCTCCCTCATCCTCCCCCCTCCCCCACCCCTCATCCCCGCAAAATAACCTATGATTTAAAAGCAGAAACTACTTGCTTGCTCTTCTCAAAGGCTTTTAATTCCATATTTTTTTAATTATGAAATTTCAACAAAAGATTTATTCAGGGGACTCAAGACCCTAAAAGACCCTAAATAACTAAAAATTAATTTGTTTTAGCCTATCATATCCGTTTTGCACCAGTGACAATTTACAGGTGTCATATCGTGACATGCATACATGTAAACATGTAGCCGTAGTCATTTTAACAGGAAATATGTAAACATTTCCTACACAGTACAATATTTCTGTTTTAGTTTCAGAAATGTCTTCTGACACCTGTTATTTTAAAGTGTCAAATTTCAAGCTCCTTTGTGACCATGACATTTTAGTTATTTCTAAGAAAAATATCTTATACCACTTTTTCTGCAGGAGAGTCTATTGTAAGGGTGGTTTGAGAGGTTAGTGCTAAATGATAAGGCCAGCTCAATTTTTCATCATAGGTCACGAGATGTAAACCGGGCTACCGCTAATCCCAACCCAAACCTTAACCCTGGACCTAGTCCCAATACTTACCCTAACTCTAACCTACAATCTTGTCAACAATCACATGCCGTAACCATATTTAAATCTCAGCGACCTTGACAAAAATTGAGCTAGCCTTAACAAATAGATTTAGCTGGTTTAGGAGGTTATTTGCAAACAGAAAATTTTTCTATTGGGAAATCAGATAATGTACTTTTTAACCCTAACGCTTAAACTGAGGAAAGAAAGGCAGTAAGGACACCATCAAAAATATGTTTTTAAAGGATTCACAGGGATCCCTATTATGATCAAGCAGTGAACATAAATTAATAATGTGTGTAAATAGTCAAATTCAAGTAGTTGATGGCTTGTAGGTTATTTAAACTGATTTTTGGGGTATTTGTTATTCATATCAATTAAAGATACATTCCCGGGTACAAACTCGGTGATTTGATGATATATTTGGACTAAAAACATATTCAAACTAATTAATTTATCATAATTTTGCTTCAAATCATTCTCAAAACATTGCAATTGTCGGGGAATACCCTGGCTATAAAAAATCGATCAAAATAGGTCTTGTTTGTGTCACGTGACTTACCTCTCTCGGTACCTAGCAACGCAAGCAAAGTCGGAGGAGAATTCATTGCATACGCAAGACGATGTTGTCTTTAATCGCTGACTATTTATTACAAATATCGAAGCCTAATTAAATTTTCGGATTATCCACTGCCCGCGTTTTTTCCCCGTGATTTTTATCTCAGAAAGTGTTGTACGTCTAATTCTTCATACAGTTTATCAAAATGTACATCAAGCGCTCAATCTCTGCGTACAACCTTTGACGTTACGCGTGCAGACACTCCTAATCGTCAGGCTGTCGATTAGGGAAACCCTTACATTTTTGTCCTGTATGCACTCCATGAGCGTTTTTCAGGGAATCCAGTATTTTTGTAGTAAGATTGGATATTTCTACTTTCGGTATATACCAAAATTGCCATACTTTTATTGGAAATAACTACCCGATAAACACTTCTCTGGGAACGTAGCTGTAAAACTAACAGAATATGATCTGTTTGTGGCTCCTTTGAAATATTTATACAAGAGCAGCTGTCTAGTCATTTGGATGGTATAAAGAAAATGAAAAGAAATGGGGTTTAACGTCCTACTGTTCTGCTCCGACTGGGATAATGAAGACGGGCATACGCCATGCAGTGTGCTATGAGAGGAATTTTTCCCGGACAGCGGCGCTACGGCCTACTCTTATATCGAATTCCAACTGTCAAGGGATCTTTTACTTGCACGCCAATGTGTACAAAGGACCTCGTTATTTTTATCCCATCCGAATGACTAGACAGTTGTCCTTGTCAGGCCCTCCGTCCTACATCAGGCTGCAGCATTCCTGTAATGGCAAAATTTATAACACACTGCATGGCGTACAAATGTATGCCAGTCTTCAATAGCCCAGTCGGTGCAGGAAAGTACGACATTAATACTTCATTCCTTTTTTATTTTTAACTTTTCACAATAATGCACTTTGCATGGGATTCAATATCCCACAAATAACAATCAGAAACTTTAAAAGAAGAGACTATAAAAAAAATAAAAATTCTGAATCTTTTCCATATGAGTCAGCCTATTCTTTATAATTATACATAGAGCAAACAAATATGATATTAAGTTTTTCATAAATATCCTTTTCTAATTCTGAATCTTTTCCGTATGACTTTATAATTAGGCCAAACAAATTTGATTTTTAATTATTGTTTGAGCAACATTTTCCTAACACAAATTTTTGTATTTAATTCCCCCACCACAGGGGTGGATCCAGGAATTTTTGCAGGAGGGGGGTTGCCAGGTTCCTGAGAAAATGTATCCCCCCCCCCCTCAGCTTGAAATTATTCGAGAAATACATGGTCTTTATCGTCATTTTGGTGTATATACATACACATTGATCTTTTTAAACAGAGAAATCCAACATCCTGTTTGACGTCAATTTTTATTATGAATTAATACGATGACATTGTGATTCAATTTTATTGATGCAAAGCATTAATTGTGATATCACATATGTCTATATCATTCATTATCTCGCACATTGAGTGCCCATCCTGTTGCACCATCTGACGATAAAGGATAAAGCACAATTATGACACTTTTCTCATAAAAAAGGTTGTTTTACAAAAAAATTTATGTAGCTGAGCAGGGGGGGGGGGGGGGTCGGACCCCCAAATCCCCCTCTTGATCCATGCCTGCACCACCCAGCGGCAACCCCTCCCCATCCACCCAAAAGATTTTTTAAATTAAATGCTCCTGATAAACCAATTTTCAATTTAGTGTGGCCTAATACAGGTAGTCCTATATACATGTACATGTAGTTAACAAGAGATGTATAAAAGAAAATATGTTAATACCTTTTGTCTTTTCTAGCTTTTATATCTGTTGAAACATATTACTTGTCTTGATTCAATGAAGCATGACGTAAACACAGGTACATATCTAGTTATAGATAAACACCAAACATTCTTTACAGAAACATGTACTTTGGACACCATATATTAACACTGTAGATAGAAATTTCAAACATTGTTTAAGATAAAACCGGTACTCCATTTAATACACAGTCTCTATTGAAAATATAAATTATATAAATTATCGAAATGAAATGTGGTTTAATGTCCTGTTGGGCATACTCCATATAAGATAAACATGCTACACCAATTACGTTTCTGTTGAAAATAAAAGTTATAGTCATGTATATAAATTATTGACATGAAAAGGGGTTTAACATCCTACTGGTCTAATGAAGACTCGGATGGGACGAAAAACTGAGGTCCCGTGTACATATTGGCATGCACGTAAAAGGTTCCTTGACAGTTGGAATTTGATATAAGAGTGGGCCGTAGTGCCGCTGTCCGTTCAAAATTTCCCTCATAGCACACTGTATGCCATATATGCCCATTTTCATTAGCCCAGTTCGGAGCAGAACAGTAAGACGTTAAACCCCATTTCATTTCATATAAAGTCATTTCTAATGAAGACAGGCATACTCCATACTTTACATGCACTCTGTTGAAAATACAATTTATATTCATTTTTATAAATTATTTGTTAAAAATGACATTAATGGGGTTTATGTCCTACTATTCTGCACAGAATGGGCTAATGAAGACGGGTATAATAATACGTCAATGCGGCCATGCAGAGGGAAACCAAGCCGGACGACACAGAGGAAATTCCTGAGCCAAAACCGGGAGAGAACCCAAGATCATCTGTTATTTAAAGATACAATACCTACATGTAATATATTTTAGAAATACAGAGGACACAATTTTATGGCATACAATTATTGTTTATTACTGAGTGACGTTTTAACTAGGATATTCTGCTAGTCAAAACTTCACTGAGTAATAAACAATAATTGTTTTCTATAGAATAGTGTCCTGTGTTTTTCAAAACCAGCTGCACCTCTTCAACGACTTTAAAATCTAAATGTTAAACTTATTTTCAAAATTCATTATATTTCTCAAAATTTATTTTCAAGATTTATTTTCAAAATTTATTTTCAAAATTTATTTTCAAAATTTATTTTCAAAATTTATTTTCAAAATTTATTTTCAAAATTTATTATATTTTTCAAAATTTATTATATTTTTCAAAATTTATTATATTTTTCAAAATTTATTTTCAAAATCTATTATATTTTTCAAAATTTATTTTCAAAATCTATTATATTTTTCAAAATTTATTTTCAAAATCTATTATATTTTTCAAAATTTATTTTCAAAATCTATTATATTTTTCAAAATTTATTTTCAAAATCTATTATATTTTTCAAAATCTATTATATTTTTCAAAATCTATTATATTTTTCAAAATCTATTATATTTTTCAAAATCTATTATATTTTTCAAAATCTATTATATTTTTCAAAATCTATTATATTTTTCAAAATTAAGTGTATTTTTCAAATTTATAATAAAAGTGCTATATTTAAACAGGCATTATGCAAGAGCTAAATCTTCCTATTGCAGGTCTTTCTTTAGGCCTTAAATGTTATATATACTATTAATTAACATGACCAAACCATAATCAACTCTTAATTCCATGGGATGGGCCTGATTTAAAGTAGATTACAACGGTTTAATAATTGAATCTAAAAATGGTTAAGTGAGGCTGAGCCTCAAACAACCAGTACGGTGGTTACAATCCGTACACACATCTTGGCAAACCTTCAAAGGCTAATCTCTTCGCTCAGAATAAAGTAATTTGAATGAAATTTTCAATATACCGGTATTCATTTTGCATTATCTATTTTATCTATACAAGAACGACCAGCTTTTTATCTAGTTCTTACATAATGTATCTTTAATAATATTAACACAGTATTTACATGGTAATATTAACACAGTATTTACATGGTAATATTAACACAGTATTTACATGGTAATAGGATCTCTACAATTCTATGAAATACAATTACTGTTTATTATTGACTTGAGTGACTAAATTTTCTAACGCCTGTCCAAATTCAAATTGATTAAAATACAGATGTATATTTCGTTTCGGTTTTTTATACTTTCGATGGCCTACACTACATGAAGATCTGACAAGTTATAGCGATAGGTCACGTCAGGGGTCAAAAGACCGACTTATGACCCTATGATGTCAGACATTTGATTAACCAATTAGCATTGATGTTACTAGTGGATTACCCACAGTTCCGTGAAAAACACGCCTAAAGCTCGTCGTAACAGACTGTTTCATTGGCTTATCCCTGACACCATTCAGAACACGAGTTAAATAACATCTCTTCCAGATCCAAGTGTAGTAAAGACAAGTAAAACGAAATTTTGAACTGTGTCGAATACTCAAATGTCATTGAAACAATTTGTGTTCAGAATAACTCACTAAGATCACCTCCAATAATAAATCCTGGCTGTGACAGTTACTTAATACCAAAGTCCAACACCAAAATTAGCTATGTGAAATCCTCAAATAAGAAGTGGTGTCAGATGTTCTAGAAAGATCACCTCCAAGACTAAATCCTGGCTGTGACAAATACTTAATACGAAGGTCCAACACCAAAATTAGCTATGTGAAATCCTCAAATAAGAAGTGATATCAGGTGTTCCAGAAAGGGTAAGCACATCCTGTATAACAAAGCCTTGTTAAATTAATATGATACGTCACCTGAAACGTATAAACCCAAATCCCAGGATATCCAAATACGGTATGAAAACAACTTTTATCGTTTAATCCAAACATCAAATGTGAATCACTGCATTCAAACTTTTTTTTATATTTATTTTATATTTTTTAGGTAGGCACATATTGGGCCAGTCTATTCACAGTTATTTCCTGTCCTGTGTTTGGAGAATATCAGGGGATTACAACACACATACAGTCTGACACTACTTGACATAATGTTATTACATGTCCCATACCACTTTAAATACAGTGTCATTACTCATTACTAATAGTAAAGGCCCTCTCATTCATTTCTTCAATCAAACAATCAGTCATTTGTCTGTTAATTTATTTTTCTGCATTTATTCCTTTATTCCATTATTCATTCTTTTGTTTGTCTATTTATTCTTTTGTTTATTCATTGTTTGTGTTTGTTTATTCAGTCATTTCTTTATTTAATAATGCATTTATATGTGTATTTATTCATTCATTAATTCATTTGTTTGTTTATTCATTCATTCATTCTTTGTTCATTAATTTATTCAATTATCTATTAATTAATTTGTTTTTTTATTAATTTCTTCATTCATGCATTTGTTCTTTTATTCATTTGTTCATTCATTTCTGTGTCCATTCAGTGTTCATTTGTTTGTCCATTCATCCAGCTAAAGTCACACCTACAACAGCTTATTCAACATCGTAATGCACAGACAGTAATCACAGTGAAACATGCACTTGTTCGTTTGAACACTTTTTGAACATCAGGGGTTTCAAATTCAAACAAGAATCTTCAAACCTAATATCCTAAACCTATATTTTGGTTTTGGTATATTCTGCTAAATTGATGTCTGGTTATATTCTGGCAAAAACAGAGAAATTCAGGCGTCTGAACCTGTGCCCCTCTCTCCGAAAAGTCCAACATCTTGGTGAACAGTTCAATAATCATTTTACAATTTAAACAATGCGAAAATGTATGACTGAACCTTTACTTGATACTGTTCTGTTAATATAATGGTATTGTTTTAATGATGAGAATGAAGTCAATAGGTCTAATAATAACAAGTGTTTAAAGTGGAACCGGATTCACATGATATACACTGTTTATATCAAAGGTCATTTATATATCTTGATACATTTTTCACCATCCCTCAATCTGTCAATTTATTTATCGGGGCTCTCATTTCTGACATACGTTTCTCAGATGGGTCCCAATTGGGTCTCAGTTGGGTGGACGGGTATTGAAATTTTAAAGCTGACAAATTTATCAATACCTGTCCGTTAGTCAATTTACCTGCCAAACAATCAATTTGTATTTAAAGGTGAATTATGTAAGATTTAGATAAAGTACAAAGTTATGAGCATTTGAAGATACAGTGTAGATTGTTTATTATCGTAGCAACGGTACTGGACAAACAAACAAGTGTCCATTATCCATTTCATCATAAAAAATTAAAATTTCGCGTGCGTTCTAATCCATTTAAATCTCTGCAAAACAGTGCTCCAGAGAGTTAATAAATGTCTAAATAATAGTTTAAATAACATTTGAAGCCAAAATAAAGATCTACAATAGGCAGATTTAGCACTTACATTATAATATAATGCATCTTTAAAAAATATAATTAAGATCAAAACTGCAGATAAACACAAGTTACAAGCCATTTCCTAAAAGCCAAGGGGTTGTACTGGGATCGGTCTAGAGTAAGAAATAATAAATCAATTGTTTTAGGACTACAACGGGCACACACCACTATCTCAAAACAAATCAATATTACCAGAATTCTAATAAAAATCCTCAAACAAATTAATCATAAAATCTGAATATTACACGTTAGTTTCACCATAATATTTGAGGGATTCTAGTGCTATTTTGTTCTTCGTCTTACAAGCAACAGCTTGACCTTTCCAGAGCATAAGAGAAGTAACTGACAAATAAAATTTGTTTGTCGGGGAGACTGGGGTACACTGAGCCACTGGTAAATTCATAATCGAGTTGACATCTTATTTGAATAGGGTCACCTACATGTACATGTTTTCTAAAATAAATTAATGCAAGTGAGCATCAGATAAATGAAGCTTGACAGTTCTGTTGTGAAAATGTTTATGTTTCATGAAAAGTCTAACTTTCACTTCATTGAAAAAGTTTGTGGATTGATTTTGGAGAGAGAGAGAGAGAGAGAGAGAGAGAGAGAGGGAGAGAAATGGGGTTTGGTTTAATGTCTGTCCACAAGACACAAACTAGGTAATTTTGGAACTAACATATAGTTCAATCTTATTTCAATAATTCGACTGAGCGTTAAGGTCTTTAGCAGTGGGAGGAAACCGGAGGACCAAGAGAAAACCCACGGGGGTGGAAGGCGACGCTACAACTGTTCTGCTCCTAAACTGGGCTAATGGAGACAGGCATACGCCATACAGTGTGCTATGAGGGAAATTTGGCCCAGGCAGCGGCGCTACGGCCTACTCTTATATCGAATTCCAACTGCCAAGGGATCTTTTACGTGCATGCCAATATGTTCACGGGACCTCGTTTTTTTGTCCCATCCAAACGACTAGACAGCTGTCCTTGCCAGGCCCTCCGTCCCGCATCACTGACAAGGGAAAACCACGCCGGAAAATCTGGATGAACTTTCTCGGCCAATGCAGGGATCGAACACCCGAGCTCCAGGCTAGCGAGCCAGCTTCTTGCCCACTTAGCCACTGTGGCTCCCCAGGATTGATTTTGGAATAACTATATGAGGTTTAATATAAGCTAGTAGTAATGAGTGTATTAATTTGTATATGTATCTCAACAGTTAGTTGCCTGGTAATAATAAAAGAAATGATGTTTAACATTCTACTTTTCTCCACCATCCCATGTCTGATAGAATTCAAAAAACTGAAAATTACCATAATATGATTTTCTCAAAAGTATTGCATTGACTCGACTACAAACCCCATTTCATTTCATTCGATTCTATGTCACATCCTGGTTTCAAAGTATTCTCAGAATTTACTCTACTTTCAATCACTGTTTATGAGAAATATCTTTGATCCAGAAACACACAACTTTGCACTTAGTTCCTTATATCAATATTTGATACATTAAAACAACAAAAGTTTTATAAAGGGCATTTAGTTAAAACAAGGTGCACAATTTTGAGTAAATTCTTAACTTAAGTCTGAGAATGCTTTGTGAAGTCAGGGCCAGAAATGTTTGACTACTTTTACTAACGTGTGCTTACAATTAGTGTAATATTACAAGATTCATAAGGTACCTTACTCTTATTCTACATCTATCAGGCTACAAGTACATTTATCAAGCTACAAGTACAACAGTCAGTTTTTACAAGTGGGGGATTAGATGGCCGAATGATCTAACACATTTTAGATCATAAGCAGCTCTGTCATTGAGTCAAGTGGGGCGGTTTCTATTCCTCGCTTGTATGTGACCACAGGAGTCTGACCTTCTATTCAATATGCATACACCATACCCAAATAGACAATATATTATAAAAAAAGAGAAAAGGAATGCAATGCCTATTGAAGTATCAATTTTACCTGCTTTCGCTTCAACTTCAGGTTAGTTTGTTTTTTTCCAACAATTTAACCTTTGTCAATTCATTCAGATATGTTTTTCTTCGATTTAGTCGTTTTGATTTGCATAAATATTCCCCCCCAAACTATATCATTTATCATAGCCATATGTTTCCAATATTTACATTATTTTCGAGTAGGCTACTCATCGGTTTTCTCCCACTGCTAAAGTAAATTATTGAAACAAAATAGAACCGAATGAGTTTGTGTTGTGTAACCATTAAACACCATTTTTCTCAATTTCCCAGATTAACGTTAGCCCAGAAATTACCTAGTTTGTGTTAAGTGGAAGTTAAACCCAGAGTAACGATAAGGGGTGACCCGTGTTACCCCGCTCTCCCCTACATAATGTGACACAGTTAAAATGGTTAGACGACACAATATGTGAAATAAAATGATTTATATTACCTTCGTGTGGAGTTAGTGAATAAAAAATGTATTCAACGAATGGTCTGTCACACTTTTATGAATGCAAATATACAATATGTTAAAAATTTACCTTTTTAAACTAGAATTTCACAGAAAACAACACTAGCCAAATTCTTTCGTTTTGTAAATGACGTTTTGTTTTGCCTCTGGCCTTTTGGAAATGTTTACAATATTAACGGTGTTTAGCATTTTTAACCCCATATAAAACTGCCTAGTCCTAAAATTTGTTTACAATAAATGTTGAAATGTATAATTCTTACAAAACTATATTTCTGATAAAATCTTTGCACTTATGTAGTTCAACAACTTATTGAAATATCTATTCTATTATATTGCATATCGAATTAAATAAGTTTGATGCGGTCTATATTTATTGGGGTCAATCTTCAATAGACTTATGTAATAATGGCCCCTCCAAGATTGGTTGTGAAGGTTCTTGCGGGCACCATCGGGGTTGGTGTCTTGTTGATGTATGTTATGACCCCGTCTGACTCCGAACTAAAACAGGTGATCTATAAATATTTCGAAAAAGGATAAAAATATAACTTTTGAAGTTTAGACTAGCATAAACACATGGAAAATATCCGGTAAAAACACACTAAAGGGAGATAATCATCTTAAACGATAAAAAAATATGGAGTACCAACCCAACCAATATTGTATCTTTTTTTATGTGCTCACTTTTAATGAGAATGTATTTTGTTGCCACTTCAATCCATGATTTCTTCTGAACATTCTAGCAGTCAGGGTTGTTAGATTTATTTCAAATAAAGGAATTGGGTTTTTTTTTCCGTCCAGGAGGAATTGATATGAAATGCATAGGCTAATTTTGTTGCTTGCAAATTTTCGATCAAGTTAGATCAGATGGTCTAAGGTATGCATGTTGGATCATAAGGTCTGTCATTGAGTCAAATAGTTTTGATTCCCTGCTTGTATGTTACAAGGAGTAGGGTCTAACCTTGATGGTTTTCCTCGGGTTCTCCGGTTTCCTCCCACTGCTAAAGACCCCGAAGTGCAGGCGAATTATTCAAATAAAATTGAACCATATGTTAGTCCTGAAATAATCTAGTTTCTGTAGAGTAGTCGTTAAACCCCATTTCTTCATCTCTCTCTTTGATTTTAAAGGTTATGAATTTTTTTAATTACAGAAGGCTACAGAAGCTGGATACTCTACGACTGGATCTAATAGTAACAAAGAATTTATGAGAGCAATAAAGAAAAGTGCTGGAATGGACCCTGATGAAAAAAAGAAATAAATGCCACATGAAAGGACAAAAAGTGACTTGATTATGGACAAATATTTGTGTGATATGGTATAAGTGTCTCAATCTCAGGGATATGTCATACATAATTTGTGTAGAGGCAATAGATGATGAAATAGACATGAGGAGCTGTGCCAGTTCCTCAATCCCAAGCCAGGACTAAACTGTTGTATAGCGCAGAATACTTCATATTGGAGCAAACCTTGACATAAGGCACCAGTCACAGACTTTGTCAGACAAAAATTATCTACAACATTCATATTGTAATAGCTATGTTGTGTGATAATTTGTACTTGATAAAGTCTGTGACAGGTGCCTATTTCCGGGCTTGTGTAGTCTGCATCATCACAAGATATTTTATAAGATTATCTATCACAAGGATGTTAACAATACATCAGCTGGGACAATAAGCCAAGGAAGTCCAAACTATCACTCCTTTCTTTAAAGTTATATTTAGTGAAAGATGTCTTGTATGATAGGCACCATAATTTGGATGGTTCACACAGGGTGAACAGTATCTCAAGCATCAAAAATATGTTATTACTTTAGTGAAAGGGTCTTTAAATTTAGTGAAAGATGTCATCTATAAAAGTCAGATGGTTCACACACGGTGTATAGTATCTCAAGTGTCAAAAATATGTCATTATTTTAGTGAAAGGTTCTTTAATAAAGTTATATTTGGTGAAAGATGTCATCTATTAAAGGCACCACAAGTCAGATGGTTCAGATATCTCAACTGTTATTACATGTATTTAGCAAAATAAGATAGAAAGTTCACATATATCTCAAATATCAAAAATATGCATTATTATAGTGAAAGATTTTGGACATTAAAGCCAGATACGGTGTATCTGAAATGGTAAAAATATGCATCATTATAATATAAATAATATAATTTAAAAATAGAGGGGGCTGATTTGTATTAAAAGATATAATTATTATTACTTTATTTTTTTAAGACACATAGGGGAGCCACATTGGCGAAGTGGGTAAGACACTGGCTTGTTATCCTGGAGGTCGCATGTTTGATCCCCACATCAGGACTTTAAAACCCTGTTTACATTACAAATTTTAAGCGCACCAGGCACGGTACCAGGTACGGTAAGCTTCGCTTTTTTGTAGTGTAAACGGGTCAAACGTAAGTGTGCCGCGCCTGGTACAGTGCCAATCTGGCCCACTGAAGTGAGGTGGTCTCGGAACGGTACCAGAACCGGCTCACTTTAAATTTTCGTAGTGTAAACGCTAACCGGTCCGAGCACAGATTACTGCGCATGCGCCAAATGAACCTTGACCTTTTTCCCCGCAAACTTTGACAGCTCTGTCATCAGTTCTGTCAAAATGGCTGCTCAAACTAAATCAACCATCATAACTTTTCTGTGAAGAGTTCCACATTTAGCGTGCTTGGCACGGTTCTGAGACCGGTTATTTTAGAGTAATGTAAACGGGTCAATTTCTTCAAATTTATCACGGCCTGGTACCGTACCTAGAACGGCACGTTTATCGCGGCCAAGTGTAAACGGGGCTTATGACATGGTTTCCCCTTGTCAGTGGTCCAGGTCAGTCGGGCCTGACAAGGACAGCTGTCTAGTCATTTGGATGGGTTGCAAATCCGAAGTCCCATGTATACATTGGTGTGCATGTAAAAGATCCCTTGGCAGTTGGAATTCTATATAAGAATAGGCCATAGTGCTACTGCCCAGGCAAAACTTCCCTCATAGCACACTGTATGGCATATGCCCATCTTCATTAGCCCAGTCAAAGCAGAACAGTGGGACGTTAAAACCTATTTCCTTTTTTCTAAGGCACATAAAGATGGGGGTGTGAATGGCCATATCGTAATTAACAATTCTTTCACATGGATCAATCCTGGTCAGAATTGATAATTTGAATAATATTTGGAAATAGTTAATTTTTTAATAGAAGTGATTTTGATTGTGTATTGTCTTTATACTTTGTGGGGGAGGCTGAATGGTTAGCGCATGCACATGCGGTCTGTCATTGAATCAACTGGCATGGTTTCGATTCCCCGGTTGTACGTGACAAGGAGTAAGGTGACCGGTCCAGCCCAATGGGTTTTCTCCAGGTTCTCCCACTGCTAAAGACCTCTATGCGCCAGTGAATTATTGAAGAATGTTAAACATATGTTAGTCCCAAATTATCCTAGTTTGTGTCGAGTGGACATTAAACCCCATTTCTCTCTAACTCTCTTTTATACTTTGCCAGTTTTTCAGGTATGTTGGGGTGTGGGTGGAGCAGGATAAATATCCCTCCTCCCCCCCCCCCCCAACCACCCATTCACCATCTTCCCCATTTATTAACCACCTGCTTCCATATGAAGTTTATTATGAAAGTTCCCTTAGCTAGTTTTCCCTGAGGAGGAATCTTAGCAACTTCTATTTATTGTGTATAGATGAAGGGTGGGGGTGGGGTGGGGTGGGGTGGCTGAATGGTTGAACATGTGTGCTTTAGAGAATACGGCTTGTCATTGAGTCAAGTGGCGTGGTGTCGATCCCAGACTTGTATTTGACAAGGAGTCAAATTGTCTGCCTAACTTTGTGGGTTTTCTCTGGGTCCTCCTACTGAAATGGTTTAATTCCCTTTGGTATTTACAAAGCTGCACCTTTGACAAGGAGAAATCAGGGATTGGACCGGGGGGGAATTGGACCTTGGAGGAGGGGGAGGGCGGCGTATTCACTGAGCTACCGTTGTTCATCCAATCAAATAAATAAATAAAATATGTTATATAAATATTTAAATATTTTTAATACAAAGGAACGAGTATAAGTTATAAACATGGAATTACGAATGTATTCATTACAAAAAATGAAATGAAATGTGTTTTAGTGTCCTATTATTCTGCTCCAGCTGAGCTAATGAAGACGGGTATTCGTTACAGCGCCCAACGAAACCTGTATAAATTACAATTGAATCAGTTACAGCGCACAACAAAACCAGCATAAATTACAAATGTATTCGTTACAGCCCCCAATGAAACCAGTATAAATGTATCAGTATAAATGACAAATGTATTAGTTACAGTGCACATTGAAATCAGTATAAATTACAAATGTATCAGTTACAGCACACATTGAAACCAGTATAAATTACAAATGTATCAGTTACAGCACACATTGAAACCAGTATAAATTACAAATGTATTAGTTAAGCACACATTGAAACCAGTATAAATTACAAATGTATCAGTTACAGCGCATATCAAACCAGTATAAATTAAAAACATGGAATTTTTAGTAACAAATACATCTTAATACTTTCTAGAACATCTCATAACACTTCCATGGCCAACCTCTTTAATAGAAAAAACATTTCCATTCTGTAACAATCGTACAGCAAATACAACTTGTACATTTGTATCTATTTAATTTTATTAGTGAAAGGGTGAAAACATGTAGAAAAAATAATAATAACAAATCATTTGCATAAAAATGCCCTTTAAAATTTAAACTCTCTGTAATCCGACGCATTTATGTCATTAAAGGGGAGGTAAATCTGTGTTCTGTATTCGTATCTGGATTTCAATATTTACATTTTAAAAGTTATGTAAAAGAGGCTCAGTTAAAAAACAAAAACAACAACATTCAGAATTAAAATTCAACCAAATATATTTCAATCAAACATATCCTCACAGACTTGGTGATCCATTCTTTGACCCCAGAATTTCATTTGTCTACAGTGTTAAGTCTTGATTATCCAGCAAGAATGGTTTGCAGGGCATATTAACATGGAGTCATTAGAAAGATATAATACTGTTTCTTGTGTTGGATTATTACAAATCTGTGTAGGCCATAATGACAAGAGTCAGACAGACATCAGGCCCTGAGTTCACAAAGTATTCTCAGAGTTAAGTTAGGAATTTAGGTTATTGGGAAAGAAACCTTGCCACATTAACAGCAAGTGATGTACCAAGATTTGATCAGGATTGCTATTAAAATGGCCCTTATTAAACATGGCCCATATTAGGAGTTATTAAAGATTTATGTGAAAAGTGGTGCCACTACCCTAAATTAGTCTAGCAAAAATACAGAAAGACCCACCACTAATTCCTTTAGAAGGTTTTTTGGTACCAACTTGAAAATGTCCTTCTCCTGTACATCATACAGAAAATCCAACGAAATCCACCCAGGGGTTTTGGAGTTATCAACATTACATTTAATCATTCGAAATTCTAATTTTCTGCTCCGACTTGGATAATAAAGACGGCCCTAAGTACTAGCATGATAAAGTCTGACCCGTGAATATAACGCCTCCTCCATATGGGTGTCAAGAGTATTTAATGTATCCATGAATTTTCTCTTTCGTAGAAGTTTGTGAATGCTGAATCTCTGAAAGGAATATCAGGTAAAAAAAGGTTCAATTCCATTCAGGATTTACAAAGGCATCCTCTGCAGAGGATATAAACAAACCAGTGCCACCTGTAAATGTTGGGTAAAATATTTTGATTGAATCCAACCCGGGAGATTATCTAAAATTGACATTCTGATTTTGTTTTCTCAAATGTAAAATAACCAATTTAAGTACATTTTAGCATGGACTTACATGTAAACCATGAAAACTGACGATATTGACTGAAAAATGTAAAGGCAGATCAGTGGCTTGTAGGACAAAATTTTAAACTTTAAATACCCCAATTCATTATCCGGAATTTCCATTTAATTTCTCCACTTCAAAATTAAATTTTGCTACAAAGTTAGGATCTACGATTTGCAACTGCTGAATCAGTTGATTTCTTTCAGCATTATTCCATCCTTGAAACCACTGAGAAAATAATTTAATTTGGCACTGGAATATTGATGGAGGTTTATCTGCCACTGTCATTGTATCCATTGCATCAAATAGCGCATCAACATTATTTGGAACGGCTTTATCAATCATGTCTTTTAAAAAATCGTCCTTCTGCATAGGACTCCACCCTTGAAACCAGTGCAGGACACACTGAAGTTCTTTCTCAATACAAGAAGAGCTCATAATATTTTGCAGATTCCTAGCAGTGTTCAATTTCAATGGTGTTTCTGTCATTCTACTGTTATGTTCTGTAGAAGGCAATCATTGCATTTGTCTGGAACAAAACAAAAATTATTTTAATTGATTCACTTGTTAATTGTGTGGTGAAACCTGTTCTTCTTGTATTTAAGATTTGGTGTCAAAAATCTTAACTTTGGTTGTCAGGTGTATTGTCTGGGAATGTAGTCAGAGAGAAAGAAATGAAGAGAGAGAGAGAGAGAGAGTTTAACTCCAGTCAACACAAACTAGGTCATTTCAGGACTAACACATGTTCAATTTTATTTCAATAATTTGCTTGTGCATAGGGATCTTTAGTAGTCGGAGGATCTGGAGAAAACCCACGAGTTTGGACAAGCGACTCTACTCCTTGTCACGTACAACAGGGGAATCGAAACGTCCACTGGACAAAAACTAGGTCATTTCAGTAATGGTTTAATTTTATTTGAGTAATCAATCAATTACTTCTACTCGCATAGGGGTATCTAGATGTAGCTATCGGCGGAAACCAGCTAGAGGACCCGGCCAAGAAAACCTATGAGGTTGCGGACACGCCACCCTACTTCTTGTCACGTAGTGGGCAATAAATCCATGTTACACTATTTATGACAAATGTTATGATCTAAAGCTCATATGTTAAACCAATCGACCGGCCACCCACCCTCAGGAATATTATAGCATTAATCTGTTGTAATTGGTGGCCATGGGTTAAAATATGATGCTGCCCTTTTCGTGTTCAGTGTAGGCCTACATATTGGGTTTAATTAAGCATTAAGTGGCAACTCTGATATTTCTGGATTTGAATGAAACTATAATAGTTATAATAAGTCGACGGGAAACCCACTGACAAAATTAAAATTTGTAATAATGTATAATTGTGTGTACTGTAGCCGTAGGCAAATCCTTTTCATTAGTCATTACCACCCCTCGTCCGACAAAAAACGTTTTGCTTGTACTTGTAGTAGATCTAAATCTAATTTTAATGTGTTTATATAGTCTAATCTACCATATTAAAATTTCAAGTGGAAAATTAAATTTTGATTCATATCAGAGCACGGAACGCGTCATACAAACCTAATGTTCTTAAAAGGGTCATTCATAAAATGTTGATATTTTCTTTTTCTCCTTGTCCAGAAATAAAAACATAGCCTTGAACACACGTGTCTTTTTGTTGACAACCCATCGGTGAATATATTTTCAACCCCTTAAAAAATAATTCCAGGTCATTTATTGTTATTCTTAATTCTGCAAGAGAAGTATTTTCAGATTTTATAAGTGAATTATAAATTATTACACGAATCTCTCCACAAAAGATAATTATATATAAATACTTTGTCTTAGGTTCAGTTGCCAGACAAATTTCTTTTATTTGAACATACAAAATATTCGACACCGCTACCCAAGGGGAATAACTCTACTGATTACGCCAAGCTGGGGATTTTTTTCTGTATTAATCCAGAAAATGTGTTCCTTTTCAGAGATAAAAATAAGCTTGAGCAATGGCAAAGAGCTAAAGTTTTCTCACCCGGCGGGTCAGACGGATGGTAGTGTAGATTATCCACAACTTCAGAAATCGGTAAAACATATCCAAGAAGAGAGTAACAAAGCACTAACCGACGCAATAAACGCCGAAAAAACAGCCAGTTTGGAATCAAATAATTTGAACACAAATAAAGGTAGAACTAGAACTGAAGAAAAATTACATATCAACAGTTACCACATTATTTGGTGTAGGGTATATAATATGTACCCAACAACCACAATATACACGGAGCCACGGTTGGTTGATAGGTGCCCAGGGGATAATTGCACTGTGCGCTGGTAGCACGATTTACTCAAATACTATATATAGTAGGGCCTATAGGCCTACATCCAAATCAACAAATATCCACCATTATCTCAACTCATATGATAGTTTGGTATAAAAAAAAAAACCATTATATTATTAAATATCGATATAAATTATTGTGATACGAGTTGAAATAATGGTGGATTGGGTAGATTTTGATAAATTGTGCTATCCTGATGTCCGATGGCTCACAGAAAGTAGGCTATGTATGGTTCCCCAGCTTGTTGAGTCTGGTATATCCCCTTTTGTCATTGGTGCAAAAGTAAGGGCCTGGCATGGGAAAAGTGCACAGTTGTTTGGAAGGTACAAAAAACTTAGGCCTGCCTGTGTAGCCTACTTGTTGGTGTGAATATAAAACATGGACAGTTGGATAAAAAAATAAAACTTAATATGTTTGACATGGTTTTCAGATGATGCAATGGATGATGAAGATGAGGACGATGATGATGATGATGATGATGATAATGATAATAGTGTTGAGCCTGCAGAGAAGAAATTAAAAACCTGATAATATGAACTTCTGTGATAAATATAAACATTCCATCTAGAATGATCCATGTGACTCACTAAGGCAAGGAACCAATCCCCTAATCGTTTCTGTAAAGTGCCCCATGGAACTCCAGGCCGAACTTTTGAACCAGGAACGGAATTGGATACACTTAGTAATCATCTTGTTTTTAATACTCTACAAAAATGCCTAAGGCTCCACCAATTTTAGTACAGGCTTGTTCAGGTTCTTTGGACAATTGCGAATCGATTGACAGACTTTGAATTTTGATGTGAAGTCACAATTCCATGATGGCTGCAGTGATAGCATGATTGGTTCCTGGTTCATATACCTGTATTTGTAGTACTTGTACTTGCTTATATACATGTAATATAGAGGCATTAGAACTTTAGTGACACTGATGTGCAGTACCTAGTTAGGCCTCACCAATTTGAAGCCTTGTTCTTCAGGCCTAACCAATTTGAAGCTTTGTTCTTCAGAACACCTTTAACACTGATTTTAATTTGGCACAAGTGGCTATATACAGGTATGAGCCTGAATAACTAAAATTTAAATTGGTTTGGTCTTACCACTGCTATGAAGGTTTCTGCTAAGTGAAGAAAAGTACTAAAAAATAAGACAAATTATATAAAAATTTCTTTTATTAAAACCTCTCTAAATATTTTTTTAAACAAAAATTTGGAAAATAAATGAAAGCTATAAAGAATTGTACGCATCTTTCTTTATTTTATTTGAAAGTTCTAAATGATCCAGATTCTACCAACAAAATGACTTCCAAAAATAAACAATATTCTACTTTCACTTTGTAGTGAACAGGACTGTAACTACTATAAGTACATGTATTAAACACAGAAGGGGGTGTTGGGTGGCCGAATGGTTAGATGTGTGCACTTTAGATCGTATGGTCAGTCATTCACATGGAGTAGGGTAAACTGTCTAACCTGACCTATTAAAGACCCATACATGCAAGGAAATTATTGAAATCCAATTGTACCATATATTAGTGCCGAATTGGTCACAGATGTTTTTTTAATTCAACCTAAACCCTAACCAATTAGCTCCTGGTGCTTGCTGGTTGTTGTTTAACATCTTCATGCACAATACCCATATCACAGTTAGAACCCATTTAACATCTGTGGCCATAACTGCAGTAGCCGAAATATAGAAATTTCTGGGTTATTTCAAGGCCTAACATATTTTATTTCAATAATGCACTTGCATATATAGCGATCTTCAGCAGTAAATAGAAACCAAAATACCAAGATCAAATCAATTAAGTTGGACACATAAATGGACCCTTCTTTTGGTTTGAAACCAGGTCACTTGACTCAATGACACAGAGAGAGAAATGGGGTTTAACATCCACTCGACACAAACTAGGTCATTTTGGACTAACACATGGATCAATTTTATTTCAATAATTGGATTGCGTGTAGGGGTCTTTAGCAGTGGGAGGACCCAGAGAAAACCCATGGGGTTGGACATGTGGTGACCCTACTTCTTGTCACATACAACCGGGGAAACGAAACCACACCAGATGACTCAATGACAGACCTTATGATACAGCTCGCAAATGCTAACTATTCGGCCATCCAACCCACCTGACTTAATGACAGACCGTATAATCTAAATTTAGAATTAAGAAATATTCAAAAGAGCTTGGGTAACTCCAACACCTAGAATGTAGATGATGCTTCATATATTGACCAAGGTAAAAGCTAAAACATTCCTACTGAATATATAATTGGTTATTATTCTATATAACAGAATATGATATATTTGTTCATATCCTTTACAATTATCAGATTTATAGTTAAATGTGGATTGCATGCTAAAAAATTCTAAGGTACATTATTCACTAGAACCATAACTATTCGGTCTGTATGAATAGTATTGTACGTTTCTATGACCTGACAATGCATACCATTATATATATTATTGCATAATACCTGAATTTAACATTATTATATGAGCAAGTTTTAAAAGTTACAACAAACAATACATAAATTCATACATAATAAAAACAAAATGACATCATTCTTAATAATAAACCATTAAATTCTATATAATATGCTGCTTATGAAGATTATTTACATTATTTTATTATTTTTTTACACGTTTTATGTAAAATGTTCAATTAATAAATTGTATATCAAATCTGTATATCATTACATTAAACATGAAAATTATTATCTATGTTGAATTTCCTTTTGATGCTTTTTTATTAAAAAAAAATAGTACCTTAAAACTAGGGTCCTGTTTCATTAGAACTTGTCTCCCATTCATACCAAGAAAATTACTGTTTATAAATATTGTTTATAAAACCCCAATACAACCAAATGTAAATTTTCTGCAATGATTCAAGTCGAGTAACAGTTCTATATACTATACTATACATGTATTTACAATATTGGCCATTCACAAGTCACTTACCTCAATAAACTGAGGTTAATACATGCTATTCAAAACATGCTATTCAAATTACAAACTAAAACAATAATATATATTTAAAAAAACAACACATTGAGCGCCGTAAATAAAAAAATAACTAAATACCATCAACCGTATTCATAAAGAAATAAAACAAAGATATTTTAAACAACGCACCATTTGCATTTTTCACTAAATATCAAATTTCTCACAGCTTAATCTACGCTAATAAGTACATAAATTGATTATTTAACATTCGATTAAGAAAACAAAATCAAAATACTAACGCTAGATGAAGTCCCAACTTGGATTCAATCGGATTTAAAGAAGCTAAATCGCTAATATTTTGGACCTAGAAATTGATACAAATGCGTCACAACGCATATAATAATGTAATATGAATGTATATAAACTGATTTACATTCAATCATTTCTGTTTTTACTGTAATTTCTAATCAGATAAGTTCGGCGAAATACGCCAGAAATCTCAATCGAATGGCTATTTCCAGAGTCTGGTTATACCAGTCTACACCAAAATTATTTATTGCGCATGCTCTCCAGATAAGAATATGTCTAGCCTCGTTCTTCGAGCCCTTTGTTACAAATGACGCTGAAACGCATTATAGTACACGATTCGTGTACCAATGGTAAAATGTTTATTTTGTCTTAAATATTGGATATCAGACGCCTACCTTTTCCCGGTAAGATCACAACATCAATGTTGATTTAAATTGACAAAAAATTCGTGTTTTCAATGTCGAAGATTTTTGATGATACTGAGTTAGAGACTTAGCTACTTTAAAGCAGTTCTACCAAAATGGCAGCGAGCTGATTACATAGTAAAACAGCATACATCGATTTAAAACCTGAATGGAATTTGAGATTCATCATTCACAATATTATAGTTTGCTTGTCATTCCTGTAACACTAAAATGTCGCATCAAAGATCTAAAACTAAAATATTTTAAGGATACAATGACTAAATGTGAATCTAGATTATCAGATGATCAGACTGCTTTCTTCAAAGATTTCTGTTAAAGTTTATGCAGAAAAAGGTACTGTGACATTTAGACAGCAATATTAAAAAATATGTTCTATACCAATCAGGGGTCACACAGTTGGACTTGTACTGAACGAGGTAAATTATTTGTATTTAACATTTGTTTTTCCCATAATTCTGTGCACAGCTCGAGTAAATCTTGACGAAACAGACCATTTCTTTGGCTAATCTCTTACATCAAACCCGTCTTCATTAGCCCAATCAGGGCAGAACAGTAGAACGTTTAACCCCATTTCATTTTTAAACAAAGAACATCATATAATTTACCTATTTTACATTAGGCACTTCGAATTAATATATCTATCTATAGGTATAAATTTATCCTGACAAATTATATAACTCATGGCTTTAAAAAAACTCACATATCTTGTAGTCAACAGGAATATTTATTTTAGCTTTAAACCAGTTGACTTCACAGATATGTACTGTGTTTTTGTTTTATTTATATAAAAATCAAATAAAGGCTGTTAATTTTAAATACATTTTTGTATTTGAATCAAATCGATGTCTTTTTTTTTTGACTAAGTCAATAATTACAGAACTTACCTGTCGGTCAATTTACATGCCATAAAATTCTAATTTCAGAGTATTTAACCTTAAAATTCTAATTTCAGATCATTTCACCATAAAATTATAATTTAAAAGCATTTAACCATAAAATCATAATTTAAAAGCATTTAACCATCAAATTATAATTTCAGAGCGAGCATTTAAATATAAAAATATAATTTCAGTGCTTTTAACCATAAAATTATAATTTCAGAGCATTTAACAATAAAATTATAATTTAAAGCATTTATCCATAAAATCATAATTTAAAAGCATTTAACCATAAAATTTTTAACCATAGAATTATAATTTCTGGGCATTTAACCATAGAATTATAATTTCGGAGCATTTAACCAAAAAATTATAATTTCAAAGCATTTAACCATAACATTATAATTTTAAATAGTTTACCCGTTAAATATTCAAGGCATTTAACCATAAAATTATTATTTTTTAAAAGCATTTAACCATAAAATTATAATTTTGAATAGTTTATCCGTTTTAGTTAAATTTATAGTGTTTTGTAAGTAAAAGCATAATTTCAAAGCATTTAACCATAAAATTATAATTTCAAACAGTATAACTAACTAGCTAATGCTGTCATATTTTCAAAAAAAATTTCAATATTATGCATGTCCAAAAAAACAAACTATTTGTCTATTTCTAATAACGATCACAAGATTATTTTCTGATGATTATTAATAATTTCTTTAACTATTGATGGATCAGCTAAAGTTGAAATATCTCCGAGATCATCAGTATTATTGGCTGCCACTTTTCGTAAAATTCTACGCATAATTTTGCCCGATCTTGTTTTGGGCAAACCAGGAGTGAACTGAAATAAATAATAGTAATCAGTTATTATGAATTTACAAATCTTTCTTTTGACCTCAAATGTTACATAAAGTATTAATTAAGACATTAATAACTCTCTAGACCATCGGATGGTCTGGATTTTTAATGGATCAAAACATGATTGCCATTTAATAATATAATTTAAAAATGGATAATCAAGACTTTTATCATAGCAATGAAAATCGAGACTATGCTATTCTTATCAAAACTTCCAACATTCCTAACTTAGCTCAGATTAAGATTAATTTGACTGATATTTAAAATATATGGCTTCGCTAGCAGGATACCCAGGTTTGTCCGGCACCCAAATTCATACGGGGCCAAAATTCACCCGGGGCATAAATTCAATGGCCTAAAACATTCACAGGGTCATGCTGGTTAATTTGATACCATATATGTGGGGGTGGATGGGCAATTAACATACACGCGTCTTTGATTTTATTTATAGAGATAATTATCTATTTTTACCCTATTATAGTGAGAACTGTCAGCTCTCTATCTTTAACCTACAGGAGAATTTACAGACTATAAAATTTAAATTTCAAAGAATTTAATATTATAACACAATAAAAATAAGAGTTAAATTTATAGCTTTTAAAGGGAAAGTCCAGCTTAGAAACCGTTTAACAATGTAGGACAAAAATATTAAATCCTACCTGAATAACATCTGGTTGAGCATATGAGGCTAATCTGGATTTTGTTAGCTCTCGTAATTCTTTGGAAATTTTCTCGAACGTGTCTGTTACGTCATCTTTCAATATAATATAGGCATAGATTCCTGGTGTATATAAAAATATGAAATATATATATATTGAAAAAAGATAACAAAACCACATTAGTTCACATAAAGAGTTAACATTCCCAACTGTCCTGCACTAACAGAGATAATGAAAACAGACATTTATCAGGGATGGTGGTGCTTGTTAGAGGACCTTTAACATGCTGCCAATCGTATAAACAGGACCTTGTTTTTTGTAACATCCAAATGACTAGACTTTTTTCCTTGCTAGTCCCTCCTACCTGAATGTACCACTGACAAGGGGGAAACATCAGGCTAGAAAATCATGAGGACTTTGTCTGCCAACTGCGAGATCGAACCTGAAACCTCTTAGCTAGTGAGCAAGCCACCGTACATCCATCTTGATTTGTCCCTGATAAAATTAGTGATGAAGATGATCACGAAACTTTACCTTCTCCTTTTACATCATGTTTAAATCCTACAACAGCTGTTTCTGCAACTGCAGGGTGATCATCCTAGGGTTAAAAAAAAAGTATAAACTCTTTCAAGACAAGAAATAAATGCAAATAACGACAATTACCGATCTGATTAAAACACAGATCGTATTTTGTTTCTTTTTTTTATAGTTCAAAATTTTGTTTTACTTGTCTTTACTACACTAGGATCTGGAAGAGTTGTTATCATTGACGTGTTCTGGATGATGTGAGGGTTTAGCCAATGAAACGGTCTGTTACGACGAGCTTTTGGCGTGAGGAGCAAGGAACTGTGGGTAATTCACTAGAAACATCAATACTGATTGGTTAATAAAATGTCTGATGTCATAGGGTCAAAAGCTGCTCCTATGATCTCTGACGCGACCTCCCAAAACAACTGGTCAGATCTTCATGAAGCGTAGGCCATCAAGAGTATAAAAAACAAAACGAAATATAGATCTGTATTTTAATCAGATTGCGACAGTTACATAAATAGTATAGGTAGCAGGCGGTGGCATGAGGGGAAGCGCAAAACCTATATAATAGTTACAAAAAATTAATGAATGTTTTTTCATTCAAAGCTGCCCATGAGTGATTTTTCGCCTTTCTGAATGATACTAATATGCAATTACAGTACTTCTGTTGATCTTGTTGCTGCACAGAAAGAAGGGTTGTTTAACCAAGAGTATAATTATAAAAAGATCCAGCTTATTATTTGTGATATAATGGTCATTTCTATACTTAAAGATACATTATGTACATTCTTGCTATAATAGTTCAAAAATAGATAATGTAAAATGAAAATATTGAAAATTTCATTCAAATTACTTCATTCTGAGCCAAGTTATCACTATTTGTAGTTTTTTCTAATCTAGTAAAAATCTTGAGTATCCGAAACCATCGAGAGTTGATTATGGTCGTGTATTGTTCATAAATGTCTAATTAATAGATTACGGCCTAAAGAAAGACCTGCAATAGGCAGATTTATCTCTTGCATAATGTATGTTTAAGTCATATTGAGCGGTCTGTGGTATGTATTGTGTATATTTATATCTGGCTGTATGATTTATTAACTATTTGATAATTAATAACAAATTATGACTTTAATAATCATTTTTCAATTTCAACAAAGACCCAATCTGTTTAAAAAACAGATCCTATTTCATTCTGTTTTTAAAAGTTCAAAATTTTGTTTTACTTGTCCTTACTACACTAGGATCTGGAAGAATTGTTATATAAGCCGTGTTTTGGATGATGTGAGGGATTAGCCAATAAACGGTTGGTTATGGCGAGTTTTTGGCGTGAGGTGCACAGAATTGTGGGTAACCCACAAGAAACATCAACGCTGACTGATTAATCAAATGTCTGACGACATAGGGTCAAAAGCCGCTCGTATGACCTCTGACATGACCTTCCACTACAACCGGTCAGATCTTCATGGTAGTGTAGGCCATCGAAAGTATAAAAAAAACGAAATGAATATAAGATCTGTATTTTAATCAGATTGACAAAGGCCACTCTATTAATTAATTAGTTTTACAATTCTTGAGGATTTTAATAGGAACATTTGTTTCTGTTTTTTTCCAGCAGTGTTTATAATATTATATGACGGAATATAAACATAGTGACACTTACCATGACATTTTCTATTTCCCCTGTACCCAGTCTATGTCCGCTAATATTTAACACATCATCCATTCTCCCCGTTATCTGATAATATCCACCAGGATGACGATGGGATCCATCACCAGAAAAATAAAAACCTTAAATAAAAATATAAATAAACTTAAACACAAATACGACAAGAATGTAGACATTGAAATCGACTTAAAATTTTTATAAAATTTGTATTACATAATTAAAAAATCCCCACTCAGGCAGATTTTAACAGGAATAGATGAAAGAGGGTTTTGTTATCATAACATTTTGTTTTATACGATCCTTTTTCAGTTTGAATTATCTATTCATGTCTACTGTCTCCAACCCACATCAGTTTATAATCCAGCAGGTACTCTTTTAAGGGAGGGTTGCTGTTCCCCCTCCCTGCCCCTAACATCCATATTAGTGTTATTATTGTGCCAAAAATTAACCCTAAGAAATAATAATAACAGGTTTTACAAATTTTAGAATCAATAGCCGGACTAGTTATTATTTAAACATACATTATGCAAGAGCTAAATCTGCCTATTGCAGGTCTTTCTTTAGACCTGAAATGTTATATAAACTATTAATTAGACATTTATTAACATGAAAAGACCATAATCAACACTCGATGTCATCTAATGTGTCGGATGTTTGATGATTTAATCCAAAAATGGATAATTGAGACTATATTTTTTTATCTTACCAGCTTTAGTAAAGATGATCGGGGCTAGGCCTAAAATTCAAATGCTAAAATCTTGGTTCAGAGTGGATCAATTTGACTGAAATTTTCCGCATATTCCCTTTGTATTATCTAGTTTTTAACTATTATAGTGAGAACTGCCAGCTCTTTATCTAATCTTCCATAATGTTTCTTTAATATTGTGTCAAATATGACGCTAAGAAATAATAACAATTATTTACGATTATTACCTTTAAATGGCTGATAATAAGTTTCAAAAAATCTATTATGATCACCATATATGGTATATGCCATTCCAGGCCATGGTTTTCTGATACATAACGCACCTGATGCATCATCTCCAACAACTTCTTGTCCCTTTAAAAGAAAACAAATAATTATGAAAACAGTAGTGCTGGGTATTGCAAATTAGTCACGATACGACACAGAGAGAGGAAAATGGTGTTTAACGTCCACTCGACACAAACTAGGTCACGTCGGTACTAATAGATGGTTTAATTTTATTTCAGTAATTCGCTTGCACGTTGAGGTCTTAGTGGGAGGAAACCGGAGGACCCAGAGAAAACTCCTGGTCAAATACAACCGGGGATTCAAAACCATGCCAGTTGACTCATTGACAGACCTTATGATACAGCGCGCACGTGCTAACGATTCGGCCATTGACCCCCCCAGTCATGATACGTATTGTATTTCAGGTACTATGATACCATTCCTATTGTGATTCATAGCCCGGTCAATATTTACCAATACAACAACAGGATAAATTAATAATTGATATTCTTCTGGCGAGAATTTTTAATCCTGTCAAAGTCAGAGAAATAAAAAAAATTTTTTATCACGATATTCATATGGATCAAAATAAGGACCAAAACAATTTAAGGGTGTTTAATTATAAGTAACTGGTTAGTTACTGAAGTGGAAAAAGAACCGTGAGAAGGTGAATCGCGATATACATCGATTCAACAATATATCGTGCCTGCACTAGAAAACAGGGGCCGTATTCACAAAAAATTAAAACACAGTTTTTTCATTGGCTAAGAGTTAAAGAGAGAGAGACAGGGTTTAATGTCTACTAGGTCATTTCGGGACAAACATATGGTTCAAATTTCTTCTAATAATTAGCTTGCGCATTGGAGTCTCTAGTAGTTGGAGGAAACTAGATGACCCGGAGAAAACTCACGAGGTTGGACAGGCGACCTTACATCTTGTCACGTACAAGTGGGGAATCAAGCCAATTGACTCAATGACAGATCTTCTGATCTGACGCCATTTCATTTTATTTATGATTTAACGCACACACGATAAACCATTCAGCTACCACATCGTACCCCTCCCACACCCATTTAATGTCTGCTGTAGATTAGATATCAAAAAAGCAGACGACCTACCTCAACATCAAGTAAAACAGGATCTATACCAAAGAATGGTCTCATTGGCATCGCAGGCAGAATCTCGGCTCCAGGATTTGATGGTCGAGGTGTTAGACAAATGCCACCCGTTTCTACAATATATAAAGATCAAATCATGTTTTTGATTGTGTTATTCAGTTCAGGGTATGAAATAAGCCTCTTATATGGTAACCTCAAAATAGGTTACGCTAATCTGCATCAAATTTGAACTGGTAACCTATAGGTTACCATGCCATATTTGTTTAGAGCCGACCCTCGAATTAGCCTAGGGGGATTTGGGGCCAATTAAAAGATTAGCCAGCTACCCCTAAGCTTATTAAATCAGCAGGGCCCATATATCCCTAAGCGAATTAGTGGATTATTGTTAATCCTAAAACTCTCTACAAAATTGCAAATAACTAAAAAAAAATATTTTTTATACAAAAATGTACAGATTGTCGTGTTCTTTCCAATGATATAAAATTCAATTGTACAAACTAACAATTACCGGTATATTACTATAAATAATATTGAAAAGTCAGTTCCACTAAAATTATGACTTTTCTCTGTCATAATAAACGTGAACATGTATCTCCTAAGATTTTATTTTAAAAAAAAGAACAGTGTTCAAAGTAAATATAAATATATAACTTTTAGAAAGAAATATCGCCCCAAATGACCGTCACTTCATCGCTATGTGACATTTCTGCCTTTGTTGGATATATGGTGGGAATTGTCGTCTTCTTTGCTTCATTGCATCGAAAATAAAAATATATAGTTGAAATCTTCGGCAATGTAATATTCCTCTATGTAGTTTGTATTAAATCCTAAAAGTTTTGATTCAATTTAGCTTTCCAAACTCTAGAATTATTATCCGTAAGTTTTGTGGTATCGTCTGTCTGGAAACGTATCCAAGATATGGCGGCCGACACGCTTGATCTCGGCTGCTTCGCATCATTCATAACGTCCCCCAAAAATAACAAATAGTTGATTTCTTCGACATTATCATGTTCTACGATATGCCTGGCAGTAAATCATAAAAAATTTGATTCCATTTCACTTTCCATGTCATAAAATTATTAGCCGTGAGTGACAACGTGAAAATATTGGAATAATGCCAAAGTCATTGACACGGTGTGAATTTTCACCTCTGAACTATTACGTAAATACCGGAAGATTTATTGTTGAAAAGTATGTTTTTTTATTTAATAATTTGCGAATATAACATTCCTTTTCATTGGGTGTTTTATTTTTATTACTCAATCACCATTAATTTAAGAAATAAAAACAATAGAAATCAGTTGATTGATCTGGCGCTTTCGTTCGCTAAATAGGCTAATGATGTATGACGTTGCCAGGTATGATGGGTCCGCGAGTTGATTTGCTACCGCCAAAATGACAGGTGCGAACTTAACGATCTTTCAGGCATTTATTTATAATTGTAAAATGTTTTAATGTAGTAGTGGAGGGAATATTTTAACTGAAACCTTTAGTTTATAAATTATAGCTCGGTGGTCGAGAACGGAAGTCCGTTCGCGTGTTTCCAGGTCATGGTAACCGATGCGTAACCTGAACGACCGTTCGCGTGTTATTTCGTACCCTGCAGTTGGTCAACCCAGTAAAATCGGTCTTGAACTCAGTCAAAACATTCACCTAGTGAACATCTACAACAAGTTTGAAACATTGTACCGCATTTAGTTGTTTTGCCCAAAAAGTACGCCAGACAGACAAACCCATTTTAATAGTTCCATGCTTTCTTCGAACAATATAAACAGATGACTGTTTTCCAAATGAAAAACCAAATATGGAGATCGTACCTGTTTGCCACCATGTATCAATAACATCAGATTTATTTTCACCAACTACGTCTCGGTACCATTCAAACGCTTCATGATTTAACGGCTCTCCAACTGATAAAAACAATAATACACTTATAAACATCAACTTAAAATAAATGGACAGCATCCATCTTGTAAGCGTAATAAAAACTGTAGGTTACACTAAGATGTGTGTATTGTTACAGGATTTCCTTGCATAATCTCAGAGAGAGAGAGAGAGAGAGAGAGAGTAATGGGGTTTATTGTCAACTTGACACAAAGTAGATCATTTCGGGACTAACATGGTTCAATTTTATATCAATAATACGCTTGCACATAGGAGTCTTTAGCAGTTGTAGGAAACCCAAAAGGCTGGACAGGCAACCCTTCTCCTTGTCACGTACAACCGGGGAATAAACCACGCCAGTTGACTCAACGACAGACTTTATGATGCAGCGCGCATGTGCTAAGCATTCGACCATCTAACCCCCCATATCTCGAAAAGGGCCAGATTAAGATTGCATTGGGACCCTGGATGAAAAATATCACTCTGGCACCTGCATCAACAGTGAAAAGGGGGCATTTGTATGTCAAAATGATAGATATTTTGGCACAAACATATACAACATATTAAATGAAAAGCCTGAGGACCTTTCTGCGCCAATATCCGGTATTCACATCCACTTGACAGAAACTAATTCATCTTGGGACTAACATATGATTCAATTCTATTTCAATAATTGCACGGTAGGGGTCTTTAGCAGTGAGAGGAAACCAGTGGACACTAAGAAAAGACGACCCTATTCCTTGTCACTGTTTAAGCGGGGAATCAAAACCACGCCACCTGACTCAATGACAGATCTTATGATTTCACGGGCATGCGATAAACCATAAAACCACTCTCGTCCCCCACCCCTACCAATTTGTCAGCTGCTCTTTCCAAAAACAAACCCAACCTGTTTCAATTTTGGTGCCTGTAAATGTTTAACTTACCACATCCTAGTTTCCTGAGAGAAGATCTGTCATATTTAGTCACCCAAGAGTCACCTGCCTTGAGTAGGAGACGCAGAGCTGTAGGAGCTGTATATAAATGGTTTATCTTTAATCTTTCAACCGTTTCCCAATATCGACCTATACAAAATAGAGAAATTTCACAGATCATTGAAGGCACAAATAAAACAAGCAGTTCATTGGTTAATGTATTCAACTAAAGAGACATCAATTAGAAAACTCTTGTGATGAAATATTAATCATTTGTTTTCAAAAACAATATTTCAAACTTCAAAATTTGGGCAACTGTTTAATCTTAAGTACACATATTTTGTTTATCTACAAGATAGTTTTGGGAAAGAAAATGATCATTTTTAACTCTGTATATCTTTAACCATTTTTACACATTCATTTAAACTATAAATTTAACTGTATTTATTGCATATTAAAGATCACTGGAAAAGCTTTCATAATGAAAGTAATTATGTCAACATATCCTTTCCATAAGTAGGGCCGGGTCCCGAATGTCAATGTTACCTGCCACAGGTAAATTTTGACAGGTAGATTTCCACCGTTCTCCAGGAGAAGTCGTAACTTTCCACCAATAAATATTAAAAAATTTATGAAACTTTTCCGGTGACCTTTAAGTTTTGATTCTTTGTAATTTTAATTCTATGACATGTAAATTAACTGACAGGTGAATTTTCCTGATGGTCAATTTCACTTACAGCAAGTCAAGACTGCCAAATATGAACTGAGGGGTCCACATGAATAAAAGAAATTTCAATCTGTTTTACAGAGGTAATACGAAAGCCTTCTTTTAAGTCTGTTCATGTGCAGTGCAGGTATACGACACTACTTGTGACGTGTGTATTGTGTACATCGGACGTAATAACACAATATGACATCATTATGGTATGTGACCTTTGGCCCAATATTGTACCCCTCTATTATTCTGTCATATTTTTTAATAAGACTGTCAGTGTATTTATATAATATAAAGCCTGTACCTGGATCTGGATATGTTGGTGTACTAGAATATAAAACAGTTGTAGCTCCGTTTAATAATGGTCCATAAACAACATAACTGTGTCCTGTAATCCAACCAATATCAGCCAAACATCCAAATATTTCACCTTCATTATAGTCAAATACATGCTACAATAAACATATAATCATAAGACAAATTAAAACGGTATTAGGTAAGATTTAGATAAAGAGCTGACAGTGCTTGCTATAATAGTTAATAAACAGATAATGAAAAGGGAATTAGCTGAAAATTTCAATCAAATTACTTTGCTCTGAGTCTAGATATTAGTGATACAATAATAGGCTAGCCTTGATTGTCATTACTACTTTTGTTACGATAATAAACAAAGTCTTGATTATCCATTTTTCGGTAACCCCAACGACCACAAAACTTATTTAAATCTACTATATCTCACAGGCATCCGCTGGCATCGAGTGTTGATTGTGGTTTGCATAAGTTAATGTCTAATTAACATTTATAAGGCCTAAAGAAAGGTCTGCAATAGGCAGATTTAGCTCTTGCATAATGTATGTTTAAGTATTAGGGGGATATTTGGAATCGGGAGATTAAATCCCAATTCATTTTATTGTTTTTCTGTCTTGGAACAGACAGTGTTTCGTCAATAATCCATGATCGTGCTAAGTTGTTTATATATTAGGCCTGTAAATATTGATATTAGATGTACCTGACAAAACAGCTCCTGGCCCCGGAGTTCACAAAGCATTTTCAGACTAAGTTACGAATTTAATCTACTTTCAATCATTATTAATGGGAAATATCTTTGATCCAGTCTGAGAACTAGGGGGCCTGCTATTTTGAATTTTGTGCCAGGCTTGTGTTCAGGATCGCAATAAAAACTTTGAAAAAATTGGTGCCAAACAAAATGACAGGTTCCTGATTTTCAGGTTTTATTCTTTTACCTTAAAGGTAACAGAAGCATATATAGGTTAGGTCAAGTAATCTACACCCAAAATGACAGGCAGTCAGGCACTTGAGGTATTTACCTGACTAGGCATGTATTTCTACCTCACAATGTCTGTGACAGGTGCCTTATTTCAAGGCTTGGATTTACTCACCTTAAAGGTAACAGCAGTATAGGTCAGGTAACCACCATGGGAATGTGCCACACCTTTAGGTTTACCTGTACTTCCAGATGTGTACAGCATGAATAGACAATCATTGGAATCCATTACAGTTGGTTGACATTTATTGCTAGACTCGGACATAACCTATAACAATATTAGGGATAGTTCATACAGTTGGTTCACATATACTGTTAGACTCTGACTTACAATTGGTTCACATTTACTGTTAGACTCTGACTTACCGCCAGTTCACATTTACTACAAGACTGTGACAATATTACAGCAGGTTTACATTTACTACAGTATTATAGATGGATGATGAAATGGTGCAGTATTCATAAGTTGACAGCTGCCTTATAAACTTGAAGAAAACCTTTAAAACATAGGTTGCACGGCAAGATGGGCAAGTGTAAGGTGAATGAGGTGAATAAGGGAAGAATAAATGTGGAAAGAATATGGGGTGAACGTGGAAGGAATATGGGGTGAATGTGGGAGAATTTGGGGTGAATGTGGGAAGAACATTGGGTGAATGTGGGAAAAATATGGAACAAATGTGGGAGAATTTGGGAAGAATATGGGGTGAATGTGGGATGAACGTGGGAAGAATAAGGGATGCATGTGGGGAAAATGTAGGAAGAATATGGTGTGAATGTGGGAAGAAAAGGTGTAAATGTGGGGTGAATGTGTGAAGAACACAGGCGAATGTGGGAAGAATATGAAGTGCATGTGGGAAGAATATGGGATGAATGTAGAAAGAATATGGGTCAATACATTGTATATATGGTTCAATATGGGATGAATATAAGATGACCAATGAGTTATTATAGTGTGATTATGGGTGAATATGCAAAGTTTACCTTTTCTAGTGGTATATCTAACTTATTCATTTTAATTTCTCGATCAATTAATTTATATACAAAAACTCTCTTGACACATGGAGATTTAGCCACTGCTTCATCAACATTTTTTTTCAATTTTACTGTCTTTCCTCCCCGTATTTCCTCATTAGCTGTTATCACAGTCTCTGCTTGAGCTGAAAAAATATAAAAATATAGTTTTATGTGATAATGTATTTAACAGCTTATATTGTAACAATATAAAAGGGAAACAACTCCAGCAATTGCCAAGATGGACTAATACCACTAAGAGTCATAATTATTTCCAGATTTGCAGGATAGCAAAAGAAATGAGATTGAGATGGCCTAGTGGTTTAGAGTGTGTCGCTCTTCGACTTGTCACCTCTGGTATGTGGTTGTGGGTTCAATCCCTGGTTCAAACACATGTGGCTTGGAGATCGGGGCACCTTCTCAACCTCATGGATTTAAGGGAAAGGCTGGTACACATGCTGAATTTACTAACATAAAACTTTGTCTGCGATATCAGGGTTCAAGCAGACATTAATTCTCAATTGACGACTTTTTGGTCTAAAATTGAAGAACATTACATTAGGGTTCGTCCTTGCATGGCCCAAAAGCTTCACACTGAAATAAATCTCTTATAATCCATAAGTTTAGAAGGTCTTCCAAAAAGGGGGGATAACTCTGGACAGGATGATTGTGGATCACTGAATATTAATTGGTTCATCCTCTGACATTGTGTGCTTTAGATCATAAGGACTGTGTTTGAGCCAAGTGGTGAGGTTTTGGTCACACATTTGAACTTCTGTCTAACCATGTGAGTTATCTCTTGGTGTTCAGGTTTCCTCTGATTGCTAAAAGATCCCTATGTGCAAGCAAATTATTGAAATAAAATTTTACCTAATGTTAGTACAAAAACTGAATACCTTACCATCTAAAATTCTCCCTGAGAGAGCCTCAGCACTGAAACCAGCGAAAACCACACTGTGAATGGCTCCGATTCTGGTACAAGCCAACATGGCTGCTACCGCTATTGGAGAACATGGTAAATAGATGGCTACCCGATCTCCTCTATTAACACCATGATTTAACAATGCTTGGGAAAGTCTGTTAACCATATCCGATAATTGTCTGAAAAGATATAAAAAATTGCTTACTCAAGCTAAATTTCAAACCACTAATATGTCTGAAAATATATAAAAAATTACTTATTAAATATAAATTTCAAACCATGAATAATGTTATTTTTTGTACTCCCAAATGTCACAGTTGATTTTGTAAAAGTTGCCAGCATATGATTATTGATACTCAATTCACCCATTTATATCATATGTTAAAATTAATAGTAATATAAACTTTAGCACTAACAGTTTATCTATGTTCTTTTATGTAACAAGAGTGGAACAAATTACACAGGTTATTCTGGCACACAACTGCACATTCAAATTTGTGTACATCAGCAGGGGGAGCCACGGTGGTTAAGTGGGTAAGACGCTGGCTCATAAGCCCGGAGGTCTCATTTTCGATCCCTGCATTGGCCGAGACAGTTCATCAGAATTTTCCGACGTGGTTTCCCCTTGTCAGTAGTGCAGGACAAAGGGCTTGACAAGGACAGCTCTCTAGTCATTCGGATAGAACGAAAAAATGAGGTCCCGTGTATATATTGGCGTGCACATAAAAATCCCCTGGTAGTTGGAATTTGATATAAGAGTAGACGATAGTGCCGCTGCCTGGGCAAAATTTCCCTCATAGCACACTGTATGGTGTATGCAGTCATGGCCCTGCCAATAATATGCTTGAAACTTAATTGATTTCCAACTGTAAAGTTTTTTTTTACATGCATGCACACTAACATGTACACAGGACCTGGGATTTTTATCCCATCTGAACAAATAGACACTGTCCTTGTCAGGCCCTCTGTACTGCATATTTCCGTAAGCACAAGACCTCTCCATTATTCTTTAAATTGTAATCATTTTTTAAATTGAAAAAAAAAGTGGCTTTGTTATTAGATTTGCTCGCTTCCTCCTTTTAAATAGCTGAAAATCCTTTAGAACTAAAACTCCAATTAGTGTGGTCGAAAAAGGCTCGATACTTACTTGTAGGTAATATATTCTTGAGATCCTGGTTCATCTTTTTCCCATATAAGGGCAATCCTGTCGCCATATTTTTCTAGGTGACGATCAATACAATTTACTGTAACAGAAACATTAACAGTCTTTAGATTTCACAAAATATTTATTAAAATATAACATATGATCTAATGAAATAAGAGAGAAAGAGAGAGAGAGAGAGAGTCTTTAAGAGTGGAAGGAAACTGGAGGACCAGAAGAAAACCTACATTCTGTATGATCTAAAGAGCATGCATTAGACTACCCAAGACATTCACAGTCTATTATTTTATTTGTCATGGTCATTACCATCCTGTACACAGAGATCCATCTCCTTCATACTTTGAGGGAGATCACGTGACTAGGTGGGTAAGACGCTGGCTTGCTAGCCTGGAGGTCGTGTGTTCGATCCCTGCATTGGCCGAGAAAGTTCATCCGGATTTTCCGGCGGGGTTTCCTCTTGTCAGTGATGCAGGACGGAGGGCCTGACAAGGACAGCTGTCTAGTCGTTCGGATGGGACGAAAAACTGAGGTCCCGTGTACATATTGGCGTGCACGTAAAAGATCCCTTGGCAGTTGGAATTTGATATAAGAGTAGGCCGTAGCGCCGCTGTCTGGGCAAAATTTCCCTCATAGCACACTGTATGGCGTATGCCCGTCTTCATTAGCCCAGTTTAGGAGCAGAACAGTAGGACATTAAACCCCATTTCATTTCATTTCATACTTTGAGAATAGATTTCTGCATTGATTCACCCGCCATATCCAAAAATTAGTATACTGTCTTACATCTGTCGTACACAAAAAGACTAAATAAACCCTTTTGCAAATGTATTAAATGGAAGCAGAATAACTAATTAATAAAATTCTTGAAGTTTTCGACTGAAATCGTTGATTTAGAACCTTAAATGTTGGTCAAGATAATTGTAGACAGACAGCCTAAGTTTAGTATGGGTCATTACAAATTATAATAATAGATAGAAAATATGTTCATAGTGTCGAATAGATGACCTATATATTCTTGTGATACTCACTCTTAATGCAACTATATATACTTGTGGGCTTAAAACATGCACCAAAATGAAAGCACAATTATTATTATTATTACTATATTTATCTAAGAGATATAAAGATGACAGTGTGATATCAATACAAACCAACACAAACTTAAAATGATTGTAACTTAATTTGAAAGGAAATCATTTGAAATAAACCGTCACTTTAAATACACATCTGTTAAGTAGATCAACACAAGCAGTATAAATAACCTAAATATCATAAATAGGTTTTTAAAAATTCACTTGTTACTATAGTTACTAAGTGTAAACCTCTTGATAATACTACGGACATACATACTAATAATACTACTTTCTTAATAATCTATATACAAGTATTTAAAGTAGAAATATATTTCAAATTGATAATCAATGGGCGTCCTCATTGAAGGAATTCCCACTAGGCGTCGCTAGTAAAAATACAGTTCCATGTGACCTTATCTATGGTAAGAAAACTGTATTTTGAAGTATCGGGATTAAATTCCATAGTAACGACAAAAACTAACGTTTGTCAACACACTAGTTCGTAATGAATGTACAGGAAAACAGAGAGAGAGAGAGAAATGGGGTTTAACGTCCACTCGACACAAACTAGGTCATTTCGGGACTAACATATGGTTTAATTTTATTTACATAATTCGCTTGCGTGCAGGGGTCTTTAGCAGTGGGAGGAAACTGGAGGCCCCGGAGAAAACCCACATGGTTGGACAGGCGACCCTACTCCTTGCCACGTACAACCGGGGATTCGAAACCACGCCAGTCGACTCAATGACAGACTTTATGATACAGCACGCACGCTAACCATTCAGCCATCCAACCCCCCCATACAGGAAAACAATGTTGTAAGGTAAACAATAAGGTCACATGGGACTGCCTCCTCTTTGGTGTCACCTATAAATTATGCCCCTTTATATCTAGTGAGAATGCCCCTTCTAAGTTATTGCCATTTATAGTTTACATATATGCTGTGACTCGGTGAGCAGGACAATGATTCACTAGTGAGGAGGTCTTGGGGGTCGCTTCAGGTGATTGCCGAGATAGTTCATAAGGATTTTCACACATGGCTTCCCTTTGTCAGTGGTGCAAGATGAATGAATGATCTGGTAAGGAACAGTGTCTCCGTCATTCGGACGTTGACGTGCAAATAAAAGAACACTTGACAGACGGAATTCAACATATAAGAGAACGCCTGCCTGGGCAGAATAACCCACACAGCACACTGTGTGACATATGCCTATCTTTAATAGTGTGGTTCACGCTGAAAAGTAGGGCGATAAACCCCATTTCAATGTCATTCTTACTATAATATTATGTTTTGAAGGTTGACCCTTCAGGGTTATAGTAATATCTATGATGATAATAACCTATGATAAGATAATTCATTCTGTTGACCTTTTAACCTAAAACATGATTGTATCCTACAGCTTTGTGTAAAAAGCTTATCAACTTTCTCTCCTAAATAACATACTGAAATAATTGTTCCTAACTCCACAGATATGAAGTATGGTATCAGCTGATTGAGAATGAGTGCATTAATGAATTGTTTATATTTCAGTTCTCACCAATTGTGCTTTATTAAAGATACATTATGGGAGATTCGATAACGAGTTGGCAGTTCTCATTATAATAGTTAAAAACTAGATAACGTAAAGGCAATTTGCTGAAAATTTCATTCAAATTGATCAACTATGAACCCAGAACTAAGCGAATGAAATTTCTGCCTAGCCTCGTTCATCATTACTAAAGTCAGTACGATAAACAGCATAGTCTCGGTTATCCATTTAATCGTTAAATCATGAAGGAAAGTTATGCAGTAAATCGGGTCATAATTCACTACAGATCGTAGGCTAGTCTTGCCATCTAGAGTTCATTATGTTCTGGATAGGTTAATTAATATCTAATTAATAATTTAGATAACACTTCAGGCCTAAAGAAAGACCTGCAATACACAGATTTAGCTCTTGCATAATGTAACTCAATATTATCTAAAGTCTTTGACAATGAAAACATGAATGTGTACCACAATGTGTTTCAGCGCCATTTGTAACAAGGGACGGTGACCAAGTGGGTAAGACGCTGGCACCCTATCCTGGAGGTTACGTGTCGATCCCTGCATTGGCCGAGAAAGTTCATCAGGATTTTCCGGCGTTGTTTCCCCTTGTCAGTGGTGCAGGGCGGAGGGTCTGACAAGGACAGCTGTCTAGTCGTTCGGATGGTACGAAACACCGAGGACCCATGTATACATTGGCATGCACGTAAAAGATCCCTTGGCATTCGATATAAGAGTAGGCCATAGTGACGCTGCCCTGGCGAAATTTCCCTCATAGCACACTGTCTGGCATATGCCTGTCTTCATTAGCCCAGTTTAGGAGCAGAACAGTAGGACGTTAACCCCCCTTTCATTTTTGTGTTTAAAAGGTCTATATTTGACCTTGATATATTGGTAGATAATGATGTATGTATTAATGTCAAGTACCTATAGTTTATATCACTACCTATTTCACCTGTCATCTGTGCAGTATTACACACAGATAAGGTGTATGAAGGGAGTAGAAGCTCCTTTAGGGCTGTCAATAAAAATCTTGAGCCGCAGTGGCTCAGGCTCTGGCTCGCTGACCAGAAGGTCGCAGGTTCGCTCTCCATGTTGGCCAAAAAAGTACCTCAAGATTTTTGGGAGTATTTTTCCTTTGTCAGTAGTGTCCAGTCATTCAAATGGGATGAAAAATCAAGGTGGTGTTTACACATTAGTGTTCACATAAAAGAACCCTTGACAGAGAATTCTAAATAAAAGTAGGCCATAGTGCCACTGTCCGGACAAAATTTCCATCATAGCACACTACATGGATGGCATATGCTAGTTTTCATTAACTCAGTCGTTGCAGATAAGTAGGACTTTAAACCCCATTTCATCCAAAATAAATTGATAAAGTATTTTAATTCCTATATTTCTTTTAGAAAAGGATATCTTTACTGCCATATATATATACTGCCATGAATGCATGTTGGAATACATTCTGATGAATTGCAGTATGATTTGGGGTTTCAATACACACTTTTCCGATGTGGTTCATGCAGGACGGAGGGCCTGACAAGGACAGATGTCTAGTCATTTGGATGGCACGAAAAACTGAGGTCCCATGCACACATTGATGTGCACATTAAAACCCCATCTCTCTCTACTCCCTTATATTTCTACTCCCAGTTTTTAAATATGAAATTATATCAGCATGTCATTTTGACATTGTGTATAAATAAACTATGACATGTAGTATAATAAATCTATCAAACTGCTACTGTAATATGTACTCTATTATAATATAAATCTGTTTCTTGTATTTCAGTCAAGAATGTTGATAACCAATACGGATGAATGAGATTATCTTTAATTGTCACTGTGAAATTTTGAATTTCAGCAATTTCTTACCATTTCATTCATAATATTTGGTATGATCACTTCTAACAAATTACATGAAGTTTTTGTTCCAACTAACCAAGGCAGTGGATTGCCTACGGAGGTGTGTCTAAGGTATGGTTGGTGGGGCGTGAATTACCTACAGAGGTGTGTCTAAGGTATGGTTGGTGGGGCATATGCAGGTTAGATCATACAAGGGCGTGGATTTGTTATAATTTTTAGGGGGGACGGACGAATCCTGGAACCTGGAACATTTCATTATCAAACCAAATTAATAATTACGAACAGTTTACTTTACTAGTGTTATTTCGATGAAAGCTGTAACTAGGGGTAATATGATATGAAGATCAGTAAGTGTGGCGAGACCCAAGGCAGTAGTTAGATAGCCTTCAGAATGGGACATTCATGTGGATATAAACCTCAAAATCTGTCCTGGCGATCAAAATCATGGGGGGGGGGGGGAGACAGAGACCTATTCGTCCCCTCTTCCAATTTTATGGGGGGGGGGCACATCCCCCCGTCGCCCCCTAAATCCACGCCCATGTTTACAAGGCCAAATAAATAATTACGAGATGTAAACAGGGTTAGAGCTAACCCAAACCCAAGACCTAGCCCTACACCTTACCCAAACCCGGCAACAATCATGTGCCCTAACCCTGTTTACACCTCGGCGACCTTGATGAATCATGCGTTTAACCTCATAAAATAGATCTAGCTAGCATATATGCCTGGGTGCCACTTGTAGGGGGTGCCCCTGAGAGGTACTAGTTGCAATTTGGACTGATTTTATGGTAAAGTGATCTAAAAAAAACCAACAAATGGGTGTGACATGAATGGACAGGGATGCAATTCCACTGTTTGTCATAAATGCGCTATTTTGTGCAGATCCACACTGCCTGTAAATAATCTGACTTTTCGTGGTCTTATGTTTCACTCCCTAAATTGACAGATAACAAAGCTGTTGCTACAAAAGAAAAAAACCTAATCCAGTCATCTCTCTACACGTAGTTCTGAACATTGGGTTTCACTATTTTATACAGTTTTAGTATTTGAGAAAAATAATCAAAGATTGATGAGATGCTTATTCTTAAAATTGCAATTTAAAATTTGTTTTGCAGTTTCAAATTTTGTCATTGGCCTATAATAATAAACACATAAATAAAGATAACTAAAGTTTGTTACAATTCATAAAAAAAAATGAGCTTGAGAAATGAACCGTTCTAAAATAATTCCTTAATAAAAAATAAATAAAAAATAACATAGCCTACCTGAGGCATTTATTTTTCCATCTATAAACCAATTGACTTTTCCCTGGGTCATATCACAATCCTGGACAGTATGAAAATCCTTTTCCCATTTCAATCGGGATCGAGCCAATTTTCCCCAAAACAGATCGGGTCTCTCCAAACTCATCTTGTACAAATCTTCATGACTGTTCAAGCCAGTCACGGAATCGAACTCTGGAAATGCTGTGGTCGAAATTGGTGAAGCATGTTTAGACGAAAAATGTTTATGATGTGCATTCTGGAAAGATTTTGTCTGGAAAAGTTTCTGCAACGTTGCATTTTGTCCACGAATCTTAGCTAGAAAAACGGGCAGCTTTAACGTAGCCATTCTGAGAGCTGTGAAACTGGGGTAAACATTGGCGCCCTCTGTAAATAAATAAATTGACGGAGTGGCACGTGTCTTTACGTCTGGTTAATAAAGTCTATGTTTTGATTCTTATTCATTGCGGCAATAGGCAATACCGACCTGACAACAAAATCTAGTTTATCTGCGGCGCGCGTCCATGAATAAGTTTTATCAATAAGATTAAAATACTGGCCTACAATAGCTTATCACTTTTAATCACTCAATTAACCAAATATTTGAATTTAAAGGTGAATTGCGAACCAAGCTTTTAAAACTAATTAAAGTCTTACTTTTCAGCATCAACGTGGCTATATACATGTATAGAAAATCAAATACGCGCCGTCGCATAAATGCCGTGGCTATATATATGAGGGGAATTTTCCCCGAACAGCGGTGACATTATATACGGCTTATAAATATACTCTTACTTTCGTTTCCAACTGCCAGGGGATCATTCAGGTGCTGCCACCGGTACCTCGTTTTTTTTGTCCCTTCCGACGAACGACAGTTGTCAGTAAAATATTCTAAAACACGGGGATTATTTATTGGGAAACTAGGAGGAAGATATTATGGAGATTCAAAAATATTTCGATGATGTTTCGAACCTGTTTTAAGTCTTGTATAGTTATTCGGATGGAAGGATAAATCGAGGTTCCGTCTACACGACGGCGTCTACGTAAAATAGAGCTCTTGGTAGTTGGAATTCAATGTAAGAGCAGGCCGTTACATTGCGCTACTCCGGTGAAAATTTCCTTCATAGCACATTGTATGGCACATGTCCGTCTTCATTAGCCCCAGTCGGTTCCGAAAAGTAGGACGTTAAACACCATTTCATTTCCTTTACGTGTTGTATATACTATATGGGAATTTATTTTGCAGCTAGCAGATTACTTTGCTGCTGCTGGGTATAATAGGGTCCTGGCATGCCCCAATGCCCCATCCACGGTGGGGCTGACAAGAGAAATGTGTCTAGTCGGCCAGATGGCACAAGAAAATCCGTAAACCCTTAAAATAATTCAGTTGCGCGTAGCGGTCTTTGCCTTAGAGGACCCGGAGAAAGTCCACGTACAAATTTGGGATCGAAGCGACGACATTAGACTCAATGGCAGGCCATATGATCTAAAGTGCATGACATAGTCTTATATTTAGAATCCTTTCACATCCAAACGACTAGTTGTTGTTTCTTGCCAGACCATCCACCCTGCACCACTGACAATGGGAAATGTCTCGGCTAACGCCAGAATCGACCCTCACCCCACAGTTAAAAGATATTGGAGCTTTTGTCATGTACAATCTGAGAATCGAAACGTTGACTCAGTATTGACAGACCTCGTAAACGTGAGACAATATCGGCCGCCCGTTCCCCGTTCCCCGCCCGGCAAGGAAGTCTCTATAGGTGTTCGATTGGTTCGTTTACGTGCATGTAAAAGAACCCCTTCATTATCGAGGATCTAGTAGAAAAGTTGGACGTTAAACCCAATTTCATTGTATTTACCATATTAGGGATTAACTGTATTGAGGATTAGTTGGGATTGGCTTGGGTTAATCAGTCAGGCTATCCATCAGATTAATAAGAATTGGCCGTAAAGAGTCCTGTCTAGTACAGGTGTAGAATTTATAACACAGATCAGTAAGTCTCACCTGTAATTAGATTTCATCGTCGTCTACAGGTGTAAACATGACAAAACACATCGTCTATCACAGGTGGGTGGCCGAATGGTCTAACGCGTGTGCTGTGGGTTATAAGGTCTGTCATTGAAGCAAGTGGCGTGGTTTCGATTTCTCGCTTGTTCGTGACAAGTAACAGGGTCGCATGTCCATCCCCGAGGGTTTACTCCGGATCCGCGTAAGCGAATTATTGAAATAAAATTGAACCATATATTAAAGTTTGTGTCGGTTGGACGATAAACCCCATTTCTTCCTATCTCAATCACAGTTGTAACAATAGAAACACCATCGTAAGCAACAGTGTTTCAGTAAGTAAGGTGGTGGCTCACTAACCAGGCGTTTCCGGGTTCGATTCTCATGTTGGCCGTGAATGTTCATCCGGATTTCCCAGCGTTGCTCCCCATTTTAATGGTATAGGAAGGATAACCTGACAAGGAACCGCGTCTAGTCGTTCGGATGGGGCGAAAACCGACGGCCCCCCGTTATTGGCGTGCACGTAAAAAGAACCCTCGGAAGCTGGAATTTAAAATAGGTGTAGACCACAGCTGCACTACCAGGACATAGTGTGCGACATGATTAATTCATCGAGTTGGTGCAGAGCGTTAAACCACACTTGATTTATTGGCTGACGAAGATGACCTGTTTGTTCTTGAAGAGGTATTATGGGATTATAAATACATTGTTCAATAGATTAACTATTTTAGTAAACATAATACCTATATTTTACCTACTGTACATACACAATATACAGACCGTATACCAGACGAAGAGAGTCATATTACACAAAACTTGTTACATTTAGCTACACATTGTCTTTACTCCCTCAACTTGTAGCTATAGTGGCTATAAACATGTGGATATTTTTATGGTACGTCTTTAAATTTATTTAATATAAAAAAAAATATTTAAATCCATAAAAAAAATTGTTTTCGAGTACCTAGTACCTTTTATTGAATTAAATTTAGGGGGCGTTCTGTACTTAAATGGCTTCAATGATAATGGCGTTTAGTAATTGATCTGGGAATACACAAGACGCAATTCAATGGATTGGGAATATACTGTTATACTGTTTATTACTGAGTGATGTTTCGACTAGAATTACTCTTGTGCTGATATAACAAATTTTACGATATGTGTTGTTGTCGAAAACAACCCTTTAAGATGTAATTTGTTTTAGAATGTGTTACTATAAACGAGCATACTTTGTTTTAAATTGGTTTTATATATATATATAGAAATATGTAAATGTAACGTTTATGTTAAAAACGAGCTATTTTGACTTATTTTGGGATGTATTGAGTTGTTTCATTCATGTTCAAAATAATCTTATGGATTTTATAACCAGTGACACCAATACTGTTATGCTATATACCCGGTGTTTATTATTAATCCGGGGGTCACGGTGGCTAAGTGGGTAAGACGCTGGCTCGCTAGCCTGGAGGTCGAGTGTTCGATCCCTGCATTGGCCGAGAAAGTTCACCGAGATTTTCCCTTGTCAGTGAGGCAGGACGGAGGGCCTGACAAGGACAGCTGTCTAGTCATTCGGATGAGACGAAAAACCGAGGTCCTGTGTAGTACACATTGGCGTGCATGTAAAAGATCCCTTGACAGTTGGAATTCGATATAAGAGTAGGCCGTAGTGCTGCTGTCTGGGCAAAATTTCTCTCATAGCACACTGTATGGCGTATGCCCATCTTCATTAGCCCAGTTCGGAGAAAAACATTAGGACGTAAAACACCATTTCATTTCATTTCATTATTAACCCTTCAGGGTATTGACAATACATGTACAACCGATTTTTAAGGGAGAGGCGAATCCTGTTAAGTTATTGCTTTAGGAATATACCATGTGTTTATATGTGCAACTGGGGCCGCGGTGACTCTGTTTGTAAGATGCTAGCTCGCTAACCTGGAGTCCCGTGTTCGATTCTGGTGTTGTCCGAGAGAGATCATCGTGATTTTCCGTCGTAATCCCCTTATGTCAGTGGGTATGATGGAGGGCCTGGCTAGGGATAGTGTCTATGATTTTTCGGATTGGATGAAAAACAGAGGTCACCTTTAACATTGGTGTACACATAAAAGAACTCTTGACAGTTGGAATTCGAAATAAGTGCAGACCGGTTTCATTAGCCCACTCGGTGCAAAAAAGTAGCACGTTAAACCCCGTTTCATTTTATTTCATTTGCTAAAGGCCTATCAAAGATGTCGTATAAAACTGTATTAAAGGGACAATAACACTCGTGCTGGCTTGACAGCTCCAGAAAATAAAAAATAGCCTTATTCTAAGTACTAGATGTGTTAGTGTCCTACCTGTTGTGTAAATTATCCATTAAATCCTATTTTACTTGTCCAGAGGGTTCAAAAATATTTTTAAATCCAAGTTACATTTGAAAAGCTTTACGTCAAGCTTTTCAAATCATTTAGTTGAATTTTTCCAATTTTTTAAAATTAGGTGTGTTAAGATGAAATTTGTATCATCAATTAATTGGAATATTGTAAAATAGTACAATTTGTTGACCAGAATAAAGATTGGGACATATTATTCAGTTACAACAAGAGTGGTATTGAGCCTTTAATCCATGTTTAAGAAGCTAAATATAGTTTTATGTTATTTTAAGTGCAGACTGTTGACTGTGGTATTGATAGCAGTGTAGAACTAATAAATTCAAAATTTTATAGTTTCTTCAAACTATTATTACATTATATTTATACTGGCTATAGTGGTGTAACGGGTGTCAATATTTTATAATATTTATTACAGCAGATTTCTAATGGTGTCGTAAATTATCTTTTATAAACTCAACAGCAGATAAACCTGTTTTCAAAAGTATAACACGCAGCTAGGTTAATAGTTTTCGTATTAAGGAAACATAACTCCTTTGGTGCTTGGAAGTTGCCAAGGATCAGTGCAGGATTCAGATGAAAAGGGGTCATGGGTTATTCCTCTTGTGAGGCCCCTCCAAATCCCTCACCCTTACGACCAGACGAAGATAAAAGTGTGTTTTAAACAACTGAGCAATGCCGAGGATGACGACATGTAAAGCATATTATACAACTTGTCAGGAGGCCCCTAGATCTTAAGGCCATAGTCTATAGGCCTCCAGGGGGGGTTGGATGGCCGAATGGTTAGCACGCGCGCGCTGTATCATACGGTCTGTCATTGTGTCAACTGGAGGGGTTTCGATTCCCCGGATGTACGTGACAAGGAGTAGGGTCGCCTGTCCAACCTCGTGGGTTTTCTCCGGGTCTTCCGGTTTCCGCCCACTGCTAAAGACCCCTACGCGCAAGCGAATTATTGAAATAAAATTGAACCGTGTGTTGGTCCCGAAATGGCCTAGTTTGTGTCGAGTGGACGTTAAACCCCATTTCTCTCTCTCTATAGGCCTCCTAAGCCTATATAGGTAAATTGGCGCTGAAAAAGAAATCGGTGGGTGTTTGAAATATGGAAATATCGGAGGGTTTCCTCGCCCAATACCGGGACGGAACCCGCGACTTCCCGGCCAGATGAATAGTTATATTTTACGCAAACCCTATGTTGAGTCGTCCTTAATGATGTGGGGGATTGGCTTGCCGAATGGTTAACGCGTGCGTGTTGCATCATAAGGTCGGTTATTGAGTCAAGTGGCGTGGTTCCGATTCCCTGCTTGTACGTGTCAAGGAGTAGGGTCGCCTTCTGATCTCGTTCCCCGGTTTCCCCCCCACTGCTAAAGACAACTACGAACAAGCGAATTAATGAAATACAATTTGAACCATATGTGAGTCCCGAAATGACCTAGTTTATGTCGAGTGGGCGTTAAACCCCATGTCTTCGTTCTTTTATGATGTATTTAAATCGATTGATTATCAATCAATCAGCTATAGTCAATCCGATCAAGATAATTGTTTAACTTGACAGTCTTTATTGATTTTATTGGTAAAATGGCGACAACCAGTTACACTGTGTGAATACATTTACGCTATAGGAAATCTACAGGTTGCGATACAATGCTTTTCTAAATTCTGGATTAGTTCCTCAGGTGTTTGGAAGGTGAGATTTGTGCTCTTGCAATAGTGAGGCCATATTATCGCATCGTGTGTTCTAGCCTCTAGAAGAAAGCTGAAATGAAGTGTTTTTGACGTCCCACTGTTCTGCACCATCCGCGTAAATTAAGACGGGCATACGTCATGCAGTGTGCTATGAGGGGAACGTTTACCAGACAGGGGAGCCACGGCCTACTCGTATTTAGATTTACAACTGTCAAGGGGTCTTTTACGTGCACGACAATGTGTACATTGGACCTCGATTTCTCGGACCATTACACCGATTAGACGCTTGCTTTGTCATACTGGAAAAAACCCAGAGAACATTCTCTATCAACATCGTGATGGAACACGGGACCACTTAGTTAACAAGCCAGAGCCTTACTCGATGACCCACCGTTGCTTCCAGGAAGTAAGCAAGCCCCATTGTTAATATCATTGCGACAGGTCAGATATTATGGTCCCTTGAATGACAATTGTTTTACGTCATTAAAATGTCACAGCTAGGTGGCTACCTGTCATAAATACCAAACGAATATGTTCCCAGTGCAAATCGTCTTAGATATTTGATTTAACAACAAAATGGCCCAAGATTCAGAAGTTATGGAATTTGGTGAGCTTTAACAATGTAGAGATGTTATGAAATGTAGGGATGTTCTGAAATGTAGGAATGTTCTGAAATGAAGCGAAGTTAGGGAATGTAGAAATGTTTTTAAATGTAAGGACGTCATGGGATGTAGAAATGTTCTGAAATGTATAGGGACGTTATGGAATGTAGAGATGCTCTGAAATGTTATGGAATTTTGTCATGAAACCTAGGGATGTTATGGAAAGAGATGGTCTGAAATGTAGAGGTGTTCCGAAATGAATTGTTTTTTTTTTCTAGTGCTATCTTGGGGTTCTGTATAGAAGCGGAGTTGTCCATTCCACAGCACCCCAGTGGTTGGTTGCTGACTATCCATCACATGAGTGTCACTAAGTGGTTGGTGGTTAGTTGTGGCTGGTGGATAGTCATCCCTCAAAACGTGTTTGCTTATCATAAGGCTATCCATCAACCAAATGTACTTACTGACTCCATAATGACCCATGGGTCTCTAATGTCGTTTAGTATGAATTTGACTTTCTATTTTTATCTTTCAGATCACCATTGGCAATTTTAAAGTCGCGGACATGGACATCATTTCCCGCCTCAACAAGAAGAATCACGAGGCCGCTGTTCGTGCCAGGCGCATGAACAAGTCTGCCAGACGTCTTCTCGATGACCGAATTCACAAAATAGAAGCTTCGCAAAAACAGAAGACGAAATCTCTTGATAGGAACACTGAGAGTGTTGCTACAATCTTGCAGGAACTCTCCGAGACGGCCAGGAGTCGGTATAGTGATGGTACTGATTCACCTATAACCTGGGATGAGGATTTCTGCCTCCCGTCTTTCAGAGATAAAACAACAGAAGACCCTAAAATTCCTGACCAAACTGAAAAGATAAAAGTAGTTAAAAGGAATCTTGAGAAACGTGAAAAAACAGAAACACATGTAATAAATCCCAATAAAGATTTGAACGAAAAACTAAAAACTGTTAAATCACACAGTCACCGCCCGAAATGGAAATCCGAAAAAACCCATGAAGAAGAACAAAGGTCGAAAAATGACATCACTGCGATCTCGCATTTTAAGCCGACTCCGTGTCGTTATGTTCTCCGCAAGAAAGAAACGCCCTGCATGTATTTCCCCTGTCGCTTACCAGAGACGTACCACAGTATCGGGTTTCAATCACGGCCCGTGGAATATAACACACTGAGTAATTACAAGGAACTATCCCACAGAAGTCGAATTGTGCTGCCCCTGAAACCTGCTCCGGTCAGCGGGAATTATAACGTTGCCGTTGATAAGACAATTGCTACGCCTCGAATTAGCGTCAAAGACAGGATTCGTGGTTTGAACCAATATGTGAAAGAAATGAAGGCTAGAAACGAGAGGTCGAAACCCAAAGATTGGGCAATTCGATACGGAGAACCGATCCCTCGCCGCCTTTTGCTCAAAACCGTAGTTCCTGTGTAAAATGAACTGAAGAAAATTAATACTGAACCATTTTGTTTAAAATCGAATTGGTTATTATAGAAGTTGTTATAGTGCTTTTTATTATATTTATATATCATATGTAAAACAAGACCTACTCGTTGAAAGGATGTGTTTTTAACTGTTAATCCCTAAAGGAGCTAAACCCTATCTAAATATTTTTTTTTTATAATATTCGAAAATAAAAACAAGAATTAGAATTAAATATTGGTCTATTTCAATAAAGATTGTTGTGTACACGGGGTGGTTTCGATTCCATACTGGTATGGGACAAGAACAAGAAGTATGGTCGCCTGTGGTTTGTCTCCGGATCAACTGGATCTATGCTCTCTCTCTCTCTCTCTTTCTCTCTCCCTCTGCATGAAGATAAAGACACAACCGAGCATGATTTACGCCAATACAATGTTTGAGAAATGCTTTCCCTGATATATTCACTTGATTTAATAGTATTTTTATTATTTATTGTTTGCGGTGTCCGTGGGTTTGTCATGTTATATTTGGATAAGTTCGATTTTGGCGCGATATTGGACTGATTGCACGAAACATCCCGTTGATTCCTTTTTAAATATATCTTTGTTACACCATAATTGTGGATGAATTCGAATTTCGCCCCCCCCCATCACCCTTTACGCAAGTAGTAGCAATTGGCAAAGCATGTATTACATATACGAATGTTGCAGAACCTCTAGAAGCTGATTAAGATGAAACTTAAAATGTGTATTAAGAATCAAAAGATCTTGGATAAGTTTGCCATTGGTGCGCATCGGACTTGACGTTATGCACCCTGTGTTTTACACAAAATGTAAAATATGTACAAATTTTATGGAACAATTTTGGTCTTATTCAGATAAAACTTGCCTAATATGCCAACCATCAAAAGGTCTTTGATCAGATCAGACCGCAACTTCTTGGGTTTTGGTCCTTGCCATTTACACAAAATATGAAAATTGTCCGACTTGGACGAAACCAAAAATATATGTTAAAGAACAAAAGACAGTGGATGAGTTTGATTTTGGTGTAACGGGACCTTTTGTTCCAGAGTTATGCCCCCTTATCCGAAAACTTTGTGAATGCGATAGAGGCAAAAGTTTTTAACAGATCTTTTTCAAATTTGGTGTGAAGCGACGGGGATGTCCATTAGCCTATAGGAATATTTACATATTCCACTTCCCCCCCTTTTCGCCCTTATCTTATGTTATTCCACTGATTTACGCATTGTTATAGTTTATTTATATATTACTATTTCGGGGAGCCACGGTGGCTAAGTGGGTAAGACGCAGGTTCGCTGCTTTATCGGGATTTTCCGGCGTGCCCCCCCCCCCCCCTTTGTCAGTGGTGTTCGGGTGGGACGAAACACCTAGATGCCGTGTATACATTGCAGGCGTGCACGTAAAACATTCCTTGGCAGTTGGAATTCGATATAGGCCTAAGAGTAGGCCGTAGTGCCGCTGCCCGGGCAAAAGTTCAATCATAGCACACTGTTGGGTTATGCCCGTCTTCATTGGCCCAGTCGGAGGAGAACAGTAGGACGTTAAAACCCATTTCATTTCATATTACTTTTTCGGATCCCTTAGAACCTCTTTACTTATTCAAGGCCAAGGTCATGTCGATAATGCATGTTTATATTCGATTAACCAGATACTCTGTGTCTATATGATTTGTGTTGCGCGATAATTATGCACTAGGAAATCGAGAATAAAGATGGCGCCTTAAAACCACAGAAATATATGTATATAAATAGAAAATGGTCTAGTCAATTGGATGGCGTGCACGCAAAAGAAACCTAAACAGTTGGAATTCGAAATAAGAGTAGTCTACCGGGCCGCTCTCCGTGCAAAATGTCTCTCACAGCACACTATATGACGTAAGCCAGTCTTACTTTAGCCCAGTCGGTGCAGAATCGTTTCAGGATTTTCGGAAAATAAAGGAAGACGGGTGCGAACGAAATTCATGTGGAATGCACACACCCAACAAAGTCGTCTTCAAAACGTAATTTGTTAAAAGAGACAGGAAAACACTTACACAATATAATCCACCTGGCCCTAGTCAGTGGCGTGGGATTGCTCTGTGGATGGGTGAGAAAAGTAAAAGTTGACTAAAAAATGAAGATCGATTTCCTAAGAATCAAGTCAAAATTAAGAAATAGGCTTGGAGGCCAAAAACTGAACGATCTCTCACTAACTTGCATTGAGCACGAACTGGTGCTAGAGATACATTTGGGTGATATAATTGATGAATTCGCCAATCTCAAAAAACGGAAGGGAAATTTCTGAATTATAATTCAGCAATTTAGCGAATTCATCAATTATATTATTCAAGTTTATCTTCTAGTATATTTCTAAAGAAACAAATTCTGCATTATTCGGAAATGATGATCTCAACAACTTCATTCCGATTACAAATCTAGATCAACACTAACTGCTTAGAACTAACTAATATATGACTCCAGGTCCGGGATATACTCCACAGACCACCATTTCAGGGTCATTCTCCACACAAGTCTCGCTATTCATGGGGGGTTGGATGGCTGAATGGTTAGCACGTGCGCGCTGTATCATAAAGTCTGTCATTGAGTCAACTGGCGTGGCGTGACAAGGAGTAGGGTCGCCTGTCCAACCTCGTGGGTTTTCTCCGGGTCCTTCGGTTTCCTCCCACTGCTAAAAACCCCTACGCGCAAGCAAATTATTTAAATGAAATTGAACAATATGTTAGTCCCGAAATGACCTAGTTTGTGTCGAGTGGACGTTAAACTCTCTCTCTCTCTCCCTCTCTCTCTCTCTAGCTAATCAGCAAGGGAAGACAACTCTGTTTGGGAGATTGTTTCAGGGTGTCATCTTGTCACTGGGGCCCGGCGACCTCATGATCGGTCACTGTATATATTCCATTCATTTGAAATTATTGCTGTTAAATTTGTTGTTCTACGGGGACTGGCCTACTAAATTTGAATAAAAAGTATATTTCTTCTGAGTACTAGGTGTTTACTTGAGTCTTGTGGGTACACATTTAGGGAGCTGGCACCTGGCTTCACCAAATTTCTGCACCTGCACCTCGGTAAAATAAAACCCGAACCGAAAAAATCCCGCTGTTTATAATGGGTATCACTTCTATTGTTGATTCTATTTCCCTTCATTATTGGGGCAGCAGTCCTGTAATAGTACCTCCCCTCCCCCCTCCCTTCCAAAGTACCCCCCCCCCGGCCCCACCCTCCCTCTATCCACATACACCCCGTCCACTTACATCCACCATCCCTTAAGAGTAACGTTAATCGTGTTTAAGTTCAAATCAAATGGAGATTAAAAGCCCTACTTTTCTACAGCAATCCAGCAATGCAGTGTGCAATGAGGGAAATTTGTATTATAAATACCTTTGAGGACTTGGCACCAGAGTACCGCCCCCCCCCCCAGCAGCGGAAACGCGTTCATGGAAAACGGGCTTAGAGAAACGTGAATCGCCCTGAAAAAGAATAATCCACTTAGTTTAGAGTAATATTAACAAGATATAGATTAACTAGACAATATCATATTATTAAATCAAGTGGGTTTTAACGAACTACTTTTCTGCACCGACTTATGTTAAAAATGTCAGTCAAATTACTTCATTCTGAGTGGAGTTATGGCCTTCTGAAGAAGAGTGTAATCTCGATTGTCATTGCTACCGTTATTACGATAATAAACAGAGTCTCGATTATCCATTTATTAGTTAAAACATCAACTGGCAATGTGCGTTGTGCGTTGCATCATAAGGTCTGTCATTGAGTCAAGTTGCGTGTTCCCCGCTTGTACGTGACACTTGTACGTGAGTATGGTCGATTGTCCAGCCTCGTGGGTTTTCTCCGGGTATCCCGGTTTCCTTGCACTGCTAAAGACCCCTATGCGGAAGCGAATTATTGAAATAAAATTGAACTATATATTAGTCCCCAAATGACCTAGTTTGTGTCGAGTGGACGTTAAACTCTCTCTATCTCTCCCTCTCCCTCTCTCTCGCTCTCTCTCTCCCTCTAAACCATGCCACCCCCCACCGCAACTTCCCACCCCTGCCAGGTATCCTGCTAGTAATAGTATACAGTAATATCGTATCCTAACTTTTACTCAGAGTAATATTATTTTAACTTAGAGAAGTGGGGTTTAACGTCCACTCGACACAAACTAGACTATTTCGAGACTAACATACAGTTCAAATTTATTTCAATAATTCGCTTGCGTGTAGGAATCTTTTACAGTGGGGGAAAACAAGTGGAGGCTGGACAGGTGACTCTATTCCTTGTCCATTACAGCCACTCAACTTGACTTAATGACAAATCTTATGATCTCTATAGTCCATTCCATTATTATCCCAGGTCCATATTTACCGAAGCCCCCATGTTTACAAGCATTAATTATTTTAGAAGCATTTAGTAACTTGATAGATCAAAAACCACGAAGACATGAAAGAACAACTATTAATTTATTTTGGTGACGTTTCAAAGATTATCTCTCAACGTTTTCAATTGATAATCTACCCGTGATTATGTCTCTGACCTTTTAAGGTTAATGACGTAATCCACGAAAGTTAATAGTTACTTGTTACATTATAATAAGCTTACGTTAATTCTTTTAGAAGTCATGAATTCAGAATATCGCACACCTGGATTAATCCTATTTACTGATTTCAATTTGAAAAGAATCAAGTCGATTTTGTAGTTATGGTAGTTATGACCAACAGATTAACGACGTAATTCAGGGTCAAGAAGCCGTAACCGAAAATATAACCCGCTGCAAACGGCCATAATATATCGTGTGGTGAAGACGTGACGTCATATTAAAACTAATTGGTAAACGTTATTACCAATTGGATTACACTAAAAATCAGTTCGAGAAGTATTGGAATTTGGAGAAACTTGTACCAAACTTGGACAAACACAACTTACAAAGTTTTTTTAAAGACTATAGTTCCAGATTGGACTAAGATACAATCTACAAAGCTATGTAGGTTTTTGATTAATTTGAACTCGACTTTATTAGTCCTTCGCGGGCGTGTCAATTTATTCTGTATAAGCTACGACAGAGGAGAATATTAAAACGTTTACCATGAATTTTGACGAATAACTAACAGTAAAAATACGCGGGAAATTAACAGATATGGGAGACACAAGGTAAGATATATTTTATTATTCTTTTCTAAAAATTCCTGAAACTGACAAATGCCCAATATTTATATCCCCATTTCCAGTTTAAACTTTAAAAAATGCATTACGTAAGCTTGGATAAAGAGCTGACAGTTCTTGCTATAATAGTTAAAAATAGATAATGAAAAGTGAATATGTTGAAAATTTTACTCAAATTACTTCACCCGGAGCCGAGTCCCGGTGATATTTTCAACCAGCGCCCCATGCAACCTGCTTCGATGCTTCAGAAATATTTGTTTGACCAGCACTAAATAATCCTCGTGTACACTTGACAAAATTGGAATTGGAAATATGAGTAATAGCCGTAGCACTGCTGCCCGACCAGCCCACTCCCACCCCACCCACTGACAGGACGTTAAGCCTCATTTCATTCCATCCCATTCAATTCCATTCCATTCCATTTCATGTCATTTCATTTCCTTCCATTTCCTTTCCATTTCATTCCATTTCATTTCATTTCCATTCCTTTCCATTCCATTCCATTTCATTTCATTTACATCATTTCCATTCCATTCCACTATATTCCATTCCATTCCATTTCATTTCATTTCATTTCATTTCATTTCATTTCCATTTCTATTAAACTGTTGGCATGTAGTTTCATAACTGTTTAACAAAGGCTTTCAATCTTGAAATATGGGTTAGGTGATGGGGGCTCAATAAGTAAAGAGCTGGGCTGGCTCACCAGGATGTTCCAGGGTTCGACTCCGGCAGGGTTGGCCATAAAAGGTCCACGGTGGTTCAATAAGTAAAGTTCTAGCTCACTTACCAGGATGTTCCGGGGTTCGACCCCAGTGTTGTCCGAAAAAGTTCCTCGGGACTGTCCGTGATTCCCCCATGTTAATGGTACAGGGTGGAAGGTCTGGCAAGGGACAATGTATAGTCGTTCAAGTGGGACGAAGAACCCAAAAGAACATTTTAACTTTAAAACACGTTGACACGTTCACAGATCTTACCCAAGGCAATATATCATTTTACCAGTCCATGTTGTTATTTGACAAAAAAGAGAGATTTATTTGATAAGCGATTGACTATCTATTTTAACTTTTAACACGTATAACCTAGTCTCTTTTAAGTACCGATTTAATACACAATCCCGGTTATCGTCCGCCAACGTACATACTCAATAAATAGTAGTACGTGCAGAAGGAAACAAAATGAAATGGAATGGGGTTTAACGTCCTATTAAAGTACTAAAGTCGTATAAAAATCAAATTAGCACGTGAATTAACTGGACATAATCAGAGTTATATGTATTGATAACGATGTTGCCACTTTAAAGTAAAAATGAAATGGGGTTTAACGCCCTACTGTTCTATTCCGACTGGGCTAAAGAAGACGGGCATACGCCATACAGTGTGCTAAGAGGGGAATTTTTCCTGGGCAGCGGCACTATGGCCTACTCTTATATGGAATTCCAACTGCCAAGGGATCTTTTACGTGCACGTCAATGTGTATACGGGAACTCGGGTTTTCGTCCCATCCAAAAGATTAGACAGCTGTCCTTGCCAGGCCTTCGGCCCTGCACCACTGACAAGGGAGAATCTTGCATTGTACAATGAACCATGAGAATAAAAATCGCCACTTGTTAGTCTCAAAATAACCGAACTACTGTGTTGACGAGGCATTAAACACCATTCCATTCCCTTCCAATAGTTTACATACGATCTGTATTGTGTTATGCTTCCCCTTTAAACGAGGGTGCAGAAAAGTAGGGCGTTAAACCCCCTTTTCATTTCATATATCTCAAAACAAGGACACTATCAGCAGAAATATCGGTTAATGACAAAAAAAAAAAAAAAAAAAAAAAATGAATAAGAGATAAATGTAGTATTTTAACCTTTTATCGACTTTTATTATGAAGAGGTGAACATTTCTTTGAAGTCAAGGGTGTTATTTTGAAGTCAAGGCTTCTTATCGTACTCTATCTTCTATCCGTTACTGTCTGTCCCTACACGTGTAATATGAAAATAAGGCTTTTACCCCCACGTCGGTTCTAAGGCTATTTTGGAATTTACCGTCTATTTTTCAACGTAATTCTTCTTTGTGTCAGATGTGTCGAGAAATGATTCCTTTAGATGTGTCTAGAAATGCTTAATTTTGGCGAGCAAGGAAGAATCACGGTGAAAAATAGACGGTAAGGATTCCAAAATAGCCTTAGAACCGAGGTGGGGGGAAAACCTTATTTTCATATTGCAGCTATATAGGGACAGATATGAACGGGCAGATGACAGAGAGAGTCCGATAAGAACCCGATAAGATACAAGAATGCAGCTATAAACGTTGAGATATACTGATATCTTTGGGGTTTTTTTTTAGCACGATTTCATGCCTTTAGTTTCACCTGAAAAACTTTTTTTCTTTATTAAAGATGATTTATGTAATATTTGGATATAGAGCGTCCGTTCTTTGTATAATAGTTCAAAAATAGATAATGCAAAATGAATATATTGAAAATGTCATTCAAATTTCTTTTTGGGGGCGAAGTTATTTGTTTGTAACTTCTCCAGTTTAAAATTAAACCAATAAATGGCCGAAACGTTCTAATCTGCTTAAAGCGATAATTTCATATTATCTAAGAAAGTCTTTTGCTCAATAGGTTGTCAACTCACTATTATACGATCATAGGTATTATTCTCCCACTTAAAAACCCCGGAAATAATAACAAAATTACCTCCCTTGTTTTTCTATTCCCCCCATGGAATAGCTATCTTCAAACGTTTGAATTTGAAGGTGAAAATGATATTTTTGCCAATTTCTCAACTGGCAATAGTGAATTATAGGATTAATAGGATTATTCATTAACAAGGTAGGACTGTTTATATATATACCATCTATTTTAGGGCTTTATTTTAATTTAAATAAAAATTTAACTTAAAAATACGAAATTGCAACTTTGAAATCGGAGCCACCCGAAGGGTCAGAGAGTTGATTATGGGCTTGTCATGTTGATAAATGATCACATAACCTGTAGAAGATTTAGCTCTTACATAATGCATTTGTAACGTCTTAAAATTAAGATCATTTACACTATTAGGACAATAATTTAACATACTTGTTTAAATATAGTCACACAACTTTCTTTTAACTGCAAATATTAGACGAAATTAAATAAAGAACTGAGAGTTCTCGCTATAAGAGTTAAACAATAGACAATGAAAACAGAATATGTTGAAATTGATTCCATTTTAGGCTAGCCTCGATCGTCATTACTAACGTTGGTACGATAATAAACAAAGTCTCGATTATCCATTTTTACGTTAAATCATCCATCAATATCGCAAGCTAACGATGGCATCGAGAGTTGTTTATGGTCTGGATTAGTTAATTTTGGAACTTACAACATATGTTTCAATTTTATTCCAATAATTCGCTTGCTTTAGCAGTGGTAGGTAACCAGATGACTCAGTTAAAACCAACAAGCGGCCCTACTCCTTGTCACATATAAACTGGGAATCGAAACAACTTCACGCGACTCAGTGACAATGAACTATTCCTCCCATAACCCCTGTAAAACAAAAATAAAATTACAACAGACGATGGTTCAAATTCAAAATTGGAGACCTAATCCATCAAACATGAAACAAATCACCTGGCCCTGATGTAAGCAGGCAAATATTAATAACACAAAAATTATCATTATCATTATTATTATTATTATTATATTCCAGCCGTCCAGTATATAACCATGTACAAAGGTCATCGACCCCGAATCTTGGTGTCGGCGGCGACAAGCCGACGAGAAAATTATCAATACGCGAAGCTAAACTTCTACAGAAACAAGGCACTCACCCAATAAAACCCGCCGCCTTTAGAAGAACATCTATAGACAAATCAAAAACAATATGTCGAGTGAAAAACAAGGAAGATTCATTACCCAAGAACTGGAGAAAAATCAACGCCACGGTGAATATGTCGTCTGCTTTTAAAAGCGGTAAACGAGTCAGCATGGGTAGTTTGTTGTCGTCAAGAACAAACTACGACAGCGACGACGACGACGAATCAAGTAAGATGATTTTAGATTTTCGGCTTAAACTGTGCAGCGGCTTGGAACCTGTTGAATTAGCTCCCCGGGATAGGGTGGGGGACAAAATCACGAAATTTACATCGTATCGGGGTGGCGGTGGGAGTGCGGGTGGACGTGTATTTTTGGACTGTGTGGAACATACTAGAGTCGATTTGTATTTAATATTAAAACAGATGTGGCAATTTTATGCAGTGAATGCTGAACCCCATCTCCCTTTTCAGATCTCTACGCGGATGTTGATTATTGGAATTAAGATGTTCCATATCTATAATCTAGTTTGTGTTCAATGGACCTTAAACCCCATTTCTGTGCCTTACCCCCTTCTCAGATCCCCATTACCTTTAAAGCCTATTTATACATCTTACTATCTTTTCAGGTCCCCCGGGGTTACCCCACTGCTTAAGTAGACATCTTAATTATTGGAATGTTAACAATAACCTACTTCATGTCTGTCTCGCTCTCTTTTCAGATCGTTTTGTACCGGCACCTAATAATGTGGAACATACGAGAATGATTTATAAATCGGCGTGTAAAAAATACGACATTGTCCCCTCCTCTACTTTCTTAAAGAGTGTAGAAGCGGGAACAGCTAACCTCAGTTATCAGGGATTAGAATCACTGGGGACTAGAGCCGTTGCCATGGCGCTTGTTGTAAGTCTATTTTACCTCCTAAATACTGTATTGATGAATAAAGATGAAATTGTAAACACCGTATTTATGATTACGACTACCTCGTAAATATTGTATCTATGAATTACGAATACATCATAAATACTGTACTGCATAAATTCCGATTACATCGTAAATACTGTATTATTACATAAATTACGATTACCTCGTAAATATTGTATTTATGAATTACGATTACCCAGTAAATACTTTTGAATCTCGCTCATTGAAGCTACCAAGCAGTAATTGTATATATTTATTATACAGAGTAACCTAACTATATATCATCAGTCCAATTTAACAATAACAGAATTATTATCATTACCCATTATTTCAGCCCAGTTTAACAGTAATAGAATTACTCATTACCCCTTTTTCAGCCCAGTTTAACAATAACAGAATTACTCATTGTCCATTATTTCAGTCCAATTTAGCAATAACAGAATTATCATTACCCTTTATTTCAGACCATGGAATTTAACAATATGTACACTTTGTTTTCAGTCTAATTTAACAATAACAGAATTATCATTACGTGGTAATTATATTGGTGCAAATGGTTTACAGTGTATAGTCGATATGTTAAGAGATAATTGTGCTATGAAAAATTTAGTGAGTAACCAGTTTCGTCTTTCTACTTTCATTTTTTTCTAAGCCAAAGTTCTGTCAATTATCAACGTACATATGAACGTCCAAATTCAAATATCTTGATTTGGTAGTTTTTCTTTTAAATGAAAACCGATCAAATAGGGTTTAACGTCCTACTGTTCTGCTCCAATTATGAAGACAATGAAATGATATCAAAAGATTTAAAATCGAATTTAAAGGAGCTAAATCGCTAACATTTGGGACCTAGAAATTGACACAAGTGGGTCGCAACTCATATAATACTGTAATATGAATGTATATAAACTGATATACATTCAATGGTTTCCGTTTTTACTCTAATTTCAAATCAGTTATGTTCCGCGAAATAAGCCCGCAGTCTCAATCGAATGCAAATTTCTAGCGCCTGGTTATTCGTGTACCAATGGCAAAATGTTTATTTTGTCTTAAATATTGGATATCAGAAGCCCATCTGTTTTTCCGGTAAGATCACAGCATCAATGTTGATTTAAATTGACAAATAATTTGTGTTTTCAATGTTCAAGATTTTGGATGATATTGAGTTAGAGACAGGCAGGGATCGGACACGGGACCTCTAGGCTCAAAATGACGGACATATCGAGCAGCAGAGATCGATGAAAATTCAAATAAACAGAACTTTGTAAACACTGGGCGGAACTGAACCATTTTTGGGGCGACATTCCTATTAGAAATTATCTTTCACAATGTTGTTATTCGCAAGGGATTTCTATTGCACCAAAATAACATAGGCTGCCGCCCCCCCCCCCCCATTTTGGGCACCAAATGCTGGGAAAATTTGGGCACACAATTGTACTTTGTAAAAGTTGTATAAAATAATATTGCGTTCTTGAATATGTCCAATTTAACAGCGAATTTATTATTATTATGTAACATACTAAGAACCTAACTACATTTTTTGGGCACCAACCACCACCGCCCCCCAGTCAAGAAATTTCCCCGTACGCCTATGCAAAATAACATAGTGAGATTTTAATTTTGGCACCATTATATTTGTTATGTAGTTGTGGAGCATATTGTTTTGATTTGAATTATCTCTAAGTGTTATGGAATTATTTTAAATTTTGATTAGAAATATTTTAATGTGTTGCAGGATATTTCAGAAAATGATCTTACGAAAGGAGGAGCCATTTTGATTGCAAAAATACTGAAAGAGAACGAAACGTTAACACATCTAAAAATTTCTGGTAAATATCATTACAGATTGTTTTACTGATAAAATCTTTCCTAGAACACCTGATACCATTTCATGTTTATTCGGGATATTCATCAAGTTAATAATTTATTTGAACTGTTGTGTTTTAACTTGGCAGACCATTGAAACAAACGTACTACGAAACAGGCATCGAGGATGAAATCATCTTCGTTATCTTGGAAGTGTGTCAATCGCTGTGCATTTGTCCAAGGAACAAGCATGTGGAGTTTCATGTCAATCGTCCTTGAACTGAAAGAGCCTTAGGCCTACTACGAAACAGACATCGAGGATGACATCATCGTCATCTTGGAAGTCCGTCAGTCGGTGCGCAATTGTCAAGGAACAAGCATGTGGAGTTTCATGTCAATCGTCCTTGAACTGACAGAGCCTTTGGCTTTTTCAACAACAACAACAACAACTACAAAAACAATGCTTGCGGTCCAGTTCCTGGTCCCAAAATTACAAAAGCCGTTAGCTACATGTGATCTTCCCGAAGATATTTTACGTGGTATACTGTGTTCTAGATAAGTAAGCATACACTACATACTGCACCACTCATACGTTTGCATATACCATAGGTCAGAAATGAAATGAAATGGGGGTTTACGGTCGTACTGTTCTGCTACGCTAGTGTTCTAGATAAGTAAGCATACACTACATACTGCACCACTCATACGTTTGCATATACCATAGGGTCAGAAATGAAATGAAATGGGGGTTTACGGTCGTACTGTTCTGCTACGCTAGTGTGCTATGAGGGAATTTTTTCCCGGGCAAAGGCACTATGGCCTACTCTTATATCGAATTCCAACTGCCAAGGGATCTTTTACGTGCATGCCAATGTATACACTGAACCTCAGTTTTTCGTCCCATCCGATCGACTAGACCGCTGTCCTTGTCAGGCCCCCTTTCCTGCACCACCAACAAGGGGAAGCCACGTCGCAAAATCCCTATGAACTTTCTCGGCCAACACCGGCATCGAACACGCGACCTCCAGGCTAGCGAGCCAGCTTCTGACCCACTTCGCCACAGTGGCTCCCTACCACAGGGTCAGAGGTTCTCGGATTTTATAACTATAATATAACAACAAAAGAAAGTCAGAAACGCTTCTGGTGTACAGCATGGCCCAAGTCGAATAGAAGTGGTATCGTGCACGTGACAGGGTGTGCTAAATATAACGCTTGGGACGGAATGGGGTTTAAAGTCTTGTCAGCACAATATTTTGGTTATTGTCAGACAAAAATCTGGTAATTTATATTTTACTTGTTACGTGGACAATGCGAGGTGGAGATTACCCTTCTTAGAATTAGGACTGCTACACGGGTCGACCTCGCTTTTTTCTTCCCATCCGAACGACTAGAACACTTTCTTTAAAACCGGGTTCTTCCAGGCTCACGCAGAGATTCGATCCCGGGTCATCTTATTAGAGGGGTCATTTCCCAATCGCTCGACCACCGCTCTCGCCCCCAGTTATATATATAGCTGCCCACATATTATAACACCTTTTTGTTATTTCCAATTTGATGCCCTTCAAAATCGATACTGTGTTATACAATTTTGATGATGCGTCACCATGGTAACGAGATTTAATGAAATGGAGTCTAACCTCCTACCTTTCTGACCCACGAAGGGACGCATACGCCATGCAGTGGGCTACAGGGGTCATTTTGCCAGTGGCAAATTCCAACATCAAAGGGTTCTAGACGCTATTCTTGCCAGACTCTCCTATACTTATTCCACTGTCAAGGGGACACCACGCTAGAAATCACTACGAACCTAACCCTGACTGCCTGGTTAGTACGCCGTCGCGGCTACGACCGTATAGGAGAGATCACATATATATACTAGTTATTAAATGTGATCTGATGACTCCCCTTCATTAAATAGTTGTTTAAGGATTTGTTAATTTAGCATGGTTAAATTTAGAGACTAACATGTGGTGATTTTATTCAGGGAACAAGTTTAAAGAAGGCGATGCCCAGTGTATAGCTGATGCCTTAAAGGTGAGAAATTACCTTCAATATGCTTCAATTAAAAATGGAAATTGGTGGGTGGGTGGGGGGACGAAATCCTCTCATTTTTGGACGCGTAATGGTGGGCTACGCTTTTCTTTCGCAGATATCATATCGCAATATCAGCAAAACAGAGAGAAAGAAATGGAGTTTAACGTCCATTCGACACAAACTACGTCATTTCGGGACTAACATATGGTTCAATTGTATTTCAATTATTCGCTGGCGGGTAGGTCTTTAGCAGTAGGAGGAAACCGGAGGACCCGGAGAAAATCCACGAGGTTGGATAGGCTACCCTACTCCTTATCACGTACAAGCTGGGAATCGAAGCTACGCTACTTGATTCAATCACAGACTTTCTGATCCAACGCACACGCGTTAACCATTCGGCCACCCAACCCCCATCATCATTATGATATAATACAAGAGAGTGGTTTCCTTGTCTGATCAGGGAATAGCAATGGCTGAGTAAAGTATTGGCTCACCAACCAGCAGCTCTCGGATTAACGCCCACTCAACGCAAACTAGGTCATTTCGAGACAAACATATGTTTCAATTGTATTTAAATAATTCGGTTTTCCGTAGAGGTCTTTGGCAGTGGAAGGAACCCGGAATACTCGGAGAAAACGGACGAGACTGGACAGGTGACTCCACTCCTTGTCACGTACAGGGGCTTGTACAATCGTCGGATCGAACTCAAGAATATAAAGATGACCGACCTTCCCACAATAAACAATCATCCTTTGCTGCGTTTTAAAAACATTTTGTTTCTATTACAGACGAATACAACATTAAAATCTCTGGATATGAGTTATAATGAATTTGGCGAAAAAGGGGGCATAATTATTGGCCAGGGTTTGGGTGAGTTCTTCTTTATTTCTTCTGTTCTGTCCATTCCAGGTTTGATAGTAAGGTAAATTAAAGTATATTTACAACTCTAACATCAAGGCTAATACCCCCGTCAGACCGGGGTGGTGTCCGTACTGCGCTGCTACGGCGATGGAAATTGGTTTTAGAGCGCGTCAAGATCGCCATAAGCGTGGTAGAAACGCCAGCTATCGTGCTTTGGTCTCCATGGTCGCCAAATGATTGCCGAGTCACGGCGTTTATTTTGAGCATGTTCAAAACAAATGCCAAGGTTCTGCGATCTGAACTGGAAAGCGACTTTTTTCAAGTTTGTAATTTTTTGGGACATTTGCTCGTGCTGTGTTCACGTTTGCCGGCGACCATGTGCATTTTCTGGTCGCCGTACGGTCGCAGCAGCGCAGTAAGGACGCCACCCCGGTCTGATGGGGGCATAACATCGAGATGTTGAGCTATTTCAATGGCTTCCAGTGGTGCCTTATATGGTGTATTGCTTCTGGTCAAATTGTGTGATTCCCCCTTTAGTATTTTGTTTCAAAATAAATCAAACGATATTAAATGGGGTTTAACGCCCCACTTTTCTGCTCTAGCCGTGCTAATAAAAAATTGGATATGTTATGTAGTGTGCTATGAGAGCAATTTGGCCCGGACAGCGACGTTTCCATCTATTTTTCATCGATATCCATCAATGCTTCTTTTACATTCACGCCAAAGTGGACATGAAGGGAAATCGTGTTTTGGTCCCTTACGAAGGACTAGACAAACTTTCTTTTTTAGTCCGTCGGCCGCCACTTCTGAAGGTAAGAGGACTCTTCTCGACCCAGTGTTGATTTACAATTTGTCTACTTGTATTGTTAATTTACAAATTTACAATCTGTGTACTTGTAGCTGGTAACGATGCATTAACAATTGTTAATTTACGGTGGAACCATCTTCGCCAGGATGGTATTGTGGGTGTGGTTAATGGCTTGAAGGTAAGAAAGGGGTAAAACTAATTTTATATCAAAAAATATGTTTTCTTTTTTTTAATGAACCAGGGAACAGATGTAAGACATGCATTCAGTTTATTTATAAGCCTCGTGTCTTTTTTGAATGGTAACATGCTAATCATTTTCTTCTAGTTTGCCATCTTCAAGAGGACGATGCTCTTCAAAAATGCTTAATGACAGGCACTATTATACTCAATCTGATTAAAATGCAAATCAATATTACGTTTTTTTCTTGCTTTGTCTTCGCTGGGAATGTTTACCCACAGTTCCGTGCATCGAACAGCAATAACAGTTTCATTGGCTAATCCCTCACATCAGGACGCGGGTTATATAACTCCCCTTCTAGATCCTAGTGTAGTGACGGAAAGTAAAACGAAATTTTGAACAATAAAAAAACGAAATGACATCGGATCTGTGTTGTAATAAGATTGGGTGGGGGTGGGGGCGTGGATAGCCGAATGGTTAGCACGAGCGCACTGTATCATAAGACCTGTCATTGAGTCAATTGGCGGGGTTTCGAATCCCCGGATGTGCGTCACAAGGAGTAGGGTCGCCTGTCCAACCTTGTGGGGTTTCTCCGGGTCCTCCTACTGCCAAAGACCCGTACGCGCAAGCGAATTATTGAAATAAAATTAAACCATACGTTAGTCCTGAAATGACCTAGTTTGTGTCGAGTGGACGCTAAACCCCATTTCTCTGTCTCTCTTTAATCAGATAGTATTGTACTTTGTGCCTAACAACGTCTGTGACGAGTGCCTTATTTCCAGGCTGGAATCCCAATCTCTTTATTTATTTACAGGAAAACGGTAGTATCAGAGAGTTGGATCTATCGTGGAATGGTTTAGGTGATATCGGTGCCAGGGCTCTAGGACAGGTATTGAAGGAGAATACAACACTACAAATATTAAATCTAGCTTCTTGTAGAATAGGACTGGATGGTGTGGGCTTTCTTATGACTGAAATGATTGGAAACGACACGCTGAAACACATAAACGTAAGTTTTATGGCCGAGATCTTCTTGTTCCGGTCATGTGACAAACAACCATCTTACAAGTCTTAATTAATGTTATGTTTTTACTATTAAATTGTCTTACTCATGAATGTCCTATAAATGTAAGGTTGTTTTTCATGGTTGATCATTGCTTGATAAAGATACCTGTAAGAGTATTGAAACGTTGCATGTAATAAACTAAGAAGTAGTAAATCCATAAAGTTGTGTTATTATGAAAACCATGTTTTTTAATTTAAATTTCAATAGACGATTAAAGTGGAACAATCTGATACGATCCTGAACTACAATTATATTTATATTCAATGACTCCACTATTAGTAGGCTTACTTATTATGAAATTGTGATCTGAAATTTTTGTTTGTTTAACAATTCCTGTTTTTCAGTTGGAAAAAAATCCCCTGACATCACACGGTGCTTGTGCCTTTCTACAGGTTCTTAAAAACAATCCCTCATTTGGCATAGAAACCCTCGATATCTCGGTAAGTCCCATTCTGATTAAAATACAGATCTATATTTCGTTTCGTTTTTTTATACTTTCGATGGCCTACACTACATGAAGATCTGACCGGTTGTAGCGATAGGTCGCGTCAGAGGTCATACGAACGGCTTTTGACCTATGACGTCAGACATTTGATTAACCAATCAGCATTGATGTTACTTCCAGCACTGAAAGCCCTCGATATATCGACAAGTCTTTCATCACAGAAACCCCCAAAATACCCCGTTATGTTATTCGACATAGGACAGTTCGATATATCGATGTTTTCTCAGTACAAAAACACTCGATATATCGTCATGATATTCGACATAGAACACTTGGATATATCGATACGTTTTTCAGCACAGAAACCCTCGATATATAGTTATATCATTCGCCAACAAAAACCTCGGTATATCCGTAATTTGTTCTGCATAGAAACTCTCCATATACTGTTATGTTATTCGGCATAGATCTTTGGATTTAAAAATATGTCGACTTGTAATTCATGCCCCGAAGAATTAAAAAACATAGTTAATTACAAAATTTATTTCCCAAATGAAAAGAAATGGTGTTTAACGTACTACTTTTCTGCATCGACGGGGCTAATGGAGATGGGCATACGTCATACCGTGTGTTTTGAGGGAAATCCAACTGTCAACGGTTCTTTTACGTGCACATCAGTGTGTACACGGGATCTTGGGTTTTCTTCCCAATCGAACAACCAGACACTGTCCTTACAGACCCTCTGTCCTGCACCACTGACAAGGGGGAACCACACTGGATAATCACTAGGAACCTTACTCATTGACCCACCTCGGCATCCATTTATCTCCCAATAAGAGAGTGACAGGAACTTAAATATATGTATGTTTTATATTTATCTATCTTAGGACATTCGTATTACGTCAGAGTTCTTGGAACTGTTGACAGAAGTGAAAGAGAACCGTCCAAATTTCGAAGCCAAACACGGAGGCACGCTGAGAGGGAAGGATGCGTTTATACATCGTACTGGAAACCCCATCACGTTAGAAGATCCTTTTGATGTTCTCTTAAATTATGTTAAATCGAACGGATTAAGATTAATGGATCTTTTCCAACAGTTTGATAAAGATAAAAGTTGTGGGATAAGTAAAGATGAATTTATTCTCGGGATTCAGGTAAATTAAACATACATTACCTGGAAATTATTTATCAGGTAGCTATTTCCAATCAGTGGTGGGAAAATTCTAATTAAATATTTTTGTTTCCACTTGCATATTTTTTGAAAATTTAATTTATTCATTTTAAAAATTAAATGATAGAATTGCATTGGTGGGTGGGCTCCCTTTGTCTCCTCTCCTGGCAACCAGTATTTTCAGACCCAGTCCGCCACTGTTTGCAATATAAGTATGGAAATTGTGGTACATGTGGAAAGTAGAGACACCCATTATTGCTATAAAATTACTAGATTCCTTAAAATATCACAAAAAAACTCATTCTGTTATCGTTATCCAGGCTAGAATTAAATAACATAAAATGTTTCGTTAACAACAAGGTATAAGGGTGGGGGACACGGCTAGAGCCCAACACCCCCCACTGTTTGTGAAATGCATAAATTAACCGGTGGTTCAGAAAGAGTAGGCACGAGAGAAACTCGACCGCAAATATCATTAATATAGTGAAATGTGGATTTTGTAGAAAGCCAACCTGCCGTTAAATTTACTGCATATAGAGTCGTTAATAGATCGACTGGATGAGGATAAAAATGGAGTGGTGGATTTCAGGTGAGTCATCATAAAAATGAAAGGCAGTGGAGTTTAACGTATTCCGCGCCAATCGGGCTAAAGAAGACGAACATGAGCCATGTCGGCTAGCGGTATTGCATGGCCCTGAAGCAACGATTGCGAGTTTTCTCTCTTTACTGCAGACACGTGAACAGTAGCGTCCAATCAGAAGTTGTGACACTAAGACAATCAAATCAACCTCCACGGAAACCTTGACATGGAACGAACTTTGAACTTTGCAACTCGATTATCACAGGTAGATATTTTAGCTGGAAAGCGCGAGACCTGGTATTCACGATGATCGAGGACTCTGATAGCTCAGCAGGCTGGGTGAATTACCCAATTAAATTAGTTTATCTATTGTATTTTATCACCCAACAATACATTTCTACAGTAGATATCGCTTGTGTGATATATTTCATAATCTACTGCGATATCTCCTAAGATATCGCTTGTGTGATATATTTCATAATCTACTCCGATATCTCCTTAGGAGATATCGCTTTACATGAATTTGATTGGTCAGTTGAAAAGGAACTACTTTTTTTTATTTTCAAAGAACAGTTCATTTCTTATTAAAAGTAACTTTTTTTTATATTAAAAATGAACTATTGTTATTCAATTGACCTTGATGGAAACACTGGGTCAATATAAAGGACTTTGCAATGGTTGTATTGCTGTCAAAAAATGATGTATCACTACGCCGTAATGTTCAGTAAAAGTGAAATCTACAGCAAAGAATTATATTTATCTATTTGTGCATGTATGAAGGGATTGGGTGATAAATAAAACCTCCTACTTGTCTTTTTTGATATAAAAAAATATCAACACTCGTTGATAAAGTAAAAAAACAAACTCGACAGAGCCTCGTTTTTTGTTACTTTATCAACTTTATCTACTGAATGATTCAATATTTGTAGTGAGTTATTGTGTGGTAGACAGAATCATTTACAGAAGAAGAGACAACAGATATTAGGAGGATCTAATACAGACTTAACAGGATCAACTTCGTCCAGGTCGACCTCACCAAAATCTACAAATAAATGGGCAACTGTTATTAAATATTCCAGGTAAAATATAGAAATTGTTTCAGTAAATGGGCAACTATTATTAAATTCTCTATGTAAAAATATAGAAAATGAAAAGAAATGTAATAGGGTTTAACTTCCTACTGTTCTGCTCCGCTCCGCTCCGAGCAGAGAAAGAGAGAGAGAGAGAGAGAGAGAGAGAGAGAGAGAGCGTCCACACGGCAAAACTAGGTCATTTCGGGACTAAGACATGGTTCAATTTTATTTCAATAATTCGCTTGCGCGTAGGGATCTTTAGCAGTGGGAGGAAACCGAAGGACCTGAACAGTTGAAGCCTACTCCTTGTCACGTACAACCGGGTAATCGAAACCACGCCTCTTGATTTGATGACAGACCTTATGATACAACGCACTAACCGATCGACCACCCATACCCCCTCTGGGCTAATGAAGACGGGCATACGCCATACAGTGTGCTATAAAAGAAATTTTGCCCGGGCTGCGGCACAATGGCTAACTCTTATATCGAATTCCAACTGCCATGGGATCTTTTACGTGCACGCATAAGTATACACGGGACCTAGGTTTTTAGTCCCATCCGAACGACTAGACAGCTGTCAGAAAATCCCGTAAAAATATAGTAATAGTTTTGTTATTTATGTAAGTCGGAATTTCCTGTTCTGATATCCACTGTTTTGTTGGTTTTATTTTTTCGTTAAAATTTTAGAGTTTCAATAAAAAAAGTTGATGTTTTTCTTTCAGTTTGCTTGGCGACCCAGATTCGTTGGTATTTAGCAAGGCCGATTCCAGACCGGAAGACGAAAACATCGATAACAATGCGGCCATCAGTATCCCCGTGCCTTGAATTTAACGCGCTTCATTTCATTGGGCTTGCTTGATTGGCTTGTCCAGGACAAATAAATATGACGTTGAAATACCGGGAGTAGTTTTTCATGACGTCAGTGTTTCACCTTTCTCATCTTGCAATCAAAATATAGAGGAAAACGACGGAGCAGTGTTGCACTGTTTGATTGTTGTCCAATTTCCCGCGATGTGCCGAACAGTGAATCGAACAGGAGCCTGTGCCGAGCAATAATTCATCAAAAATATAATAATGTGTGTGTGTGGGTGTGTGTTTGACTATATGCTACCTGAAAAAAAGTAGCTTATAAAAAATATGCTGTTTTTAACCAAACATAGGCCTTCAATTGTTCGTTTGTCCCGTGAGATATTTAATGGCCGATTTGTGATTGGTAGGCCTAGTGTGGGAACATTATTTCGTCCACGAAGTTCGAATCCCGCTAGGAGCAACTTGGATATGTTTTTTGTTGTTTTTGTTTAAATTTTTCATATTAATGTACATACATTGTGAATTGAAATCAAAATTTATGTAAATACAAATACACAACATTAATATTGTTTGCCAGATGGACTTTTCTTCAAATTAATAGGAATATTACAGCCTATCCATATATCCTTGGGAAGGAACGGTGTCTAGTCATTCGGGTGGTACAAAAAGTCGAGATCGTGTGCACAAGCTAGTGTGCACCCTAAAAGAACCAATGATAAGGGGGGTGTAAATGAAGAGTAGGTGAAAACATTTCTCTCGTAGCGTATTCCTATTTTCATTAGCCTTTCCATATATCCTTGGGAATGAATTGTGTCTAGTCGTTCGATCACGTGGCTAGGTGGGTAAGACGCTGGCTCGCTAGCCTGGAGGTCGGGTGTTCGATCCCTGCATTGGCCGAGAAAGTTCATCCAGATTTTCCGGCGTGGTTTCCCCTTGTCAGTGATGCAGGACGGAGGGACTGACAAGGACAGCTGTCTAGTGGTTCGGATGGGACAAAAAAAAACAGGTTCCGTGTACATATTGGCGTGCACGTAAAAGATCCCTTGGCAGTTCGAATTCGATATAAGAGTAGGCCATAGCGACGCTGTCCGGGCGTATGCCCGTCTTCATTAGCCCAGTTTAGGAGCAGAACAGTAGGACGTTAAACCACATTTCATTTCATTCCATTTCATTTCATTTCATTTCATTTCGAGTGGGACAAAAAGTCAAGGTCGTGTGCACAAATTTTAATTGGTGTGTGCTTAAAAGAAGCTATGACAAATGGAATGTAATGAAAAGTAGGCGAAACGCCGCTGTCCTGGAATTTTTTTCCCTCTCATAGGGTATTCCTATTTTCATTAGCCCGGTTGATGCTGAAAAAATGGACGTTAAATTCCATCTCATTTCATAGAATACGTCGGTTACTTTGAGACTAACATACGATTATATGATTCTTCCTACGGTCACGTAAGCAATGCAAGGGGAGATTTTGTTCGGAGAGCGGCACCTTCGCCTACACTTCATCCAATTCCAAGTGTCAATGGTTGTTTCACTTTTCAGTGCTTTCCAAGGGTATATTGTAGGGAGAAAGAGAGAGAAATAGGGTTTAACGTCCACTCGACACAAACTAGGTCATTTCGGGACTAACATATGGTTTAATTTTATTTCAATAATTCGCTTGCGCGTAGGGATCTTTAGCAGTGGGAGGAAACCGGAGGACCCCGGAGAAAACCCACGAGGTTGGACAGGTAAATAGGGTGGACCTGGATTTGTCATCCTATCCGACACAGGTTTAACATAGCGCCAATAATTTAGTGATGTTATTCTTTGACTGTCAAAATAACCTATTAATTTCACATCAAATGACCACAAAAAATAAACCCATCAAAACCTTGGGTAGAAGTCTAGCGATGTTATTATTAGACTGTCAAAGTAACTTGAAAATGACCTCAGAAAATCAAAAACCTTGGGCAGACATTGTCAAGAGGGTAGGTTTCTTTTCTCCCACTTAAGTCTTTAACTCAATATCACCCACAGTCTTCGATATTGCAAACACGACTTATTGGTCAATTTAAATCAACATTGATGTTGTTATCTTACCGCGAAATGATGGGCTTCTGATGTCCAATATTTAAGACAAAATGAAAATTTTAAAATTGGGACACGTGCCAGAATGCGTACGAGCGCCGTTTGTATGAAGCGACTCGAGGCTAATCATATCCCACATGTGAATACTATCGATGTAGACTGGAATAACCAGACGCAAAAGAGGAGATTCAAAATGCCTCAAATGACGATCAACAGCTTCAAAATGCGGCAGGGAAATTTATTTTATCATTTGCTAACGTTGGTTTTTGTTAGTCCATGTTCTCTTTTTTGTATGACCAACCTGTTAGTATTTTCTCATTGGACAAATTCATGAAATAACCTGATATGAATGGTATAATTTGATCTTACCAAGAGCCTGAAGGTAAATCTGTTTTTAAGCGACCAATGTACATAAAATACTCAATGTTTCCAAAAGAACTAATGCACGAAGAAGACCACTTTAAACAGTTATTTTGTGCAAGTGTCTCTAATAACTGTTGCCGTACTTCCGGATGTTCGTCCGATATTTGTAAAATTGTTCCATTTTTATTTAACAGTCGTCCCATTTCGTACAACATTTTTCGGCATTTCTCTTCACCCAATATTTTATCTTTTACTAAAGCATCGATTGTTCCTTTATCCACCACGCAATCAAAAATCTCATCTCTATACGGTAAATGACACACGTCTGCCATCACAAAATGACTGGAAGTACAAGGGTGTCCTTTAGTCAAGACTTGCTCTGACCAGTCCTTTTGTTGTCCCAAAGCCTCGTGAATGAAATCAACACAATGAATTTCAACTGGACTTTTTACTTGCGAATATAGTTTTAAAGCTAACGACGAAGTCCCACAGCCAATGTCCATGATTCTAAATGATTTATGGGACCCTGACTTTAAAATTCTGCTTTCGATCTCTTTAATGACGTCATCCGGTTCTACAAACCAATCAAACGTCGACTGATTTAAATTTGATCGGGAATATTTTTCTTTCCAAAATGCACGTGTTGCTAATTTTCCGATATCTGCAACAAAAAGGATAGAAGATTTAATGACATAGAATTGCTTGGAGTGAGGTTTAATATCTTGTCAACACATTACTGAATCGGGGTGAATCATTCCTTAACATGGAGAACTATCTACTTTTTCAAAAACGATCTCTACTCTGAATGGTCGCCATATTAAAAAATGTGTATACATGTACTATTTTGTTTGTAATGCGGCTCCAAACCGTTTTACATCTTTCATAACCATTTTCAATTTAATAAAATGGAAGCACAATAAATGCTTCTCGAAATTCTAGAAGTTGTTTTTGACTAAAATCGTGTCTGTTCTCAGGCGGAGCAAATTGTATACAAACAGCGCGAGTTTCGTATGATCGTAATTTTCATTTCTGTGGTTGCACGTAAATACTAGGCAGGAGAATTCGGCCCACCCTTCTTCAATTTCCAACTTTCAAGGATACCTTTCATAACACATGCTAATGCGTACACTGATGGACCACGGATTTTACGTACCATCCCAAGGACTCGGCACACTTTTCTTGTCTGCCTCGCTAATGCCGACCGTGGCATTTTAAGTCTGTTAACTCTGTATATTATTGCTGTTGTTGTGTCATAGCCTACATCGTGTAAGACTTTCGATGTTGAAACATTTGGCACAGACGGTGTATACTTGATACGCAGGGCCGGTTTAAGCTTGCATGGGGGCCTTGGCTGAAAATATCACAGACGGTGTATACTTGATACGCAGGGCCGGTTTAAGCTTGCATGGGGGCCTTGGCTGAAAATATCACTGGGGCTCTTGCATCAACAGTGAAAAGGGGACCTATTCCGGCGTATGCGCCCCCTGGTTGCCTTAACAATCTGATTTAGATCTATATTTTATTTCGTTCTTTTATACTTTCGATGGCCTACAATACACAAAGATCTGACAGGTTGCAGTGAAAGGTCGCGTCAGAGGTCATAAGAGCGGCTTTTGACCCTATGGCGTCAGACATTTGATTAACCAATCAGCGTTGAGGTTTCTAGTGGGTTAGCCTACCCATAGTTCCCTGCTCCTCACGCCAAACAAAACTCGCCGTAACAGATCGTTTCGTTGGCTAATCCCTCACATCATCCTGAACGCGGGTTATATAACAACTCTTCCAGACCCTAACTTAGCAGAGACAAGAAAAACGAAATTTTAAAGTACATAAACTATAAAAAACGAAACGAAATAGGATCTGTGTTTTAATCCGATTGGCCTTAATAATAGTCCCCCTTGTCTTTCTACAGTTCAGTATAGGGCATAGCATAGGTAGTCCTTACTATAGTTACTAGAGTAGATACTCATAGTACCGGTACTGTAACTAGCGATGCTAAACGCCGCTAGGAGCGCTGGCTGTACTATTTACAGACATCACAAAAAGTTGACCGAGAAAAGTATACGTCGTGTTACGCCTTGTCATGAATATTCCAAGTGTCAAACATTGACCACGTGATGTTTACCATAGAGAAAAATAGATGAACTTGCTGTCGAGTAGGCTTTTGAGAAGCTGAGGTAAGATTTTCTGATATTTTTCATGAATTGAAAATTTGAAGTTGAGAGAAATTTTCGAAAAAGGCCCTCGACGCTCAAGATTTTGGTATATTTGGAAAGCCCAATTCATTAACTACTTAGTTTGACCATTTGTTAAGTCCGTATCCCCCGTAGGAATTCGTAAAATGGCTGAAATTGCACCATGTGGAATTAAAGGGAGGTAACTCGTGGTTGATCAGGGTTCAGACCATAATTAACCCCCCCCCCCACACACACACACAGACTTCAGTGTAAAAAAAATGATGTTAGATTTGGACAGGGTTTTTTATTATATTGAATGTTACTAAAGCTACCAACCAAACTTTAGCCAGACATTTCACTAACAAAGGATAAAAATTGTGAATGTTGTTGACCACCTTGGATTTTATTTTCAGGAACTGTAGCTGAAGAAGTAAGCTACATAATATATACTCATCCAAATCCAAACATAGCCAAAGGCGATCCCTGATATTACTTTGTACAACATAAAATAGACAAATGATGATGATATATAGGCCTACTCATACAATTTGCATGAGGACTATAAAAAGGAGGACTATAAAAAGGGGGGCTTGAAACTGACTGTTTCTCAGCATTCTCAAGAAAGTCCATAATTATTATAAATTTGGTATGAATCATAGAAGTTAGTTTAATTTATTGTTTGAAATCAGTGTTAGTAATCTTATTTTTGTTATTTCAATATTTGTGATAATATTTATTTTATTTTTAACATTTTCTACCTGAAAGAAGTGGCCTGATGCGTCAAATGTTTTTGTTTATTTTGAAAAATATCGCATATGAATAATGTGATTATTTTATATTGTTATTATTGTTTGTTTTTGTAAGATACATGTATTAGAAATCTTATATTTGTTGATAAATGTGATAATGGTTTCTTTTTTTTTATCATTTATTTTAAACCGGTGGGTGAACATTTTTAATTTCATATTAAAAAGTAACAGATATGAATTTTGATCTTATTGTGATTTTGTTTTTAATATTTTTATATTTTTATGACATAGATAATGTCTCGGCAAGATGTATCACCATCTGAATGTTTATATTGTTTTTATTTTCATGGGATAATGTCTCAACAAGAAAGCTAGACTTCTACCACTGATATTATAATATAGTATATCGTAATGCACATGTATCACAAATGAATTTTTTTAATACTCTTTCATGTAGATCATATCTTACTTTTTATAAGCTTACCTTTTAATTTGGACTCTTTTAAGATATTCAAATGTTTTAATTATGTCTATTAATTATGTCTGTTTTTATTTGAAATTGTAGTGATGTTGATCACAAAAATATAGCTGTTATATAAATCATAGTTTAATTGTTAATTTTCATTCCTGAAACAAACAATTTCAAATTGATGTACATGGCAGCTTCTAAACAACTAAAGCAGTTGGCGTGGTTTATTTCTCATTTTGCCACACACTTTCATGATTTTTAAAAATATCCACAGTATACGTTAGTATAACCGGTTTATAATTGTTGTATGACTGTGAATGGCCAGTGGTCAATGGCCTCGGAACCAGTAGGTGCCCAATTACATACATAAACTTGTTTCTCTTCGACATTGACATCATACAGTCAAAAATTGTGATTTAAGGTGTTGTCATGCAAAAAATAAATAACAGAACAGACTGAAAACACTTTTATGTGTGCTTATTCATTAAAAAATAAGCCTCTGTATTAATGTCAAAGCGCTACAATTTAAGTACACACAAATTTGAAAAAATTTTTGCTGTGATTTGTGCGAAATCGGCACGGATCCCAACTTTGAACCTCTGTAACATAAAAAGTATATACTAGAATATTATAGCGACAATTTGGCTTTATCAAGTACATCTAGATCTTTAATTAGTGCAATTTTCATAGACCTATCTTGTATAGTTACTGAGATATTGGCTTCGGTCACTTTTTTGCGGTTTTTAAAAAAAGCCGTTTTTTAGCGCCTCTGGTTTGCCTTCTTTAAAACGCTATAACTTTTTTAATTTTCAATATTTTTTCGAAATTTTTTCAGATTATTCATTCTAGATAGTTCACAATTGCAGTATCGTTGTCATTTTTGAGTCAATGGTTGTATCTGAAAACCCGTTGGCAATGCTACTGTAACTCAGTTCACTCAGCGATCTTGCTCATTTGCTGATTTTTGCGAACTGAATATAGAGAGTTGGTTTAATATCGTAGTTGTTACCGTTGTCTGTAAGTCTTGAGTATTCTCTACAACTGACTATTACACGATATGTTTTACTAACATGGCGATAAACACCAATATGTCCAAAAAACAACATGACTTTCACAGATTTTCGAAACACATACTAATGTTTTCGGACACACAACAAATCTAACTCTATTATTAAAGACCACGTATTTCCAAGTTATCTCCCTTTAACCAAGTGAATAAAAACTTTGATATTAGTTATTTCCAGACGAGATTATCGTTGATTCTGGTTTTCAAAACTACCTGGTGTCCTGTGCCTTTTTGGGTTTAGCCAAAATACTTAGGGGCCATAAAGAATTGTTTTACAATGTGTAGATATGTTTTTTTTATATTCAAGCCTAAGCTTTGTAAAGGGCCATATAGCAGACATTGCCTGGAATTTATTGCGCTGTATAAATGAATGAATTGTCATTTCTACGAAAGGTGTGCATCATCAACATTTATTAGCACACCTACCCTACTCCATGTATTACAGATACTGTACAAGAATCAGAATTCAAAATATTCTATATTTCAAAAGTTGCACTGTTATAATGTAAAGGTTGTTTTTCAGAACATAAAAAGACATTCATAAAAAAATGAAATGGGCTTTAATTGTCTTCCTTTTCTGCACAAACCAAACCAATTTTCGGCACCAATCAAGGTACACCTTTTAGAGACGGGCACACATATGTTGTGCAGAGGGTCCTTAGAAAGTATCCAGAGAAAAGCTACAAAGTTATGGAGGTAACTGTACACCATGCCTTAGATCACTATAGTCCACCCAAATCCCTTATTTATTAAAGTATAGTTAGATAAGACATATCATTGGCCGAGAATTAACTAGTTCTACCTACAGTAACATTTTTCAAATTTTGAGAAAAATGAGTTAGAAGCTTTGGGATTCTATATTTCTGTTTGTTTGTAACTAACATGGGTAGATATTAGTATCCAGGTGGTAAACTGTGTAGGATACCATTCAACAAAAAAACACCAAATTATCTGTCAATTGTCTAAGTAAATATTTATTTTAACATTTCTAGTATTTAACAATATTTCCACATCAGTTATAAACACAGCTTATTTCTCACTCCATAAAATTATTCTTATAACAGAAATTAGCACTGAATAGTATTTTATACATGTAGTTTTAAATCCTTTCTTTTTTTTGATAATTTAATGCAAACAGTCTTAATATTTATACACTGTAACACTACATTTATAAAATGATCTAGAAAACACTGTTATTTTTGTCACCACAGTCTATCAAGACCTCATAATTACTTTTCTATGGTCTAATTAATTATGGGTTACCTTAATATTAATATGACATAGTCCTCAGACCATAGAAAAGTAATTATGAGGTCTTGACTGACCATGGTGACATTTCTCTGAGAGATTGTTTTGCCATTGTTTTACAACTGTGGATTATATGGATGCATATCTGGTTCAGGAACTTTATCTAGAGATGGTGGCTCGGGAAGTGCATCTGGTAGAGGATGAGGCAAAGGTGGCGGTTTGGGTCTTTTGGATTCGTGAACTCGGATCTTAGAAAAATAACCTAAAGGTGGTCGGTCTTGTCCCAACTTTTCTTTAATACACTTATCGAATATGCCTTGAAATTCCCTGCAACTACAAGTAAAAAAGAAATACATACATTAAATATTGAATGTCCCAAAAGCAAAAGTAAGTTATGAGTCAAGGGTTAAGATATCTTCACTCAAATTCAAATAAGGGCTATGGCTTCTCTTATCTTAGTCTCCAACTGCCAGGGGATTATTAATCTGTTGCCAAAATTATACATGGCACCCATCCTGAATAATTTTTAAACTGAACCCGGGGACCTCCTTGTTGAGGAACTTGACATTGTTCCTTGCCAAGCCCTCCATCTTGTACCATTGACAAGGGGAACCAGTCAACACCGGGATTGAACTTGGGAGTTGGGACCCCCCTAGTTAGTGAGCCAGTGAGTTACTGAGTAAGTTACTCACTGAGCCACATTGGCTGATGGTGGAAGCATCAATGGAATTAGAACGTCAACTTACCCATTTAACTCCATTGTAGTTCCGCTCACATCTACACATTTCCAATATTTGGTAAATTCTTCATGACAATCTCGTTTGACTTTTCCAAAAAATTCAAAACCACACTGGGTCACTTCTTTTCCTTCACTCAGACATTTTCTGGGGTCCTTCGTTTCAGAAATACACAACATAAATTCCTGGAAAACAAGAAAAATATATTTTATACTAACTAATGATGCTGCCAGCCACTTATAATACTGATAAAGATGGACTGAATAGTAGGCTATATTGTAGTAAAGTGAATTTGGAATCAATAGTATATGTTTAATACATTGGGCTAATCTACACAGTACTACTTAATTCAGTAATTTATATTTTAATGGATCTTAATCCACCTTAATTAGCCTCCATTTATATCTACATGTATTTCATATTGTCTTATATATTTGCTTAATCACCTGTCTCCAGTATTTTTTGTTTTACACTTTAAATTGATCTTATGAATTGTAATTAACGTCTTTGGGCTAGCGTTTTAGTTAATCATGGTATATATAGACTACTGTTCACTTCATCTTTATCATCCATGCTAAAATGTGTTCAAATTGATTATTTAATATTAAGTTATGAAACAAGTGAAAACACCAATTTTGTAGCTTATCTCCAGGCTTAGATTCAATCAGATTAAAAATCATCCCACCAAAATGAAATCAAATGAAATGTGGTTTAACATCCTACTGTTCTGCTTTGACTGGGCTAATGAAGATGGGCATATATATATGCCATACAGTGTGCTGAGGGAAATTTTGCCTGGAGAGGTCCCATGTACACATTGGTGTGCATGTAAAAGATCCCTTGGCCGTTGGAATTCGATATAGAGTGGTACTACGGCCTATGCTTTTATCGAATTCCAGCTGCCAAGTGATCTTGTACGTGCACACCAATGTGTACACAGGACCTTGGTTTTTTTTGTCCCATCTATTATCTAAATACTTTTAGTCGTACAGGACAGACACTATATTGAAGTTGATTTTTTTACTTTGCAGGCTACTTTACAAACACATGTCTTGAAAATATCAAATGAACACAGAGATAACAAATCTATCTCTGACATAACCAAAATTTGTGCAGTGTCTGGTGCCTTATGCCTATTTCCAGGCTTGCATGATATTATCATTATTGTCTCCATGACATTGTATTTAAGTTTAAATTTAATTTAATGCCCATATTTATTATTATTACTTGGGTTTCTAAAAACATGTCCACTAAATATGACATGTGCAAATTCTTTTGGAACTAAAACAGACAATTAACGTCTGAAAGTTTGCAATCCCCTCATGTTGATTTATCAATTAACACTACAGACAAGTGATATTCCAATCACTATTTTTACCTTATTCGCGTTGTCACAGTACTTTCCATACTGGTGTGCGCCAGCTTGAAGAACTGCAGAAGTAAGCTGAATTTCTGGTACAGTTAGTTCTTCAAAACTTGGAAGATAATCTTCATTTGTGTAAGACATATTGCTGTCAGTCGTTTCCAATTATGGAAACATTCAGCCGACCTTCACAGGAATGGCGAACCAAGAGCAAAAACTATTAGAGTTACCTTCCCTTTTCAGTTTTGTTATTTGGAGTTACTTCCCCAACACTAGCGAACATAGCTTCTTAGCAGACGATAGCCTCACCCCTTTTTTGTTTTTAATAATAACTCTCAAAATCACAAGGAGATCTTTAAAAAAACCCAACAAAACAGAACAACAGAATCTTCACAGACGTGTATCTATAACAATTTCAAATTGGTCACGCTTCAGACATAGGCCTATTAATTACATTGACTGTTATCTTTGTTGATTGCGCGAGAATAAGCAGCAGAGGTTGGTGCATTTTACAAGTCTACAACAACAATTAGAATTTAATTTTAAACATTTGCTTTAATTAATCTCTTCCAAACAAATTTCTCCAAATGCTTTAAATCAGCATCGACAATAATTAAAATAACTTTTCACTGTGTAAATTGTGTTTCCTTGGAATGGGTAGGCCTAATTAATCATTCAATTCATTGAAGAACCGGTTTGCAATGAAATGAAATGAAATGGGGTTTAACGTCCTACTGTTCTGCTCCTAACCTGGGCTAATGAAGACGGGCATACGCCATACAGTGTGCTATGAGGGAAAATTTGCCCGGGCAGCGGCGCTACGGCCTACTCTAGTCTTATATCGAATTCCAACTGCCAAGGGATCTTTTACGTGCACGCCAATGTGTACACGGGAACTCGGTTTTTTCGTCCCATCCGAACGACTAGACAGCTGTCCTTGTCAGGCCCTCCATCCTGCATCACTGACAAGGGGGAAACCACGCCGGAAAATCTGGATGAACTTTCTCGGCCTAGAATCCTTAATCTTTATTGAAACTACTTTTTTTTTTGCGCAAAAATGCTTATAAATCCGTATCAGTAATTAGTTCAGGAAAACCGCGCCAAATAAATGTATGGTTTGAAGAAGCTTCACATTTTCTTTTAAAATGTGAGAATTACCTCCATTTTGCCACACGGAAAATGTCAGATGCCATCAATATGTCCATAAAATATGGGCCCAAGGGGGTTAACTTCTTACTTTGCTTCACCAGTCTGGTTAGTGTAGTGGTGTAGTGTGCGAACAGTGCGATATGTGGTATTTTGGCCGGACAGCGGCGCTACGGCCATTTCCAACAGTCAGGGATTTTTTTTTACGTGTACGCATCGTTTTTTCTTACACAAGACTAGAAATGCCAGACCTCCGCAAACCGCCATTCTGCACCACTGACAACTGGAAACCTCGCCATAAAATTTCGATGAACTTGCAATGGGGCCTACCGGTATCGAGATTTCATGCCATTGCATGACGAATGCCCGTCTTATTCAATCGGTATAAGAGCAGAACATTAAAGCCAATTTCATTTGTTTTTCGTTAGGTTTGGGCAATGCAATCATCGGTTAGGCTACAGTTTGTATATCTAAATGGACAGGAAAGTGCTCTAAATCTCATCTACGGCCATATAATTTTCAAAATTTTTTAGGAAGGACCCTCGAAACCCTGTCACTGGAACCCTTCTCGGAACGAACAGCCCCAGTACTGCACACTTTTACCACCGCAGTGCGCCCCCGCTATCCATGGTCTCTGGATCCGCTTTGTATTTTTAAACTGTTATACCACTTATAGTGTCTGCTCTAAATCTTACACAATGCATCTTTAACCCAGATTTCATTTCGGTTCTTTCACACTGTGTCGTGTTGTATTTTAGCGTGAGAGCTAAGAACAAAAGCCTGAAACTCGAAGAAAAATACAGTCGACCAGAAGAAGAGTTTTGTCTGGTTGAAAGTAGAGAATGTCGTCATCAAGTTGGCCAGTGATTGTTCATCAATGTTTAAATACATCAGCTATTGTTGAGGCTCTGGGAAAGAAACAGATGAAAATTAGATGTATGTTATTGTTTGGTTCACATTACCAACTGTGTCTGTATGGCTGGACAACGTCTTGAGACAAAATCATTGAATGTCGTTAGTCATTGAGCTGGAAATACACTCATTTCTGTGGAATATAATTACTGTTTTCAGGAACGGATCCAGGAAATTTTGCAGGAGGGGGTTTGTCAGGTTCCCGAGACAATATATGCCCTTTTCGTGGTTGCGGGGGGGGGGGGGGGGGCGGGGGGTTTCAGTTATCATGTAACCATATTATTGTATACGACCTCTTAAAACAGCTCTGATTGGTTTTACTGTCCAGATTGGGTAGAAATCATGCCCCTGGTTGAATTTTTATAACTGATAAAAGGAGATCATCTGATGATAAAGGATAAAGCACACGATCGTGTCACTTTTCTCATATAAAGTGTTGTTTTACAATTTTTTTATGTTTCGTCTTTATAGTCGAAAGGTCGCCCTAGTTGAACTGGATTCTTTAATTACTGTTTATTACTGAGCGACGTTACATGGCTTGATAAAGACTAGCGAGTCCTAGTCGAAACGTCGCGAAGTATTTCCAGTTCTATTACTAATTTACTGAGCGACATTTCGACTATGAGCAATAAACAGTAATTGTATTCCATAAAATTGTGTCCTGTGTATTTCTAGCGGTGGCGGCGGAAAAGTTGGACGTTGAATCCCATTTAATTTCATTTAAACATACATTATGCAAGAGCTAAATCTGTCTATTGCAGGTCTTTCTTTAGGACAGAAATGTTATCTAAATTATTAATTAGACATTAATTAACCTATCCAGACCATAATCAACTCTCGATGGCATCACTAGCCTGCGATCTTTAGTGGATTATGAGCTGATTTACTGCATAACTTTCCTTCACGATTTAATGATTGACTGGATAATCGAGGCTATGCTGTTTATCGTACTGACTTTAGTAATGATGATCGAGGCTAGGCGGAAATTTCAATCGCTTAGTTCTCGGTTCATAGTGAATCAATTTGAATGAAATTTTCAGCAAATTGCCTTTACATTATCCAGTTTTTAACTATTATAGTGAGAACTGCCAACTCGTTATCGAATCTCCCATAATGTATCTTTAAGACAATAAGGTGTGTTGTACGTTGGGCTTAAGCCTAGCTCACCGCCCGCCATACGTGTACGTATGGGTCGTAGGCTTTGGTATCTCGCAGACCAGCCACAGGGAACGGGGTGAATCGTCCCAGGGACGGGTTTACTAAAATTTACCCCGTAGACTGCCCGTAGTAGCACGTGTTGTGAGCTAGACTTTAAGCACTTGTGGACAAATATTTCATATAAAAGTCAATATGGGATCCATATAATCTATTTCAAGTTGAGGGGGGGGTGGGGGGTGGATGGCCTAATGATTAGCACGTGCGTGCTGTATCATAAGGCCTGTCATTGAGTCAACTGGCGTGGTTTCGAATCCCCGGTTGTACGTGACAAGGAGTAGGGTCGCCTGTCCAACCTCGTGGATTTTCTCCGGGTACTCCGGTTTCCTTCCACAGCTAAAGACACCTACGCGCAAGCGAATTATTGAAATAAAATTAAACCATATGTTAATCCCGAATAACCTAGTTTGTGCAGAGTGGACATTAAACCCCATTTCTCTCTCTATATTTTAAGTTGACTGAGTTTTTATATTTTCTTTGTTTCAGTCTCCGAATCAATCATACCAAACACGGTTATCTTTCCCTTATCTGGTGTGGCCTTCATGATTTTACCTGTTACACCTGATCTTGTTCATTCTAATTATGACGTTGATGATCAATTAGTTAAAAAGTTGAGTTCAATCGTTTATTATATGAAAAGAAAAGCAGGACGTTAAACTCCATTTTATTCCAAAGACCTGTGTCAGTAATTGTTTTACCCCACGACAGTAGTGCAAGCATCGTACGAGGTCTAATCCTCGCGTGTCAAAGACCTGTGTCAGTAATTGTTTTACCCCACGACAGTAGTGCAAGCATCGTACGAGGTCTAATCCTCGCGTGTCAAAGAACTGTGTCAGTAATTGTTTTACCCCATGATACTAGCAGTTCTATTACGGAGTCTAATCGTCGCCATGTTCTCTTCCCTTCTTCCCAAATGTCAAGGGATATCCAACGCATGTCAAAGGCATAGCCTACACGGAACTTCGTTGTTCGAACGTAAATGTTGTAATCTTCCATTGGTGCCTTCCTTCGTCGTTTTGATTTTTCGTGACCGGGCTGCGAATGTAGGTCCTATTAATCACCGACAAGAATCGACAAGAACCCTTTTTGTGTCAACATCGCCATAGTATTGCAAATAGTGACCAACAAGGATAGATATGTATTGCAATACTTTGATCGATATTGACAAAGACGTTCTTGTCTGGGATTGGCATGACCGGCGAATGTAAAAGTCCCGGAAAAGAATAGTCAGAGCTATTCCATGAGTAAGGGTCTTCTCGGGGCCGAATTAAGACCGGTATAGAACCTAGGCACTTTACAGAATTTGGCGCCCCCATGTAAATATATACAAATCACACAATAAATATATATAAACCACACAATAAATTTGTCATCTAACAAAACCGAAATTATGTGGTGCTACCTATCCTATGATGTCCTAAACATGTGTTTAGTTTGCCTAATGGTTAATCCAACCCTGGCTCTTCTTCTCTTTCACAGTGTAGACAAGTTTATCCACGTCCATGGCAACTGCTATATATTACTTAAAGCTTCTTTACATGGCAACAACGAACAAGAACTACTGTCCAGTCTTCAACATAGGTGAACATATTTATAATCTATTGTTTTACAGTAGCTTCTGAATGTCAAGATGTCGCGACATAAGTCTGATGGCCTATACTTTGCTCATTACGGACATGTTATCCCATTGTAACTAATCATACCAATCACACCGCCCGTTACAAACCAGGGGGCAGTTTCACAAAGCAACTTACGATGAAAAATTTGCGTAAGTTTATCGTAAAATTCTTAACTTACGAAATTCGTAACTTTTATCGTAAAGTCTACGGCAACTCTCACCTTGTCGTAAGTTGGAATTTTTTTCGTATCTTTGACAAAATGGCCGCCTTGTTACTTTATGCGGATCGGCAACTTCGACGAGAGAGAATATTCTGGGATAGATTAAACCCCCTCGAC